CCAGTCCCTGAAGCCCCTTTCCGCCGTGGCTGAAACAAAAAGGGCTCTTCAGAGAGTCGATCTCCTGCCTCTCTAGGGGAGGGAGGGATTTGAAAGGACATCTCCGCTTTTACGAAGAGAAGGGGGTGGTGCTGCTGGTGATTGCTCGTCTCGTCAAGCTCGACACGATTTACTTCTTTGTCGACCGTCCGTCGTCGCAGCATGGGCCACCCCCATGAGTCGCATTGCTCTCGTCTGGTCGTCCTTGATATCGAGTGGGCCAGGATGCACCGATGAATGGCTGCGGATGCGCTGGGCTGGGGCGCTGCCGAACCTGAGGCGCGATACGAGAGGGCCACACAGGAGCGTTAATGTCCTGGTTAGTGCCGACAACCTTGTTTCGCTGACGGTCCCTGATGGCACATGTTTTGGCTATGCATAGCCGGCCTGGGATGCCCCCGCTGCAGCACCTACGAGCTGGTGAATGAGTGCTCTGTTCTGCTGCTCTGCCTTGTTTAAGGTTCCCACTGCCAGGCCATCATGGTGACGTCCTTCCTCTTTCATGTGCCGAGCTTACGAAACCGCAGATCCTCCCAGGCCCAGGCACAGTCACAACCTAAACTCCGTACCTAAACTCCTAACGTTAGATCGCAGAGCCAGGCTATTTTGGGACGGCGGGGAGCCTGCTTGCGCTTGCTCCAAGCATGTTTCCGTTGGATATTGATACGACACAAAAAGGGCGAGCTGACCGAGATTAACCAAGAAAGGGCGGCCAGCCTGCCTCGTAACCCCTCTTCGCCCAGGACCTGGACACGGCTCCATGATTGCTTTGTCCTTGGCGCATTTCAGCACCAAGAGCTGCCGTTGGATAGCCCGTACGCATTATCCATCACCATCACCGGATACGTGTTCATGGCGTCGGCTGCTCCGTGCCTACGCCAGTGTTACTGAAACCTATACAGCCCTACCAGTGCTACGACAAAGAATGGTGATGGTGGAAGCCTGATGATGGCAAACATCTGTCTTTGTCATGCCTAAATGGGCGGCACCTCATGCCAGTTGCTCGGCCCTTGCTTCAAAATGGCACGCACGTCAAACACGGTCAGACTCAGTCTCGAATTCCATTCAACGCCATCCCACCCGGCCCCACTATTTGGCGCTTTTGACATCGTTGGCGCCGTAGCCTACCTGAACATCCTTCCATAGGGGATTCCCGACCGGACATGCCAAGCTTCCATCAAGATCTCCCGGAGCTGGGAGCTGGGCTGGGCTGATGGGAGGACAGAATCAACCGGACACGTGATGTCGAGACACCTGATCTTTTCCCCTGAGAATAGGGACTGAGAGAAGATGAAGAAAGGCAGAAACAAGCGCCGACCGAGATCATCACCGAGCATATATGCAAGGATGCAATAGTTTCGAATAAACTGTTACGACATCCAACTTGCAGTGCCTTGTACTGTGTAATGATTCTTCAGCTGCTCCAAATGATACCCTGGGTAGACAAAAAAAGATGCCCATGTTTTCTGCTCCCCGGTACTGCCCCGCGTCACCGCCAAAAATAATTTTTGGAGATGGCTCCAGCCTCACACATTGAGCGGCCTTGCATGAGAGAGCACAAGCCGGTTCAACTACATCTCCGGCTTCATATATAGCCTCTCCGCATCAGTCGCATCGGCTAGGCTCACGATGCCTCATCAAGATATTGACCGTCCGCTGGTCAAGCGCCAGAAGACGACGGCGCCCGCCAATGCCTCGAAATCTCAATCCAACTCTTCCAAGATCTTTGCGCCTTTCCGAGTACGTCTACCCCTCTACCCTCACTCTTCGCAGCCTAACTCTCGCGATTGTATAGACCGTCGGCTTAGTATCGCCTACGAGTGTTCCTTTCACTTCGATCCCCCTCGGAAAGACCACCTTCCAGATCTCTACCTCGGTTGGTCGATCCATCCAGACCTACGATCTTCGCCGCGGCCTCAACCTCGTCTTTGTTACCAGGCCTCAAACTCCTGCTGATATTACTGCGACACTTGCCTGGGGGAGGAACATTTTCGCAGCATGGGGTGGATCAAAGAAGGGCGAGTCCCAGGGTATTTGGGTGTTCCAGAGGGGCAAGAAGGTTGATGAACTTGCACTGCCCTCCGACTTGGACGAACCGATCCAGCAGATTTTGATTATGGGGACATGGACTGTTGCTGTTGCTTCAACAAGAATCGAGGTGTTCAAGACGGCATCTCTCGAGCACTACACCACTATCTTTACGACACCCGCGAACCAGCGCGGCAATGAAATTACCGGCGGCATCGTCACCATGCCCACTTTCTTGAACAAGATCTTCGTGGGTCGCAAGGATGGCTGGGTTGAAATTTGGAATATCAGCACGGGCAAGCTCATCTACACCATTCTGCCTCCGTCTCCCGACTGCGGTTCTGTTACATGCCTGGAGCCCAGCCCGGCTCTGTCAATGCTCGCCATCGCCTATTCCGAGGGAACTCTGATCATCACCAATGTTCTCACTGACAAGCGTGTCATCCGCATTGAAGCTGGTAGCTCAGAAGCGCCGGTAAACTCGATTTCATTCCGAACCGATGGTATGGGTGCTGGTAACGATGGGCGCAAGGACGGAGTTATGGCGACGGCAACTGCTGCAACTGGAGATGTGACATTCTGGGACCTCAACGGAGGTGGTCGCGTGATGGGTGTTTTGCGCAGTGCCCATAACCCACCCTCTTACGAAGGCCCGACTGTCCGTGGCGGCATCAGCAAGATCGAGTTCCTTCCTGGTCAGCCAGTGGTTTTGACAAGCGGCCGAGACAACTCCCTCAAGTCTTGGATCTTTGACGAAACGCCCTTCTCCCCTGTGCCCCGAATCCTTCACTCTCGCAGTGGACATGCTGGTCCAGTCAACTGTCTCCAGTTCCTGCCGTCTGACTTTGATGGTGCTGATGCTGGCAACAAGTGGCTGATCAGTGGTGGCCAGGATCGAAGTCTTTGGGGATGGAGTTTGCGTAAGGATGGTCAGAGTTCAGAGCTGAGTCAGGGCAACATCCGCAAGAAGGCCAAGAAGGTGGGCATCTTGTCAACCAATGCCCTCGCCCATGGACCCACGACGACATTGGAGGATCTCAAGGCACCAGAGATTACTTGCATTGCGTCCTCCTTGAACCGAGACGGCGGTATTGGCGCCATGCCTGGAAAGCAGGCCATCTGGCAAAAGTCTCAGAACAAGAAGAAGGCCCAGGATGCAGAGCTTAGTGGTATGACAGGCTGGGAGAGCGTGGTGACAGCTCACAAGAACGACCCCTATGCTCGAACATGGTTCTGGGGACGAAAGAGGGCAGGTAGATGGGCTTTTGCTACAGGTGATGGCTCCAACGTCTCGACCGTTGCCATCAGCCCTTGCGGCACCTTTGCTCTCGTTGGTTCAGAGTCTGGTGGTATCGACATGTTCAACCTTCAGTCAGGAACGCACCGCCAGAGGTTCCCCTCAAGACTTACCCCAGCCCAGGCAAGGCAGCTCAAGATGCAGCAACTACGCCAAGCCGACGATGTGGTTCAACTGCACACTGAAACTGGCCGTCAGTTCGCAGCGGGCACCGGAAAGCACACCAAGGCTATCACAGGCTTGATTGTTGATAACATGAACAAGACGGTGATTTCTTGCTCTCTGGATGGAAAGATCAAGTTTTGGGACTTCTTGACAGGCAACTTGCTGCACCAGATCGACTGGGCGCCGATGACCTTCCCTACGGGATGCAGATATCACCCCTCAAGCAACCTGCTTGCTTTCTCCTGCGACGACCTATCAATCCGAGTAGTGGACATGGACACCAAGAGGACCATTCGAGAATTTTGGGGACCTCAAGACGCCATCACCGACTTCTGTTTCTCAAGCGATGGACGATGGATTATCGCGTCCTCAAAGGATTGTATCATCCGGGTATGGGATCTTCCTACAAGCCACCTGATCGACGCAATCCGCCTCGAGAAGCCCTGTAGGGCACTTGCGATGTCAATTACTGGCGAGTATCTGGCTGCCACAATTCAGGATGAGCTCGGCGTTACTCTCTGGACCAACAAGGCGCTGTTCAAGCACGTTCCCACACGGCAGATCTCTGAAAAGGAGATTGGCCAGGTTTCTCTGCCTACGGTCTCTGGCGAGAACAACGAGGGCATGCTGGAGGGCGCATTCGAGGAGGATCAGGATGAGGAAGACGACACCGTTGTGGCACCTACAATTGAGCAACTCAGCTCCGAGCTGACAACACTGAGTTTGGTGCCCAAGAGCCGCTGGCAGACGCTGCTGCACTTGGATCTCATCAAGGAGCGCAACAAGCCCAAGGAGGCCCCCAAGGCTCCTGAGAAGGCTCCCTTCTTCTTGCCCTCGACGACAGGCAAGGAAAACATCCTGGCGCCTAAGCAGCAGGCAGAGGCGGAGGACGATGGCAAGTCACGAATCACAAAGGCTGAGAAGGCTCGGTTCGAAGAGGTGCTGAGCTCCAAGCTTCAGGCTGGAGCAGCGACTGGCACTTGTAAGTTTCTAATCCTTCCCACTGCATCTTGATTTGCCAGACTAACATGCTATAGACGATGAATTCATTGAGCATCTCAAGTCTCTCTCCCCCTCGAGCGCAGATCTCGAGCTGCGCTCACTCTCCATTGGTGACGGCAGTGAGGGCTCGAACGAGCTGTTGCATTTCATCCGCGCTCTGACGGCTCGTCTCAAGGCCCGCCGCGACTATGAGCTGACCCAAGCGTGGATGACAGTTTTCCTACGACTGCACTTTGACGTGGTCATGGAGAGCGAGGATCTGCTGGCGGCACTGAGTGAGTGGAAGGAGTATCAAGAGAAGGAATGCAACCGATTGGACGGTCTAGTTGGCTACTGCAGTGGTGTGGTTACCTTCTTGAGAAATCCCCGGACATAAGTAGTAGATGGTGATGCCACTGGCTTGAGTTGTTGGCGTTTTGCAAATGGCGTGTCTGTTGCTAATTCCCGAGAGTTCCTCGCGATCTTGAAGTTGTCGAGAAGACGAGTATATAGAACTAGACGAATGCAAAAAAGCATCTATTCTTTAACGTCATACACTAACAGTCCCGTAATCCCAATCGCCGAACCCGGTTCGATCGAAGACAACTCTTGAACTCCGCCTGTGAGTCGTAAAAATACACAATCCACTACTGCCGTCTCTTCCCATTCCCAACCTCATGGAAGAGTCCTATCCTGATTCCTCCAAAGTCACCGTGTTTGTTACATCTTGGCATCGTTATTCGGCCGCTGCAGATGGTCGTTGCGAGGCAGTTTATGCGCTCAGGTCTGAGGCGCGCCCTCAGTGGGCAAGCTTTGTTGATTGGCGCTCTAGACCTGCTCGGCACCCCAGCCAGCGTCCTCGGCTTCGCGCATGTTGCTGGGGGGCTCAATGGAGGGAAGGAACTCGAGGGCGACATATGCGATACCGGTGATTCCGACGATGCTACCGGCAATCTTGCTGATAACCAGCTCGCCGAGGAGCAGGGAGCCGAGGAAGATGTAGACTAAGTTGCATGAGTAACCATCAATGTGGCAGGCTTTCAGTAGAGCGCGACTTACAGACACCACGGCCGATGAAGGAGAAGAGGAAAGAGGCGTGTCGCGACACCTGGGGAGGAATCTGGAACTCTGTGGCTTGTTAGACATGATGGAGAACTCGGAAGCAGCTTAGAACGTACCAAGAAGGCCGATGACAAGACCAAAAACAATCATATAGCAGCCGACAATGATAGGTTGCCTAGGCATAAGGTGTTAGTGCTTTGCAATTGAAGCTTGTCGTGTCGCATGAACGCGCTCGGATACAGGGGCGAGTAGGGGTATTTCGGGGGTTTAGTTGGAACATACATGCTGAACTGGAAGATGTGCGTGATACCACCCAAAAGGGTGATGACGCCAACAGCCAAGTTGACAATGCGGCTACGCGATGGTCAGTAACGATGTTATTGTGGCATGGGGGTTGGCCGGCGCAGCCACTGACAAGATGTCGGAGAGCTCCATGGTTGCTGTAGTTGATGTCCTTGCGCTTTCGGGGATCAAGGTCGACGAGAAGCGGGCTTAAGAGCTGCTGAGAGTCCCAGGCAGCAGTTTAAGGAGCGTGGGTCAGATGAGGGCGATGGCGATGAAGGTGCGTGGCCACGAGACAAGAGTTGAGTTGGAGAGTCGAGGATTACGTAGGAGCTTTGGCTTTGTCGCCGGGAGAGGGACGTACAGGCGACGCTCATTTGCTGTTGTTTCTGTCAGCTTTCACCGCCTTCTGTGGTAGGACAAGCGTTGCGGCTAGCAGCCAGGGAGTAGCCGGTGGGTCTTTTGAGCTTGCTTCACGAGCCGACGAATGACATCAAGGCTGAAAACAGCCGAGAAGCTCCAGAATCAACCTCGAGGGACAAAACTCGAGGAATTGAGATGCCCCAGACGAGCATTGCTGCATCTCCTGGCTGGGGATGACTGTTCTTTCCCTCTTACGTCGCGGCCCGGCCGTCAGAGGCTCGGGCCGTTGCATTGCGCGCCAATGGCGAAGCAGGGAGCTCGTGAGCTTGTCTCGCCGGGCTATGCACCAGGCACACCATGATGCTCAGCTCCAGAATACCCGGAATATCGGCATTATTGCTCATGTTGACGCTGTAGGTTATGACTTGGTATTGATCATGTGTGATATATCGCTCACAGACTGAAAGGGCAAAACTACTACTACCGAGCGGATGCTCTATTATAGTGGCGTTACCCAACGTGTTGGAGGTATGCATGGCTCATGATGTACTTACATGGTATAATTGGGGGATATACTTACAAACCACGCCAGATGTCGATGCTGGAAATACTGTAACCGACTTTCTCGAATTAGAAAGAGAACGAGGCATCACCATTCAATCAGCCGCCATTACCTTCAACTGGCCTCTCCAGCAGACACTTCCCCCAGGCGTCCATTCCAAGACGATTAACCTTATTGACACACCTGGTCATCAAGACTTTCGCTTCGAAGTCGATCGTTGTCTTCCCATCCTCGATGGTGCCGTCTGCATCATAGACTCGGTCAAGGGTGTTGAGGCTCACACTGAGAGGGTGTGGGCTTCGGCTCACGAGTTCAAGGTACCTCGTCTGGTCTATTGCAACAAGCTCGATCGTGAAGGCGCATCTTTCAAAAAGGCTGTCCTCGAGATCGGAGCACGACTTAAGGGATGGCCTCTCGTCTGCCAGATCCCGTGGTGGGAAAAGGAAGACTTTGTCGGTGTCATTGACATTATCGACCGGGTTGGATATCGCTGGAAGTCGGAACGTGAAAAGACGCGATACGACTTTCCTGCTCTCCAGGAAAAGCTCTCTAGCTCAAACAAGGACCTTCTTCCCGAGATTGAGTCAGCGAGGCAGGCATTGATTGAGGGCCTTGCAGATTTCGACGAGGCCATCATGGATGAGTTTCTTGCTGAGAACCAAAACATTGATGGTGCTTTGATCAAAAAAGCTATCCGAAGGGCTATCCGAAGTGGTGATGGCACCGTCATTCCCGTGTTTGCCGGTTCTAGCTTCCGTCATATCGGTGTTGAGCCCCTGATGGATGCCATCACCGACTATCTACCAAGCCCAGATGAACGCCCATCCGCAGAAGTGCGGGTTGGTTCAGTGAAGCAGCGTTTGGCCGATGTTATCGAAAAGAGTTCCAAGTCTGCCAAGTCGACTGTCGCATCCATCGCATCCGTCTTCAAAGTCTTCAATCACCCCAAGGAGGGCGTCATTAGTTTCGTTCGAGTCTACCATGGCACAATGACCAAGAACGCCTCAAGTTTCAACACCAACATGCTTATCAGCGAGAGACCCATGGGAATTCTTCAGATCTCAGCATCCAAGACGCAGGATATTCAGGAGCTTTCGGTGGGACAGATTGGAGCCCTCAGGGGACTCAAGAAGGCCCGTACAGGCGACACGCTCATCACAACGACTGGTGGCAAGCCTGTTGCTGAAGCATTCCGTCACGTTCAAATCCGGCCGCCCGAGATTCCACCCCCAGTCGCCTTTCTGCAAGTTGAACCCTACGGTAATGTTGCTGCCCAGCAGCTCCAGATCGCCCTGGAAAACACGACGCGAGAGGATCCCAGTCTTCGATGGAGCCGCGACCCCAAGACGGAGCAGTTCACCATCCAGGGCATGGGCAAGCTTCACTTGGATGTTTCACTCTACAACATGAAGCAAAAGTACAAGATCGATGCCGACTTTGGCCCTATCGAAGTCGACTACAAGGAGTGTGTCACAATGGCTACACGGCCTCAACACACAGTCTTTGACCGCCCCGTTGCGAGCAAGCCTGGAAAAGCGTCCTGTACAGCCGTCCTTGAACCGCTTGAGGACCACCATCGCGAGACCTTACTGGAATCAAGCGTTGAGCGAGACGGTAACATATACCACATCTCAATCCCTCTGACAGGCGACACCAACTCGCTCAACTTTGATCCCGAAGAGGCCCGACAACAGCTTCTCAATGGAGCCATTGCCGGCCTGGCGAGAGGGCCGCGCCGTGCAGCACCCATCCATGGATGCCACGTCACCATCACTCTTGACACGGAGCGCAACGCCTGTGAGACTCCCACGGGAGGACACTTTAGCACTGTCGCGCGCACTGCAGTGCAAGCAGCACTCCGTGACGCCTTTGAAAAGGAACAAATCGGCATCCTCGAACCCATCATGCTCGTCCACATCACCTGCCCCGAGGTAGTCGCCGGCACGGTGCAGCACGATGTGACGGCGGGGGCGGGCGGACACGTCCTCGAGGTCAATGACCGGTCAGCCGAGATGACGGGTGAGGACCACATCGATGTATCCAAGATCTACACGCCCCCCGATCCATATGACTCTGTCACGTCCTTGCGCGGCAAGAAGTCAACAACGCGCATGGTGGAAATTGTAGCCAAGGTGCCGTACAAGGAGATGCTCGATTACGATAATCATCTACGGAGCAAGACGGCAGGACGACATTCCATGACCATGTCGTTTGATTCGTTTGCCAAGGTTGTCGGCCACCGAGAGAAGGGTTTGTGAAGGATTCGTGTCTGGTACACTACGTGTTGGATAAGATGACGAAGCTTGTATGTATCATGATGTAAAATAAGGTAAAAAATCAAAGCTCATAGCTAAACGCATAATTGACTGCTGTCAAGGTGTGACAATTTGTCGACCTAAATGATTCATCTCATCACGCAGGTGTGAATAAAGGTGTATGAACAGGTGTATGTATATGTATAGTAGGGCTATGTACAAGGCGAATGTCATCAACAGAGGAGAGTGTTAAAACCCGAAACGAAACGAACCAGACCAAACCGAAACGACCAAACAATCCCAAGAAACAATGATAAACAAATTCTAGAATCCCTCGTTTACGCCACCATGAGCTCCAGCTCAAAAACCAAGTCGCCGTCTACTCCCCGTGTAAGTGAAAAAAGCAGCCAGCTCAGTCTTAGATGCTGCGCTTGTTGATGCCGCACTTCTTGAGGCAGTCCTCAACACCAAGGGCGATGCTCGCGGGGATGGCATCACGGACACGGTCAATGTCCTCACCAGCGATGGTCTGGCCAAAGGTGGCAGCAATGACATCGTCGCTAAGGGCGAAAGTTTCGTCGGCGATCTGGCCAGTGCCAAAGTCCTCGGCGGCAAAGGCGGCGACAAAGGTAGCAGGCTCGCAGTCGGGGTTGAACTGGGTGTGGACGGAGCCCTGGTAGAAGGGAGTCATCATGTTGGCAGAGAGCTCGGTGCGGATCACTCGTCGCTTGCCGTCCTTGTCGAGGACACCATTCTCGGGAACCATCTCGGTGATGAGGCGACCAGAGGTGACGATCTGAAGCTCGGCGGAGCGGGGATGGACGTGGAGGGTGTTCATACCGCAGGCTGTAAAGGGGAAAAGATGTTAGTTTGATTGTTCCTCGTGGTGTTGAAGCTATCATGTCTCAGGGAGAGAGGGTTGTCTTACCATCAACACGGCCGAGAGCCATGCCGGCACCGGTGCCAACAAGAGCAGGGAAGGTCTTGCGGTTGGCAGCGATGAGCTGGCCGCCCTTGCCAGGGTTCTGTTGCTCCTGGTTGAAGTCAAAGACAAAGTCCTTGTCATCAGGGATGAGGGCGAAGCGATCAGCAGCACTAAGGGGTGACTGTTTAGTTTGCGGTCTTTGTATTGCAGTCAGTTCTAGATGGTACTCACGTATCGGCAAGGGTGAGCTGGGCAGTCAGGCTGAGACCATCGGAGCCCCGTCGAGAGTTGTGAGGAGCAGCCGAGGCGAGGGAAGTGAAAGCCAGAACGGCAGAAGCGATGGCGGCGGAGAACTGCATCTTGACTGGTGGTAGTTGAAAGATGGAAAAGGTTGTTGATGTAAGTTGTTAAAGTGTTTGAAGTGAGTATGAGAAAGCTGTGAGACTAAGAGTGTTTGTGATGCTGGTGAAGATGTTGATGAAGATATTCCCAACTCCAAGCAGAACAAGCCCGACTTCTTATACAAAGCGTCTCTCGCCCCCAAACAACGCATCAAGGTTATCATTACGGTTGAAATCAAACCAAGTATAGCCCCAGGAACTGTCAGAGCGAGGCTTTGAGCTAGAATCTTACTCGAACAAGGGCAACATCCCAGGCCTGGCCGCATCGGAAAGTCGGGCTTCCGCTGGGCCACCATCACCAAGCATTTGTCAAAGCCCCTCTAGATTCCTGTATTCAAAATCACCAGCCACTCCCAGGTCCTAGGCCCAGCAGCGCAGAGGTTGTCTAGTGCTGAGCTGCGCGCTTTGTCATTGGGCTGGAGGGTTACTCTGATGGATGTTTGGAGGGCTGTGCAGGTCGGCCGGGTCTCTTCTGAACCGGCGCAGCAGCCCCCGAATTCTCCGATTGCACCAAAAATAGTGTGAGAAACGGTTCGTCCAAGCGCTAAGCGCCTCCCTGCGGGAAGTCAGCATTAAGAATGTGCGTTGTTCTGTACCCGATGGAGGTGGCGCCTCCACGGAGTCTAGGAGATCCGACGCAGTAGACGCCAGCCGGAGATCCGTTTTGACAACGTGCTACCACTAGAATTAGTACTTTAGTACCAGGTTTCCCCAGGAAACAAGGACTCCGCGGTCTTGGCTGTCAGCGTTGTTCGGCCGCGATAGGATCTCGAATAAGCATCGGATGCAATGCGACGTGATCCGTAAGCAAGATAATTTTTAAGATTGTGATCTTTTGTTGCTCATTTGGAATCAAATCCCCTCATCAAGTTTGACATGTCGCTTGTAAATAGGCTGAAGTCATAGTTAGAAACTTCTGTCAGTCACAGGCCAACACCACACGATTCATCAAGACATTTGCTTTGTTCCGGAGGATTCCATGCACGTACCAGCAGGTGATGGATGCCATCTTTATGCACAAGCGAAACAAACAAAGGAAACAAAACAAAACATTCATGGCCTGTTAAAATCTCCCCCAAGACCCTCTTCAATTTCGTGGTTCCAACGCCATCAAGCCATCCTCCACTTGGTTACCCGCGCCACTCCCGCTCTCGTGACAGCCTCATATGTTTCGATCTGAAACAAGACTCCATCACTCATTTTTACTTTTCAACCTCTTCCTGTTGCCTTGCAGGTACAAACAGCTCATCCTCCGAATATTCATCCCTGTATGTCAATGTCCTTGCACGATCCCCTGTCCAGCTTGTTCCGTTCAAGTAGGGCTTTGCCTCGTGCAAAGACCAGCTGCTGGACGTAAACTGCACATTGACTGCCTCAAACATGCTGCTCAGCCAACCAGTCTCGCTCCCAAGGTCACATTGTATCCATCGAAGGTTGGGAAACTGATCCGGTTGACGCTCCTTCAACACGGCAAGGCCCACAAGTCCCTTCTCCAGCATCTCCCGCGCTGCTTCTCTCATCTCCTTGGTCTGGATCGACAAAGACACAAGTGATTAGGGAAGCAGCTGGATCAAAGGCTCGGAATCAAGGAAATCTTGCTCCTGTATTCCATCGAAGCCATAGATCATCGCAAAGCCAATAGATAGATGCTCGAGAACAGTAAAGTCTCTGAAATGGAGTCCATCTTCAATCTTGCAAACAGCCCAACCTTCAGAGCTCAAATCAAAATGCAGCGACTTGAGCGTTCCCTGGTGACGAGAAAGCAGACTCACTGCGTCCGACAGCTGAAGGTGCCCAGCCATGCTGGTCTATGTCGGCGACCGCGACTCGTAGGCAAAGGTCTGAAGTCTACCAGTACATGCCTTCAGGATGCTTTGACAATGCGCCTTCCCAAGCCAGCACTCTGTAATCCGAAGGACCTTGACCTTTGGTAGAGGTCGGTATTCTCCATAGAAATCAGGCGCGTGGAGGTTGAGGGTTTCTAGGCCTGGAGATAGCCTGAGCAAATCGTCAGCGCGCGGCCCAATATCCAATCTTCGAATGGAGGGGAGTGACGAGATGTTGAGCGCTTCAAGGGCCTCGAGAGTCACGCCGGGGACGCCGTCTCCGCCTGTCCATCGTGAACAACGTTGAAGACCGAGGTATTCAAGACTCGGGAGTTGAGCAATGAGCATAGTAACAAGCTCAGCTGCCCCCAGTTCCTTTCCCTCATTCGAGTTCGAACGTCGCGAGAGTACCATGCGACATAGTCTGGTTTATAAAGCAAAGGCGCCAGGAATTGTTCCCGAGTTGTTGGTTTCATAGTCCCATCAATTCTGCCAAGATATGGCATATCTGATTTCCAAATCTCAGCGAGGTCGATTCCTAGTGCTTCTGCAGCTTCGCCGAGCACTTCAAGAGGTCGATCACTGTTGATTGCCCATAACAGCCTCGGGTGAACGTAGGCGACTTTTACCAGGCAGGCCAGGTCCCGGCGCTGTCTAAGAGTCCGCAAAAAGGATATGAGCCGGCCATCCCAGGTATACAAGTTCGTACGCCACGAGTCATCGTAACCCAAGACGAACTCGTGATACAAGAAGCTCTGGGCAATGTCGCGAAGCCTTCTTGAGGTTAACGATAGCGAAACGATCGACAGAATACCACGACTTTTCGTCAGGCTTCTGTCTTGGTGAGCGATATCGCAACGGCGGAGTATCCCAAGGTTTGTTGTACTCGTCCTGGCAGTGGAGGCAGAACAGACCAAGTATCAGGACCAAGATATCCGTCGGAAGGTTTCCAAGATTAGCGTAGTCCATGATTTCAGTTGTATCAAAGAAAAGGTTATTTTCGTGATCCAAGATCAGGCTTTTCAACCACGTGTCGGTGTAACAAATGTCAGGCTGCGTTGTGCGAACGCCATTCACGTGGAACTTGTCTTACTGCCTGCCTTCCCATGTTCACTGCATTCTCTGTTGAAACAACTTCTTCTCGACACTTCTTGACCAAGGATGCAGCCTGCAAAAGAAACAATCTCGCCCTAGAACATTTGAACAAAGCTTTCAACATGGGATTTAATTGCTTCCTTTCTTCCTTCAACCATGGGCCCACTCGGCCGAGAGCTGAGATTCAGCTCCCAGGACATTGCGAAAGGGAATTACACCAATGGATACGCCAAGATCAAGAAGCTCTGTTTGGAAGGTCAGTTGTGATGGCAATGTCGTAATCGAATGACAGGCACTGACAAGCTAGTTGACTCGCTTCCTCCAGCTGTGATAAGCTCTCTTTACCGCGGACCCTCGGCCAACTACAGACAGCACCCGGCAGCACGCGTCGCGCTCGCCTCCGCAATCAGTTGTGGCTCTTGGCGCATAACCAGAATCAGGGACCGACCGTCCTTTTCGAGCTAAAAAGCAACATTGGCCCAGGAACCATGCTACACGACAAAACGCTGGGCCAGGGGTCTTAAATGACCAACAGCCAATGCCATGCTTCGTCACAAGCCACACAAACAAACGGCCAGGGGCGTTGAGGGAAAAAAGAGGAGAGGGCAGACTGCGGAAGACAAGAGACGAGATGGAAGCCCTGCGACAAAGCCAACAACCTGGGACAAGACAACGAGCCGAGACCAGCCCAAGCCAGGCTCAGAGACAATGCGCCAGCATCTCTGATACAAAACTGGAAGCGAGAAACTGGTCGTTTCCCTTATTCGGGCGTTCTCCCGGCTTAATGCCTGTCATATTCACAACGATCCGCCATGGCATCGCATCCCCCAACGGGACCGAGTCGACCTTGTCTTTCTCATGAGGTTTAATCTGCGACGAGGGCAGCACCCTGGTTTCCAATGCACCTGAGCCAGGCACCGTCTCGACAGGATTGGCTGCGCCGGGCAAGGGGGAGATGAAATGACAGTCTGATTGGAGACGGTCTGATCACCCTGGCCCTCCGTCGGCGAAGCGAATCCACCATGGACAGGGACTCGAGGGTCAGCCTTCCATGCATGCACAGGCGCAGACTCAGGCACAGGAGGGCCATGGGTCCCTTCATGGGTCCCGTCGTGGGCCCTGCCAGGAGCCATTGCCTCATCTCTCAATCTCCTGGTGGTGCCGTTGATGCTGCTGGTTCGCGCCGGTCCCCGCGCTGCTGCCCATTGCTCATTTCCTGGGGATCCATAATCCATCTCTCTCCCACTTTGCTTCCTTGCTTGGACCTGTCGATCTCTTAATATTCCTGTCCTGTCCACCGCTGCGCTTGCTGCTTCCACTCCTTCTCTCGTTTCCCTTGATTTGTTGTTTAAACGTTGGTGCTGCTGGTTCACGAAATCCTTCGACCTTTTTCCTCGTCAGCTTCATCACTCGTTCTGTTGCTCGACGACAAAAACAAAAAAAACATTCCTTGCCCGGAACCACCAGAATCTATTCTACCTATGTCCAGGTTGTGACGCGTTGTATGAAAGGATCGGAGGCATTCATTCATTAACTAGGAACATCCGTGCTTGGATCTCTCGAAACACAACCATCTTCATCTATCGACGACAGACCCCATGAGACTCGCTACTCTTCCAATCGCCCTCGCGGGCATCCTGTCGGCTTCGCCCTCGTTCGTCGCCGCCAAGGCTCATCAGCACCATGAGCGTGGCGCCGGCCATCTCCATGGCTCTCCTGCGCCCATCGTCAAGCGAGGAGGCCAATGCGAGTTTCCCACCGATGACCCCAACATGGTCGCCGTCACTCCCGATGAGAAGAACGCCGGCTGGGCTATGAGCCCCGATCAGGAGTGCAAGCCTGGCAGCTACTGCCCCTTTGCCTGCAAGCCCGGTATGGTTATGAACCAGTGGGATCCCGATTCTACCTACGACTATCCCGCTTCAATGGTACGACGCCGATATGAGCTACTCATTAGCTGGTAACTCGAGCTAACAACTTCAGAACGGTGGTCTTTTCTGTAATAAGAATGGCGAGATTGAACAGCCATTCGAGGGTAAGCCCAATTGTGTTCAGGGAACAGGAGCTGTCGAGGCCGTCAACAAGTGCGGCTCCAAGATGTCTTGGTGCCAAACCGTTCTGCCTGGTAATGAGGCTATGATCATCCCTACCCTCGTGACCTCAAGCGCTACTCTGGCTGTTCCCGCATCTTCATACTGGTGCTCCACCGCCGCTCAGTAAGTAACGCCCAAGAAATAACTATGGAGTGTCTCTAACTGTATTAGCTTCTACATCAACCCCCCTGGTGTTGGTGAGGAGGGCTGCATCTGGGGTACTGAGGATGAGCCCATTGGAAACTGGAGCCCCTACGTCGCTGGTGCCAACACTGAGGCCAGTGGCACTACTTTTGTCAAGCTTGGATGGAACCCCATCTGGGAGGACTCGGCCTTGAAGAGCAAGCTCCCTGACTTTGGTGTTGAGATCAAGTGCCCTGACGGCGGCTGCAACGGCCTGCCCTGCAAGATCGACCCCAGCGAGGGTGAGGGCAGTGTTGAGAGCAACGAGAGTGCTGTTGGTGCCGGTAACTCGGCTTTCTGTGTTGTCACAGTCCCCAAGGGAAGCACTGCTCAGATTGTTGCCTTCTCCGTCGGCTCTGGCTCGGGATCTGATGACTCGGATGAGGATGAGGATGACGGCTCAATGGGCATCAAGAAGGTGGAGGAGTCTTCCACGACCGAAAAGGCCAAGCCCTCTACTACTACGACCGTCGCCGAGACCACAACATCGGAGAAGACCACCTCGACCACTGAGGAGGCTACATCGACCACCGAGGAGTCAACCACCACTTCTGAGGCCCCAACGACCTCCTCCGAGGAGACTACTTCCACCACTTCGATCGAGTCTACCACTACTACTTCCGAGGAGTCCACCACGACCGAGGAGTCTACCACCGAAACACCCACCACATCGTCTACGACCAAGGTCCACAAGTCTACCAAGGCTGTCACCACCACCAAAGTCGTCACCACCAAGAAGGCTGCCCCTACTGTCAAGCCCGGTATCTTCCACGAGAATGGAACCACCACCTTCACTGGTGCTCAAGTCACCGAGAAGCCCGCTGCTACGGAAGCTGGCTCTGAGGCCGCCCCCACCCAATCCAAGGAGGGTGAGGCCGGCCGTCATCAGGGCAATGCTGCCGTTGCTGGCCTTGTCGTCGCTTTCATCGCTGCCGCCTGTTTCTTTTAATTGAAGAAGCCCCCTCAAGAAAGACCTAATTTTGCATGTTCGCTTTTCCCTCGGCCAGCCTGCGGGCTCTCAACTTCTCCGCTGCAGCCTTTGCTTGGATGGGTGATGTCGGTTCTGATGTCATCCACGCCATCACTTCTCTGCCTCCCTCACCAGCCACTCACTACCCACCGTCTCATCTCCCTTCACACCTGGCAGCTGGCATTCTCCTCTTCGGCAAAAACTATTTTCCACGTCATACTTTGACCTTTACTCTTGCATATACGATCAAGCCAACTACTCTATCGGCGATAGTGTTTATTGTCTTTAACCAGCCGGACTTGATTTGACAGCCGTGAATTTGACGGCAGCTGGGTCAACATGGTCATTGATACCCGCCCCCGGGTGTTAATTTGCTTCAGCAAGGATCTTATCAGATACTTGTGGCCCGCGGGCATTATATATACGTTCTACGCATTCCTTTCACGGTCGATATACCCTTTTTGAGAACGTTGGAGGCTTTGGATATTTTGGAGGAATTTGGAACTGACAAGCGATGTTTAATTGTGTGCTAATTTAATCTCGGAATTGACGACGTGTATGTACAAATGAGAAGAGAGTGTTTGGAGTGTTGGAGAAAAAGAAGAGATGGTGAGGCTTTGTTGGATGGGGAGACCTCCTTTTCTTGGTGGTCACCTCGGCGCCCTCACGGGATCTTGTGTGGTTTTTTTTTTCCCTCATTTGGAAAGAAAAAAAAACGAAATGATCAGACATATTTGATAGATAGTATGATTGGCGCAGTCGTACCTACATAGCTACGGGCAAGAGAAATGTGGAAGATCATGAGCCAAAAGTTCCGGTCCAGATTGCGATCCAAAGTGACATGTTTATCAACCACGACCATGACCATGTCGAGTTTTAAATGATGTTTCTCGGGTATCTTGCCTGTAATATACAACGCTATTTCGACAGCCGGCGGGTGACCTATATCCAATCTGGCCTAGATGGTTCATTCAATTTCCCTTCACTCTTTAACCCATCCGGGTACCTCCTCAGGGTCAAAGTCCTCCTCGTACCTCCTATCCTGGATCGCCTGCCACACGTTGGGCCATCCGGCAAGCACAGGGCTCCCCTTTGCCTTTGCTCCGATGATAGCGAAGCGGCCCTGCCCGTGGGCGATGAATCCGTGCATGAGGCCCTGCTGGACAAGGGTGGCCACCATCATCTCCACGTCCTCGGGTGTGACGTCTGCGTTGCCCCAGACCATGCCTTCGTTTGGCCGCAGCGACTTGGGACCGCCTGGTGGCGGGGCTAGTGTTGAGGCTTCGGTGCTTTGGGCGTTGTTTGATAGAGCCTTCATGAGGAGGGGGTTTACATGTTGAGGACGGCCGAGAGTGTTGGGACCTGATGGGAGCCAGCCTTCGAGACGGCGTTGGAGATACACGGCGACAGTGTGCAGGTCCGCAAGGTCAAGAGTGGCAGCTTTGCGGGAAGATGCGTCGGTTGGGGGTACGTAGGTTAGGATAAAGGTCTTTCGACTCAGAGACCGCCAGAGGAGAGGTCGGAGACGATTGCTGAGGGTCAAGAGCAGGCCCTTTTCAAAGAGCCAGGTCTCGTGCGCAGCCAGGTGGTGCTGAAAGTGAACAAAGTTTCCAGACCGGATGGCCTGACAGAGAGGGAGGAAGACGGGGGCCAGAGTCTGGCACTCTTGGCGCTGGAGCAGTGTCTGCGAGGGGAACCGCCCAAGGAGGATGTTGCAGGGAATTAGATATGTTAGGATGTTTGTCCGGTGAGAAACAAGCTGGGGAGGTGTCTGGAGATATGCTTCTTGCAGGCAGAGGGAGGCGCGGAGGTAGTGGTTGTTGGAGAAGTTGAAACGACCAAGATAATAGAGAAATGTGACGCGTTGGGCGGCTGGGTAGAGGGATAGTGGTGGTGAGATTGTCGAGATGTTGACAAAGATCATCTTGGCAAGATGAGTTCTCCGGCACTGCGTCCATGTCAGAATGAGAAGCGAGGTGCCGATTTGTGAGGGTCATACTGCAAAGAGGAGCTTGAGGACGAGGTTGGCAAACATGTAAACGCCAGTCTTTTTGCCCTCGGGTTTAGCATAGCGACCACTTGAACGGTCCGTAAGACACGTGGTGAATATCTTTTGAATAATTTCTGCTGAAGACTCTGCGATTGTCTTGTCCTCGTCTAGAGCTCGGAGACGGCGCGTCAACTCGGGACGCCTGTTGAGGCTCATTGTGAGACGCGCAAGGGTCTCGGAGAGGGACATGCTGGTCTTGAGAAGCATGGCGCCATACGTAGGATGAGCAAACGCCGTAGCACATGAGCTGATATCACCAGTTAGCAAAGTTCTTTATCTATCAGTGAGGGGGGTGAGATGCGCACTTGACGAGGCCACTCAGCAACTGATGAGCACCAAGCAAATCATCATAATCGACGTCGCGCCAAAAGGCCATGTAATCCTTCATGAAGGCGATGAAGCCCGGCCACACGGTCGCCTGACCATCCGGAACGTCGTCATCCTGCGGGAGAGACCTCTCGATGACATTGTCGAGGCCCTGCTGGCGAAACTGGGAGCGCAGCTCACCGGCGAGGTTGTGATACTGCTGAGGACTTCCGGGCTCGACCTGGAGCCAGGCGCGGAGCTTGTCGCCGTCCTGGGCGCGGACAAAGTTTCGAACTTGGGTGAGGAACTCGAGAACTAGAGGCATCTTTGTTTGTGGTGGTTGAGATGCCAATGTGTGAGGTTGTTCTGAGCGCGTCGAGATGGCGAGGCTGAGGGAGGTTTCGCGAGTTGAGATGGTCGGTGCTCCACTATAAGACAATGAAGATACATTTCATCCCGAATTGGGTATATCACTTGTCACCAAGCATCATGCATATGAGCCTAAGGGAAGGACAACAGTGTCAGTATTTAATTCCCAATTGGGCTATTTAACTCTCAATGCATGTGCTGCGTGAAGCCTGATTCATCCCATCTCCTTGCAGTTCTTTCAGGCTTAGCTACCCTGCATCATATCAAGTGTCTTCCAAATCATCAACATCATGCAAACCACAGAACTACAACCAATTGTAAAAGGGGCTCATGATCAAGTACATAAATTTTTCAATTTTTTTTACGCTACTTGTATCTATCATTCAGTTTTGACTGACGTAATTCATGCCTATTTTCATATCTTTTCATCTCTTACACGGACTCGATCCGCTGTACCACAAGGGCGGTTGCAGCACCACCACCGTTGCAGATGGCCGCGACACCATACTCACCAGGCTTAAGCTGGTGAAGAAGAGTGGTAAGGATCCGTGAACCAGAGCTTCCGAGGGCATGGCCCAGAGAAATAGCACCACCCAGAGGGTTCACCTTGGCACCCTTGAGATCCAGGATCTTGGAGTTTGCCAGGATCACGCTGGCGAACGCCTCGTTGAACTCCCAGATGGCAACCTGGTCCTTGGTGATTCCTGCGCGCTCGAGAGCGATGGGGACAGCCTTGGCGGGGGCAACGGGGAAGTCGATGGGCGATGTGGCGGCATCAGCGTAACCACAGATCTTGGCCAGTACTCGAGAGCCTGAGCCATACTGTTGAGCAATAGCCTTGTTACCGAGAACAAGAGCGCTGGCACCATCGTTAAGAGTCGACGAGTTCGCAGCAGTCACAGTACCGGTTCCATCGCGGACGAAGGCGGGTTTCAGCGTGGGGATCTTGTCGAACTTGACATCGTTGAAACCCTCGTCGGTGTCGACAACAATCTCGCCCTTTCGAGTCTTGACGGTGACGGGGGCAATCTCATCAGCAAAGGCCTTGTCCGCCCAGGCCTTTTGCGCGTTGCGGTACGACTGTATGGCGTACTCGTCCTGCTGCTCGCGGGTGATGTTGTGGTTCTTGACAGTGTTCTCGGCGCAGTTGCCCATGTGGAATTGGTCGTATACATCAGTCAGGCCGTCCTTGATAAGGCCATCCTCCATCTTCACATGGCCGAAAGCGGGGAGCCCACTTGCGCGGGGCACATAGTAGGGCACCTGGGACATGTTCTCCATACCGCCAGCAATCTGAGCCTCGGCAAGTCCCAGCTGGATGTTCTGGGCGGCCAGGCTGACGGCCTTGAGACCAGATGCGCACACCTTGTTGATCGTGGTCGCCTCGACTTCCTTGGGGAGACCGGCGAAGAGGACGGCCTGTCGCGCAGGCGCTTGGCCAACGGAGCCCTGAAGGACGTTGCCCATGTAGACGTCGGTGATCTTCTCGACGGGGACCTTGGACTTTTCGAGGGCCGACTTGATGGCGACGGCACCGAGCTTGGGCGCTGAAACTGACAAGAAAGCGCCATTGAACTGGATTGTGTTAGCTGAGCAATAGTCAATTAGAGAATCTGGCGTGCCTTGGCTGTAGGAGTTCGCGCGGCACTCAAGATGTAAGCATCCTGCAGTTCCTTGCGTAGAGCTGGCCGAGTAGAAAACTGTCGAGCCCCGTTCACATGTCCAGCAAGCTGGGCAAGCCTGCCGGCGGATCTAAGCTGAGTAGAGGACATTGCTAGAGAGGAATGGGGTATCAGAAGAAGGGGTTGACAGAACAAGAAAAAGACGAGAAGAAGAGAAAAATGATTAGAGGGAAGAGGCAGGTCAATTAGTATTGTAGCAGTAGCAGAATTATAAGATCAAAACGGCCTCGGGTATCACGGGTGACAGATGGCCGGAAACATTAGAGATGCCCTCCGCTCGGTCCCCTTCGGCTTCCAGCGGGGGAGGGCCGAAAGTGGCGGGGGATGAAGCTCTCTGAACCGAGCTGCAATCCGGGGAAGTGACGTCTTGCCTAGGTACAAGCCCGGCAGTGGGAACGCGGCGGCAGATGCAAGTACCTTTGCTGCATCTCTTGCGAGAGCATTTCCGCCGATTCCTCCGTTTCCATGAGCTAGACCCTGGAACAAGATGAACCAGTTCCTGTATCGGACAACGTCCGCTGCCATTTGCGGTTTCGCTTCCGAAGTTTTCGGTTCCGAAGAACCATGATGGATCAAGAAGAGCGGCCTTTGTCCCCCGCGACCATCTCAAAGATCCCGGTGGACGGACCGTTGTGGTGGGATTAGTGATCACGTGCAAACAACAAAGAGAGTGGATCTGAGACGGACAAACGATTGGCCAGCGTCAAACGGATATCTGATTGGCTAGCGATTACTGACACTGGAGTCTTCCAGTGGAATCACTCTCGTGAGGCTGTCGATGACCAATCTCCGTTCCCGCCCCATCCCTCCACCTTGCACCGCCAAATCCGTTGTCGCTGTAACAGCGAACCGTGCAGGTCATCTTTGTTTTCACACTCTGGGGATCATCGTTGGAATCATCGTCGCTGCCGGGTCTTTTTTCTTCTTATCGCCATCGAAGCCGTCTCGATATCAACACCTCCGAGCCTTTGAACGACCACCTTCTCCCTCCCAAGTCCGCTTCCGTATCCATCCGCCATCATGTCTACAGCTGCGCGCCGCCGCTTGATGCGAGACTTCAAGGTATGGCATCCGGGGGAATAGCCAACATATAATGTTAACAACAGCTGCAGCGCATGCAAACCGACCCTCCCGCCGGTGTCTCTGCGTCTCCTGTCCCTGACAATGTCATGACTTGGTATGCCACCCCGCCTCGACACGATCGGTGACCTGGCTCAGATACTAATCAACTGCTGTAGGAACGCCGTCATCATCGGTCCCGCTGACACCCCCTTCGAGGACGGCACCTTTCGACTGGTGATGCAGTTCGAGGAGCAGTATCCGAACAAACCCCCGCAGGTCAAGTTCATCAGCGAGATGTTCCACCCAAACGTTTACGCCACTGGAGAGCTTTGTCTGGATATCCTGCAAAACCGATGGAGTCCCACGTACGATGTCGCCGCTGTTCTGACCAGCATTCAAAGGTAGGAGATGGGACGGGAACTCAGTTGCATATGAATGTGATGCTGATCATGGATAGTCTTCTCAACGACCCCAATACCGGCTCGCCCGCAAACGTCGAGGCTTCCAATCTGTACAAGGACAACAGGAAGGAGTATACCAAGCGTGTCAGGGAGACGGTCGAGAAGAGCTGGGAGGACTAAGACAGAACCGACTCGACTCGAATCGAACCGACTACAGTAGGACAGAGAACGGTATGCCAACGTCGACTTGTCCAGCAGAGAAATGGATCACGGCCGCTCAACCATCATTCCCGTTCCTTGCACGGCCCGAATCTTGATAGCCTAAGGACGGGAGCAAATCTGTATATGGCGTTTTTTGGTGCGTGGAGTTGGACTGAATTGCATTCGAGGCGTTGCGACGTCCGAGGACGGAGGCCCTCCTTGGGACATGTTATGATATATCACGAGGCTCACTAACTTAGGAAGAGGAGTTGTCTGTTTCTTGAATCGTCTGCATCTTTTCGAATAAAGGCTTGTGCGTGTGTGTGTGATATTGACACTTGTCTGAGTCGTTGACTCAGAATCGACCAGTGATGGTGGGCGGATGCCATGGGCGGGTTGATTTGTCTGCTCCGATAGGAATGATGGCACCCACTCTCAATCATGCCGAAAGGAGTCCGCGTGCCATGATGATAACGGCCAGGTCCCACTTCCCAATGCCTGAATTGCTGTTGACAATGCGCACGCAATGATCCCTGCTGCCTCCCACATTATGGTGTCTTGTTATGAGCTTGTGAGATGTTGAGCATAGGCAAGAGATGAACTATTTATTCATGATATTAGAGATCCTGCCCCCTTGTCAGGCATCGTCTTGACTAAAACCACCAATCCATCCCCCGATCAAGCCCCTCCACGCCGCATCACGCAGTAAATCACAGTATCAGGGACGGGACCCTGACCCCCTCTCCAAATTGCGTGGTTGCTGCCGGCTGAAACCCACACGGGGCCGTCCAGTCCAGTCGGCGGTAGGGGGACCTAGGGACAAAGGCGCCTAAAAGACCCAGCCTCAGGGGGGCCTGAAAACTCCAAAACCCGCTAAATCCCCCCTAAACTTACAGGAGGGGGCCTCCTGAGCGTACGCGAGTCTCCCCCTCCGTTTCCGCCCCCCCTCTTGGCGGTAGAGTTCTCCAATCAACTCGGCCAGAACCCACCGCCTCTCCATCGTTGTCAACGACTCGAGCTTGCGAAAGTGTGTTGTGTTGTCCAGTCCAGTGCGTCCAGTGTGTTGACTGTTGTTGTTGCGCCGCACCCTACTGTCAGCGTCTCTCTTGCTCGGTGTGTTTGCTGATCGCACCACAAACCACCCCCCGCCAGCCAGACCCTGTCTTGGCCGTGTTTTTGACCTCTCCAATATCTTATCCTTTTTCACTCTCCCTCACGCTCCCTGCTCCCGTGTTCGAGGTGCTCGAATCTCGACGCCGGCTTGCGGCTCTTTGCACCCTCCCGCGGCCCGCATCTTCTGCGACCTCCCCGCCTCCAGCTCCCACCCCCCTGACGGCACTTGCAAGTTACATACATACATACAGACAGACAGACAACCAACCCACGATCGAGCCCAGCGACTCTTGGACGGCAGCACCGTGGCCGATGATAGCTTCCCCCGTGTGACACATAGCCCACGTCCACCATGTCGTCCGCAAACAGCATCAAGGTCGTCGCCCGGTTCCGGCCTCAGAACAAGGTCGAACTTGCGTCGGGCGGAATGCCCATCGTCTCCTTCGATGGCGAGGACACTTGCAGCCTCGACGTATGTCAATAATCTGCTTCTGCACCGCCTTGAGTGCCTCGACGCCTTTTGGCTAACCCGTTTCCCAGTCCAAGGAGGCGCAGGGCAGCTTCACCTTTGACCGAGTCTTTGATATGGCATGTAAGCAACAGGACATTTTCGACTTCTCGATCCGCTCCACCGTCGACGATATCCTCAATGGATACAACGGAACCGTCTTCGCATACGGCCAGACCGGTGCCGGTAAGTCGTATACCATGATGGGCACAAACATCGACGACGACGACGGCCGAGGTGTTATTCCCCGCATCGTCGAGCAGATCTTTGCCAGCATCATGTCGAGCCCTGGCACCATCGAATACACCGTGCGAGTCAGTTACATGGAGATTTACATGGAGAGGATTCGCGATCTGCTCGCACCCCAGAACGACAACCTGCCAGTCCACGAGGAGAAGAACCGTGGCGTCTACGTCAAGGGTCTCTTGGAGATTTACGTGTCTAGCGTCCAGGAGGTCTACGAAGTCATGAGGAGAGGAGGAAATGCCCGAGCCGTCGCCGCCACAAACATGAACCAGGAGTCGTCGCGATCCCACTCGATATTCGTCATCACCATCACCCAGAAGAACGTCGAGACCGGCTCGGCAAAGAGCGGACAGCTGTTCCTTGTGGATCTGGCTGGTAGCGAAAAGGTCGGCAAGACTGGAGCGAGCGGACAGACCCTCGAGGAAGCGAAGAAGATCAACAAGAGTTTGAGTGCCCTGGGAATGGTCATCAACGCCCTCACCGACGGCAAATCCTCGCACATCCCCTACCGAGACTCCAAGTTGACCCGTATCCTCCAAGAATCCCTCGGTGGTAACAGTCGGACGACACTGATCATCAACTGCTCCCCTAGCAGTTACAACGATGCCGAGACACTTAGTACCCTGCGATTTGGTATGAGAGCAAAGTCCATCAAGAACAAGGCCAAGGTCAACGCCGAGCTCAGCCCTGCCGAGCTCAAGTCCCTTCTCAAGAAGGCCCAGGGACAGGTCACCAATTTCGAGAGCTACATCTCAAATCTCGAGGGCGAAATCCAGCTGTGGCGTGCTGGTGAATCTGTTCCTAAGGAGAAATGGGCGTCACCCAAGACTACCGATGCCGTCGCTAGAACCAAGGCCGATGCACGAAGCTCGACACGACCCTCCACACCCTCATTAATAGCCGAGAGCCGCTCAGAGACGCCCGCGATATCTGAGCGCGCTGGCACACCCAGCTTGCCGCTCGACAAGGACGAGAGGGAAGAGTTTTTGCGACGAGAGAATGAGCTGCAGGATCAGATCTCAGAAAAGGAGTCTCAGGCCACAGCTGCCGAGAAGCAGCTTCGGGAGACCAAGGAAGAGCTCGTCTACCTCAAGGAACACGACAGCAAGGTGGGCAAGGAGAACGAGAAGCTCACGACCGAGGTGAACGAGTTCAAGATGCAGCTGGAGAGGCTCACGTTTGAGAGCAAGGAGGCACAAATTACCATGGACGCTTTGAAGGAGGCGAACACGGAGCTTACTACGGAGCTTGACGATGTGAAGCAGCAACTCCTTGACGTCAAGATGAGCGCCAAGGAGACGGGTGCTGCCCTCGACGAGAAGGAGAAGAGAAAGGCCGAGAAGATGGCCAAGATGATGGCAGGCTTCGACCTGGGCGGCGAAGTGTTTAGTGAGAATGAGCGTCACATCGCAGAGACCATCGAGAAGGTCGATGCGCTACACGAGCTGAGCGCCACTGGCGACAACATCGCGCCCGATGAGTTCCAGGCCCTCCGAGCCCGTTTGGTGGAGACACAAGGCATCGTCCGACAAGCCGAGCTCTCCATGTACAGCACCACTTCCAGCGAGGCCGACTCAAGGCGGAGACAAGAGCTGGAGGCTCGTCTCGAGGCTGTCCAGCAAGAATACGAGGAGGTTCTCACCCGCAATCTCGGCCCTGAGGATGTCGAGGAGGTCAAGGCTCGACTGGAGAACGCCTTTGCCAACCGCCAGACTGCTCAGTCTCAGTTTGTGGATGAGCTGAAGGCCGATATTACGCAGAAGGCTGCCGAGAACACAAGAATGAAGACGCTGATCGATGACCTTCAGCAGCGCGTCAAGGCTGGCGCCGCGGCACCGATGGCCAATGGCAAGACGATCCAGCAGCAGATCGCCGAGTTTGACGTCATGAAGAAGAGCCTCATGCGTGATCTTCAAAACCGATGTGAGCGTGTTGTGGAGCTCGAGATCTCGCTGGATGAGACCCGAGAGCAGTACAACAACGTTCTTCGATCGTCCAACAACCGGGCGCAGCAGAAGAAGATGGCCTTCCTGGAGAGGAACCTGGAGCAGCTGACCCAGGTCCAGCGCCAGCTCGTCGAGCAGAACTCGGCTCTCAAGAAGGAGGTTGCCATCGCTGAGCGCAAGCTGATTGCACGAAACGAGCGTATCCAGAGCCTGGAGAGCCTGCTACAGGATAGTCAGGAGAAGATGGCTGCTGCCAACCACAAGTATGTATCCCCTTGCTTACCCCTTTTCGGCCAAACAGCACTGACAGTATATCACCAGGTTCGAGGTTCAGCTGGCTGCGGTCAAGGAGCGTCTCGAGCTCGCCAAGGCCGGCAGCACCCGTGGCCTCAACTCACCAGGCGGCTTCAGCTTTGCCAGCGCCGGCAGCAGGATTGCGAAGCCCCTCCGTGGAGGCGGTGGTAGTGATGTTGCCCCCGCCATCCCAACCATCCAGAACCTCCACCAGACTGAAGGGAACAGTGGCAGCAGCAACAAGCGAGCTAGCTGGTTCTTTAACAAGTCATAGACGTGAAAGAGAAGAAAAAGAAAAAGACACCAAGAAAGAGAGAGAGGACCCTGCTTTTGCGTTGGGCACGGCGTTGCGAGCAGATCTGGTAGAAGCCCCCATCATACCCCCACCAAACAATGCCCCGTTCGATAAAACTTACTTTCTACTTGTTTCTTTCTTGTCTTGATTATTTTCCCTTGTCCCCTCGACTTCCCTTCTTGCTAGACGAGGGCCATAGAGGATGGGGAGGCTACGATGATTTGGATTTTATGACATGCTTCGCAATGGGACTAGGGAAGGTCGGATGATTGCTATAGGGACGGCGCTCTAGGCGCGAAAGAGGGAGGCCAAGTGAGTTTGGTGCGAGGAGGTAGAGAAGAGCAAAGCAAGATATTGCACGTGTGGGAGTCTTGTTCCACGACGACACAGGTAGCTCAGGCATGAAGTTTAAGAGAGTTAATGAATTGAGTTTCCAACCGGTTTGATTTGGTTACCAGAGCGGGACCAGATCGACAAGAAATGTGATATGTGGTATTGTTTTAATCCAATGGTGCACTCCTTATTGTACACTACATACATGGTACGCTATACGTGGAAGATGCTACAGGAGATGGTTGAGTCGAGAAGCCGTGAGAGTCAGTTCTGAGAGTTCAGAGGACAGTTTAGTTGCCCGTCTTGCCAGAGTTGCCACTCTTGGAAGCAGCGACGACGCCAAAGATGAAGATCTGGAGGCCAACAAAGGCACCAAGAAGCCCGCCAACACCGATGGTGACACCCAGGATCTTGACATGAAGCAGGATGATACGGCGCCAAGCAGCCTTGGAGAAGCTGGACCAGGCGTCAGCGACGCTGGCATAGCCAGGTCCGCCGACGACAGCAGGCTCAACCCTGCCGTTGAAGGAGCGGTCGAAGGGGACGATGGTGTCCTCGTCTGCGGGGAGGAGGGAGGCCTGGATACGGACGAGAACAACCCAGGCGGGGATGAGCAGGATCACCTCGCCAAGGATAAGGATGAGGCTGGCAAGGAGGATCCTGACGGAAAGGTTGAAGGGGTCACTGACCCTATGGATGTTGAGGGTGTTGATAAGGAGACCGCAGAGGGCAAAGGCAGCCTGACCAGCGGCCCAGAAGATGAGAGTAGGCCTCCAGGTGGCCTTGAGGGTGGTCTTGAAGGGGGGAAAGCGGGACCAGAAGCTTCGGGCAGATTGCGGGGTGATGACCTGGTGAATCCAGGCGGCTCTGAACTGGACGAGGGCGATGGAGCTGACGAGGCCACCGACGAAGACGCCGATACCGTAGGGAAGGCAGAGAGAGAAGGCGCCAATGATGAGGCCGCTGAAGATGCTCTGGACGATGAGGCAGGGAAGGCCACGGAAACAGGCGCGGAAGCCTCCGTGAGATCGGACCAGACGGAAGGTGGCGCGGAAGGAAGAGGTGACGGGCCGGCCGTCAGTACCGGGGCCAGCGACGTTGACAGCCGGAGCGGTGGTGGAGGGGATCTTGGGGCCGTTGCCGTTGGCGAGGGGCTCAACGGGGAGGGGCTCGTAGGCGGGAGGCTTGTCATCCTCGATCATGGCAAGGAGGGGGAAGACCTTGCTAAAGGTGTAGTCGATCTGAGCCATGTTAGAGAGGTGGAATGAGGGGTTGAGGGGAGACTCACGAGGAGGATGGCGGGGATAAAGACAATGTAGTTGAGGATGATGATGATGTATTCCCAAGACAACTGAGGCGACTCTGGGCCATTGTCGCTGGGGACATGGCCGCGCTCCCAGAGCACTCTTCCTACGTTGTGGATCATGGTGGCGGATAGAAAGCGAGAGATAATGCTATGAAGAAAAAAGAACAAATGAGAAAATGATGATGGTGATGATAGAAGAAGAGTAAAATAGGTGGACAGCCTCGAGTTGGAGGAGGATGGTTAGAGATGATGTATCCGAGAGTGGGCGGACCTTTATGGGGTTTTACAGTTAGAGACGCCCAGTGTTAGTGGCGCTGCAGGGGGGATGGTGTTGCCTGCAGGCAGTGTTCCTACGTAGGATGTGCACAGCCCCAGTGGCCATCCATGATGGATCTACAGAGCACACACCCCATGATTTGGAGATGAGGGACTACTGCAAAGTATAGAGTAGATGTGAATAAGTACAGGTTTATTCTTGGATGTTGATCAAATGAATATGTGATTCTACTATTAATCAATGCCTGTACTTTTCTTGTGTCTCTTGATTTGCACTGACTGAAGCTTCCTTGGCAGCGGGTGAATCATTCCTTCGGCCATTGCTGTATTGGGAAATCAGCGAAGGATCTTGAACCTCGTCTTCGGACCAAGAACATGCATTAAGGCCAGCAATATCAGGCAGACCAGTTGAATTTACAGCCTAGGCATATTCGAGTATACACATGTACAAATAATTAAATTTTTCTACTTTTATTTATCCCTCTTGTCGTTTACTGCCAACTCTTTAAGCTCATATCCGGTACATCCGCTCACTCTCCTTTGCTGATGCGGCGGGTGCTAGCTAATATAAAGACGCGTCGACATTCCAGCGGAGCCTTGAAGCAGCCAATAGCGGGGAATTCAGCCCGTGGTTAGTGGCGCTTGGCTAGAGACGCCTGGACTACAACGTACGCGAGACATTCATCCTGACAAATGTGAAACAGCAATATCGACCAACACTGAAGGTGATGTATTAAATCGAAACATGTCAAGTAATGGATATGTTGGAAGAGGCGCTGGTATACATTGCGTCATTTATATTCATGGGCTGATATAATCTGTAGATGAGTCCTACCTAAGGCAGATAGAGGCTCTTGAAAATGCCCCGCAGAGTCTGCAGGGCTGACACCCATGGCAGTCACTTGCCTAACTCGGAGCTGTGCTGTCAACCTTGAACCACCACACACAACCTCAAGCTATCAACTCTCACCACCAAAGCCTCAACAACCTCCACCTCTTGGCCATGTCGGCTTCAGAAATACCAAACTTACTAAGCTCACTCCGATCTGCTCGCGGCGGACGTGGTAGAGGTAGAGGTCGAGGCGGACATCACGGCCCCTCTTCCATCACCCACGATGCGACTATTCAGGGCACCGATACAGACGCTTCAGTATCAAGGCTGAGCGCTGTTGACCTTGGGTACCTCGATGACCCGTATGCTCAGTTCTTTGTGCAGAGCGCCGATGGTCCTCCTGCGAGACGTCTCCCAATCATCAACCGAGGTGCGCTGGCTGGGTTAACGCCATGATGTGCTGAGCTCGACTAAACGAGCCACTTGCAGGAACATATACTCGAACAATTTCTCTCGACACATTGGTGGATTCTTTTCTCAACGGTGATGAATCAGGTTCTTTGCCAAAGCAGATCGTGTCACTAGGTGCTGGCACTGATACTCGTCCTTTTCGGCTGTTTGCATCAAAGTCGCGGCCTGGTCTGGTCTATCATGAGATTGACTTTGAAGTTGTTGCGTCGAGAAAGCTACGGACTGTACAGGCTACACCACCACTGAGAAACATTCTCACAAACATCTCCAACGACACCAAAAGTACCTGGTCAAGTCGACCGGCGTCAGGAGGAGAGTATTATTGTCATGGCCAAGACTTGCGAAACCTTGCCCCGCGAAAAGTCCCGAACCCAGACGAGGAGTCTTCTTCACAACCAAAGGAGCAGCCTGGAGTCACTCTACCAGGCTTACGCAGCAATATCCCGACCCTTCTCATTTCAGAATGCTGCCTCTGCTACCTCAACGTCACAGAAGCAAGCAACGTCATATCATTCTTTTCCTCCCAAATCCCCAGCCTTGCTACCATCATCTATGAGCCCACGCATCCAGATGACGCCTTTGGGAGGATGATGGTATCCAACCTCGCTGCTCGGCGCATTCAGATGCCGACGCTGGATAAGTACCCCACGCCTGAGGCTCAACGGACGAGGATGACAGAGGCTGGTTTCGAGACGGTGCATCACATGACGATTGAGAAGATCTGGGAGACGTGGGTTTCACCGGAGGAGAAGCAAAGGGTTGACTACTTGGAAGGGTTGGACGAAGTGGAGGAGTGGAAGCTGCTGGCTGCTCATTATATCGTTGTGTGGGCTTCCAAGGGGAACGGGTTTGGGTCATGGGAGAGTGTTGGCGGAGGGGCTTAGTCTTGGGAATGAGTAAGAGGGGATACTCGAGAAATGTTGAGGCGATTGATGGCTCAGAATGGAGATCATGGTGACGGGTAACCTTGACGTGCTCTTGCTTTGTGCATGAAGCAGCGTGGAGTCTTGGTGATGCAGCCCTAGAGAATTTATGAGACTACGAAATTCTACGAAAACATTGAATATGTCATTAATAAGATGAATATGGATGATAGAGCACGTCATTATCCGTTCTACAGCCAGATCTCTCTATAAACGTTGATAACTACGAGTTGCGCTACCGTGGGAGTGCCATTCTCAGGTTTACATTTACATATTTTGGCGCAGGACAACAGTCTTGACTAGTCTCAGTATGATCCCACCCAATTTAGTAGGTACGCATGTGACTAAAATCTAGTAATTTTCCAATATTGAATTACTCAGTTAGAATGCGCCTCGTGAACTACCTTGATCATGCCTAAGCCTTGTCACCCAGACGTAAAAAAACTCAAGATACTAAAATATCTATACTTGGCAAAGAGTACTTATATACTAACCAAATTATATACTAAATAAGAGATAATAATAAGAAATAATATTATAAATCTTTGAGTATTTTAGATAATAGAGATCATTGACTTGGTATCTCATGTTTTTCTTCGAACGCCTGCCTGTTTACTTGGACGTCGAGGAGACAAGGTGGATACTTAACCATTTTAGGTTTAGCTCGTTGCTCAGCTCTCATCTCAACCTCCCTCACAGTGAGTTTATAGTATAAGTTCTAATTACGATTCATCCCGACTTTTCATAAACAACACATCTTCTAACCCTCACTTCATAAGAAACAACCATATCACATCTCATAAGTAGCCTTCAAAATGGCCGACTCAAAAGATAGCAAGGCGTACAAGTATCGCCAGGAGATTAGCCAGATGATGTACGTCTCTGGTGAGACGGCTGAACCACCCGTTGAAACGACGAGCATCATTGAAGATATCGTCCGCCAACAAGTCATTGAACTCGTACGTATTCCCTCCTAATTATCTTCATACAAATCACTGACCAATATAGCTCCGCAACTGCACAGAGCACGCCTCCCGACGCGGCTCCAAGTCAATCGCCATCAACGACCTCATCTTCCAGATCCGCCACGACCAGGCCAAGGTGTCGCGTCTGCGCACTTTCCTCTCGTGGAAGGACGTGCGCAAAAACGTCAAGGACTCTGACGACAAGGGCGCCGACGCAGATATCGCTGCGGGAGACGACCCCGTGGGAGGTGTCGTGGCCGGCGGGGGACCCGTCGACGAGGCAGCCAAGAAGAACAAAAAGGCCAAGGTCGGACTCCCCTGGGAGCCCTCTTCCTACTACAACGTTGAAGTCCCTGAACGTGAGGAAGAAGAAGACGAGGAGGAAGAAGAAATGAACTACATCACCCTGCAGCGCCTACGCAAAGCCGACGAGCGGACAAAGGCCATGACAAAGGAGGAGTACGTCACGTGGTCCGAATACCGCCAGGCATCCTTCACCTACCGCAAGGGAAAGCGGTTTCGCGAGTGGGCGGGTTTCGGAATCGTGACGGACAGCAAGCCATCGGACGATATTGTCGATATCCTCGGCTTCCTCACCTTTGAGATGGTCCAGACCCTCACCGAGATGGCCCTCAAGGTGAAGGAGCAGGAGGATCTGGCCAGGGCTCAGACCGGTGCTGGAGCGGGGGCTGGTGGTGAGAACGCTGCCAAGAAGCGGAAGCATGAGGGAGCCCTCTTTGACTTTCCCAGTGAGGGAAAGACGCCTATCGAACCTCGTCACGTTCAAGAGGCGTCGCGACGTCTTCAGCAGAGGCCCAAGAAGTCGAGGGCCATGCTTAACGGCACCCGAATTGCCCAGCACACGCCCCTCAACATCTTCTAAGGAGCACTTGCATTCAAATCAACTCTGGAATGGGCGGCGTTACGAGTATTGCATGGTGGTTCTTGGTTACGAATGCGATAACATAGGAAACGAGGGTACGGAGCGAAAGGCGCAGGTGTCATTGGGTTTCTCTTTTCTTCTTGCCTGGCTCTTCTATACACCTCTGAATTTCATATAAATTATTCCATCAAAACCTTCACTTCATCACCTATTGTCGTGACTCAGTGTAAACGCCCGACGCCGAACAACCGCATCGTTCTCACATAACCGTGTTCCAACTCTCTGTAAGCTCATGGGTATATCCTCCTCGCTATCACTGTCCACGGCCTCCTCCACGCCCTTCTTCTTCCGTAATCTCTCCCTAATATGCTCTGCGTGTCCCCGAATCGTTTGTGTCCGCTGTAGTCCCGTCGTCCTACTGTTGTCGCCCAAGAAGGCCGGTGCCGTGGATACTTCCTCTGCCGGAACCCCGGCTGTGCTGCTCTCGACGGTAGGCACAGAAGCCAGGGGTACGTGGTTCAAATGGGCGCGCTGACGGTAGTTGCTATACTCAGGCTTCTCAAGTAGTCCGCTACGGAAAGCGTTAACCCCTACGAGGAGCTTGACAAGCTCAACAAGCTCTTCAAGATACTCAATAATCTCCATCTGACCTGCAGTACTTGCGTTCCAAGACAAGAAGCGCTTCTGCGTGATGAGATGAGCAACTTGTTGAGCCAGTTCGCCATTCTCATCAAATACAGTCGGCACACCACCGGCAGGCGTGTGCGTACCACTCCGCGACGCCAGCACTTCGCGGACGTGATTGACAAGGCGAAGTTGGGCGAGGCGACTTGATGGGATGAACTGAGGTAAGGGCTGCCATGTTATGAGAGCCTCGTTTACTGAAAAGAGAACAAGCATAATACTGGCAGCCACGTTGCGTCGATATGCGTGGACCTTGGGGTTCAGGTCCTCCAAGATCGAGGAGCCATATTCTTTCCGTAGCTGAACCACATTGTCCATCCTGTCAATGATCTGGTGCAGTACATAGAGAATCTCTTTGTAGATTGGCTCAAGTGGCTTGAAGCTTCCCTTGAGACGCGGCTCAGTCGTACAGAAGGGAAGAAAAGTCTCCGCCGCAGCCAGCGCACCGCGTGCTTTGCTTCGGGCATGATTAAATCGTTTGTGAAGCCCTGGATTCCGAAAGTCGGGCTTTATCGGACTGTCTAGCCCAACTGCCATTGAAGCCTGCATGTTTTGTACCTGTTTGACAGAGGCTGAGAGGGATTCAAGCAGTCGATCCCGCGCTCTGACTGGAAAAAGCAGCATCTCAACGAGAAGAGCGACTGCTCCTCCGATGACAAACGCAGTCAATCGCTTGTAAAAGTTTTCGTAGGCGGTACCAGAACCGTTCATGGCAGCTAGAGCTGGTCAGTACTTGTTTAGATGATATAACTAGTGGTAGACAAACCAAGGGCGACGACAACCATCGTCACTGTAGCCACCATGCCAGCCTTGACGTATTTGGTTCCAAGCTGGATATAGAACGATGGAACTATGCCAACCACCAGAATAAAAACCATGGCCACCCGACTCCCCCTCCCTATCTCGTAGGAAAGGTATCCAAGAACACAGCCAAATATCACGCCAATCAGACGGATAAAGAAGATGAAGAACGAAGTGCCTATAGCCACTTCAAAGACGAGAATCAACTGCATGGGCGCCCAAATACCGCGGACCTCCGAATACCAGCCGTTCCAAGAAGCCACGAATGCAGGCCAGCTCACAGAGAAGACAGCAAGAGCGAGCTTGAGAGCATATGAGATGTCGTCTGAATCCTGAATCCACTCAAGGGCGTCTGCTGCTTTCCCCCTGAACTTGAGAATTTTGCTCTCGTTGCTCACATCTTTCGAGTCGTCCTCCGACTTGGTCTCTTCCTTTTGGGGCGTAGTTTCTTGGTCCGTCGACCTCTCGGGTTCCGCAAATCTGATCCCCTTTTCTTCGTCCTTTGGATCTGATTGCTCAATATGTTCGTCGTTTTTCTTATGATGCGTCTGGTTCTTGGCCTTGGAGCCAGGTGGTGCTTTTCCTCGGCGGACCTCCTTTCGACCTGTTTCGGGGAGGACGAGACCATCGATTTCACCACCAGTTGTCAACCATTGCCGGATATTGATGTGCTTGGGGAACCAAACAGACGATTTATCGTTTCGAGCCTTCCTCTCCTCAACAACCTTTCGAACGTGACGCAACATCTCGAGGATATGCATCGCAGACTGACGAAACGCCAGCACAAAGGAAGAAATGAGAAACGTTTCCATCCGGGGCATAAAGTCAATGCTGTGCCCAGTTTCATCCAATGCTGAGCGTCGAAGCTCCATCGCACAGCTGGCGTCAAAGTTGGTGATGGCCTCGTTAAAGACGTCGATCCTAAAGTCCAGTTCCTCCAAATGAATTCCTTTCGGAGCGGGCGCACCTGATGGCAACCTCGGCACATCGTAACAATAGGCCAAACATACAATGACCAAGCGTACCGCCTCTTTGAGTGAAGCCTCAAACTCTTGAACAGGCTCACGAATCCTCTCTAGAATCGACTCCAACAGACTGGCGCTGCTTGCCTCAATCTCTCTGAGCGGCTTCGCATTCTGGACTCTCCGTAGGTAGTCATCAAAAGTGGACATGCGTTTGATACCGCTGGCATCGCTAACGAAACTGTCGGTTGCTGTAAGATTGTCGTCTTCAGAACGATCGTCGTTTTCCAGGACAATGAACTTGTTTTCGCAAGCTCCGATGACAGTTATAGTGCTCTGAACAAGACTGCTCATGTATGAAGTACTCAAGGGCTTCATGCTACTCGGAGGAAGAGCCGAGATAGAGAGTTCATAGTTGACCTCCCTTTGAGCTGCCTTACAACGAGCAAGTCGAGTACGAAGCTTTGCCTTTTTCCCCGTCAAGCTGGCGACTGTTGTAAGTCCAACTGGGACCGTCGAGGCACGATAGCGCCCTTGAGCTGGTTTAAATGGATTTGGAAAGCCGTCCAAGAACTTTCGGAAGCGGCCCTTTTTGCGTTTCGGTTTCTCGGGAGAGCTTATGGCCGTAGTTGTCAGGGTTAGACCGACTGGGTGCAGGTCTTGTTGCGAATCGCCGCCGGGAGTAACAAACCAATGGGTGGCGCGAGTAAGAGTATCCATGGTTTCGCAAAGAGAATCGATAGCAGAGAGACCAAGAAAGCTACTCGACAACTCAGGGAACATGGATATGTTGACCACCACGGTAACACCACCACCAGCAAGGATTGGGTAGAGCACATTGGTGAAAACAGTCAAGGTTACCTCATGAGCGCCCCCAAGGAGTACGATAATACTGGCAATAAGGAGGAAGGCGACGAACAAGAAGACACGTGGACTCGAGGATCTCACGTAGCCATGAACCAGAACGGACACGAGCAGGAACATTGCTCGGATGGCATAGGCGGCCGGCTCGTTGTGTTCGAACACGAGGCTTGATAGGAAGAGGCCAAGTAGGGACCACCCAAGTCCTAACAGAGAGCCCAGCAGAAGCATAAAAAGAGACTCGATCATGGTGCCCATTCGCTGACCAGGATGAGCAAAGACGGTCGCCATCGGGGCTAAAAAGGTCGAAGGGCCGAAAACGGAGACTGCCTTGGGAGTAATGACAATTATGACAGCAGCGGTACATGCAATTGAGCATTTCACGATGCGCTGCCATAAGTCATTGGCCTGGTAGTCGCCCCAGATGACTGTAATCAGCCTCCGGAGGCGTTTGGTGAAGGCTTTCATGTTGGTTCTCTTCACAATGGCAATATCGTTGAGGATGTTGGTATTGGTGAATTTGCGTGAGAGGCGAGTATCATCCCCTCGACTTGAGTATCGACGCCTCGAGACTCGCGTCGTCGTTAGAGATGGGAGGAATTATCTGGACATAGAAAGCCATGCAGAAGAGAGGAAGGGTCCTGGGGAGCGGCGAGGTGGTATCGATTGAGGAAGCGGAGCACGATGGGCAGTAATAAAAAAAAACAAGATGGTCGATGCGTTGGGCGGGAATTCAGCAGGATTAAATCATGAGAGTAATGCCAGACAGCGGGGGCAGCGTCTCTTGGTGTCTTGGGTTTTCGTGTCTTGGGCTCAGGTTCATGTGGAGGGAGGACGAGGGACCCCTGCGAGACTCGTCATAATGCGCCCAAGGTTATGGGCTAGGGCATTGACTGGCTCCTGGATATGGGTTGTAAAGGTTCTTGGCTTGTGAGTTGTCTGTCGCGTCGCGTCTGGTGATGCTGGAATGAGAAGATAGATTGGGGAGGGGATCTCCGAAAGAGGAGAGATAGCACACGATCACGCTACGGCAGACGGAGGAAGGCGCGTGTGACTTGGTTGTTGAAGGCAGGAACCTAGATGTGAATAAACTTGTCGGTGGGATCAAGCAACCAACAGTGAATAAGCGTTTGGGTGATTAACTTCATTTATATCAATTCAATTAAAAATAATAATAATAAGCCTCTTCGGCCACAAGGAAAGCCAATTCCAACACTTTGCGGGGAAATGGGAGTCGCTTTTCTACACGAGCGAGATGCAGATCCATTGCGATGCAGATGCAGATGGTGGAGAGCCCGAGTTGCGACTTCCGGCCACTGGAGTTTGGGGCTCTCCAGGGTCTCCAACGGGTGGCATCGCAGCCCCTCAGTGGCTGACCCCCCTCCAAATCACGGCCCAATCAGCTGTCGTCGCCTCTGCAGCCTCCTATCCTTCGCGCTCCAACGTCCAACTCCATCGGTTCCGGCGCATCCATCCCGCTATCACGAGCCTCACCTCTCCCGAACCGCATTCCTCCTTGATTGAGCTTCAGCCTCGCCCGTCTCCACGATGCTCTCCTTTATCCTCATCCAGAACCGACAGTGAGTTGACCATCAACGCTGATTGTCAACACGCTTTGCTGACCTCTCCAGGGGCAAGACCCGTCTAGCCAAGTGGTACGCCCCTTTCAGCGACGAGCAAAAGATCAAGCTCAAGGGCGAGGTTCACCGCCTCGTGGCGCCGCGCGACCAAAAGTACCAGTCCAACTTTGTCGAGTTCCGCAACAACAAGATCGTCTACCGCCGCTACGCCGGCCTCTTCTTCTGCGCCTGCGTCGACACAAACGACAACGAGCTCGCCTACCTCGAGGCCATCCACTTCTTCGTCGAGGTCCTCGACGCCTTCTTCGGCAACGTCTGCGAACTCGACCTCGTCTTCAACTTTTACAAGGTCTATGCTATTTTGGATGAGGTGTTTTTGGCTGGTGAGATTGAGGAGACGAGCAAACAGGTTGTGCTCACGCGGTTGGAGCATCTAGACAAGCTGGAATAAGAGCGAGGGGGATAGTGATGATGCGGAAGGAGACGATAATGACCAGAAACTTGGTCGTGATACCCCTTCAACCTGAAGCAGGAAGTTTTTGTACATCACCGGATGGTAGACAGGAGTCTTGGCGTTGGAGGAATAATTCATCATCTCGTTAATATACCACCAAGGTAACTTTTGACTAACTCGTTCTTCTTCCTTTCACTTTCGTAATTCATAATCGCATTACTCTTGTCAACCTAGCATGGTCACATCCCATCCATATCCGCCCTCTCATGAGTATCACTCCCCTGGATCAACACCTTGGATCTTGCTCAGTCCCCTCACCGCAATGAACGATTTCCCCATCATCGGCCGGTACGGTGGTCTCAGTCAACAAACTCGAATCAAGCGATGGATCGGTGCCGACATCATGAGGTGAATCGTCGAGGTCTGAGACTGGGCTCAATGACGGGAACAAGGTCGGAGAGCGCATGTCTGGTGTGTTATTCTCGAGATAGTGCCATAAGGCTTCGAACTTGTCAGCTGGCATGGACTTTTGTCGTTTCGGTGCCGGCTCATCTGACTCTGACTCTTCTGGCACCTTTGACACCTCCAGCTCCTCGTCTGGCGTTTCAATGCTGGGAATTGGGATGTCCCTCGTGGGCCAGTTCTTCAAAGCGTACACCAGCCGGGTCCTCTCTTCTTCACCATCTTCGTATTCCTCTCGCTTTCTGACTCTCCCAGCACCGTTACTTTGTTCCAGGTTCTTGACATGGTTAGTACGAAAACGGAAAAGTAAAGTCAGCCAGCTTACCTTGGGTTTGAGCCATGTACTCATAGGCTCATCCCATTGTTCACACTGAGTTGCTTCGTGACGGGAATCTCGACCTTTCATTGCCGCCTTCTCGCAGTTGGACTCAGCAGTGCAGTCTTTCTTCGAGTCCATGGTGGTTATCGATGCGATGCCGATGAGATCAGGGCGCCGTGGAGAACCTGTAGAGGGCTGGGCTGGGTGTATATAATGTACAAGGAGGGACTTGAGGGCATGTAAAGTATGATATGCCGGCTTGAACGTATATATAGGTAAGATGAAGGGAAAGCCTGGGAGGGTTGCCTGGTAGGTTGTGTATTGAAACTGCACTCTGTGTGATGGCTTCAGCTTGTTGAAGGAGGGAGAGAGGAGGAGAGAGCTGGCTTCAAACTGGGCCATTTGATGACCCTTTATATATACGATGTGAGTCCCAAAAAGGTATATTTCACTTTCATCTTGTCCTCACTTTCTTCACGTAGGTGAGGGGCAGAGCTCACTGATATACTGCCAAATAAGGCGACGACGGTTCGCCATCGAATTACTCTTGACCAGTTAGCCATCACTGGCAGCAATCAAAAAGACACATCACTGTCTGAATAGGGCAATAGAGCAATCAAGCAATGAATCATTGTGCTTTTAGCGGTGACATTCAGTGCAGGGTGCTGTGGGCGCCTCTTCTTTCTCGTTTGTACTTTCGTTTGCATGGTGTATATACACTTGTTGTGTAAGCTGCATGGCTGCCAAGATCATGAATGTGCTGAGTCGTTGACACGAAAAGTTGTCATTAGCTATGCTTTTGTATATAAATCATAAATAATAGCTCCTCCTAGCAAGCTCCTTTCCCGTGAATGCTTTGCGTACCTCTGCGGATTCAATATCATGATGCCGGGTCCGTCTCAAGCTCACCGCCAAACAATCGCAAGGCCAGCACTGAAAGGCATGGATGTGATGCTGAATCACGGGATGACGCTAGTTACACAAAACCTTTGCATCCTAGATAATCTATCACTTCATCACATATCTCTTTCTAAGTGCCATTTTCAATCCACTTTGCAGTCAATCAGGGGACATTGTCCCGTCATATCTGACATATATCACGAGAATCACATCCAAAGCGCGTACACGTTGCGAACCTTGTGACTATGAATCAAACCGGATTTGCCCAAGTTGATTGGGAAGGATATCAACACCAGTAACCCCCGACCCTCTGGCTTAGAGGTTCCTCACTCAAATCAAGCCAAGACACACTCAAAGCTGACATTACACATCCAAAGTTCTGCTTAAATCAATAATCTCTTCAAAGCGAAACTCCATAGTGCCATACAAAATCAAGAAACAACACATCCCACGTCACCGCTTCTTCAACGCCGCAAACCTCCTCTCCAAGTCTCCGAGATCTGGGATCGATCCCTCAGGCTCCTTCCGCGACGCCGCCTCGGCCTTCTTGCTCGGTTTCAGCTCCACAGATCCCAGAGTCACCTTTGGATGCACGTTGTCCGTCGTCATCCGGGGCGGCGTCACCGTCAGTGGGCTAGTAGGACCTCCGCCGCTGAGCTTCTTGACTGGTGTGTTTAGGACTGGATCCTTGGGTTCTGCTGCCAGAGGCGCCTCGAGGACCTTTTGCTTCTGTCCACCCGAAGGCTTGTCTTCGTCGTCTGCTGCTTCGTCGTCGTCATCGAGGAGCTCTGGGGGTGGCGAGACCGTCTCCCGCTTGGGCCAGTCGACGCCGTAAGCCTTGGCAATCTCCTCCAGGTACCCAACCACAAGCTCCTCCCGAGGGGGCGTGACGCTGAGCTTCTTGACCACCTTCTCGTTGACCTTGCCTTCTGTGTTCTCCGTGGCCGACAAGACGTATTCCTTGCCATACTTCTCAGCCAGCAGCGTCCTCACCGTTCCGAGCTCTTTAATCTCCGTCTTGGGCGCAGCGTAGATCAGACTCTGGATAGCCTCCTCCAATCCTGGGTCGACCGTGTGTCCCTCCATAAGCCCCGCGCGCGCAAGCAGTAGTTCGCAGTAAAGCTCGAGCATCTCGTGTAGCTCGCTGGTGATGTCGGATCGGATGATGTTCTCGACGCGGATGCGGGCCGAGTCGATCTTGCCGGCCTCGAGGAGCTGGGCCATGGCCCTCCGCTGGGTCTTGCCGAGCTGCTCATCTCGCTGCTGAACCATGCGGAGGCGCGCGATGGTGAGCTTGAGCTGGACCTTGAGCTTGGTCTGCGAACATGGGCGTCAATATCGGTACCTCGTCGCTGGGCGGTTGTCGCATCATGACAATGGATCCATGGCGGGGAAACGTTCATGTGGGGTGGCTTAGGAGGGGACTCACCAGCAAAGAGGCACCAGGCGCCATGATGAACGAATAGGAGGGAAAGGAGAGAGGAGCTGAGGAGAGATTGGGTTACAAGAGAGGGATGATGTAGCGTATGGCCGGGTATAAAGTAGAGAGAGTTGGAGAGTGTGGAGGGGAAGAACTGGAGCCTGGAACTTACACAGCAACAGCCCAACTGTGTCTAGCGCAGGCTCCAGCTATGAGCTCATTCCCGTCGTCTCGGCCCCACCAAAGCTTCATCCAACTCCTCGACCATGGATTGAGCTATCCCAGGCAACCTCATAACTTATAAAACAATCACCAAATAAGACGCGTCACCTTGTTCGTAGACCTCATATTTTACAAATCACGGCTTCTTCTGTCATTATTAAGACCCCAAAACATGAGGAGCCTGCCCAGTCAGTCTATCTTTGTTGGAGCAGCTTGTCAACTGGCTTCCACCCCCTAGGCACCTAGGTAGCCAAGCCCATCCCATCCCATCCCATCCCAAATTGTACACGTCTCTCCGTGCCTACACAAAGCCATGATATGTATAACCTGCCCGTCCCAGGGGCTGTCGAACAGCTCCAGATAACCTCGAAACCGAGGTCCTTCATCGCCATAAAACGCCATGTCCCGATCCCACAGCTGCGGATTGCCTGCTTGCCAGCACACCCGCTGCTCCTGTAGCAAATATTTCAAAAAATGGCGTCGTAGTTGGTACACTCCCTCTCTACCGGGGACTTGCAGTTATTGCTGGAATCTGCATCCTTCTACTCCATATCGGCGTCCTCTGCAACTGGCGCCACGCCGTCAATTGCCTCGCCCGAGAAGACCTGCTTGCCTTCATATGTCACGCGGCGCCATCCACACGCCTCCTTGTCGTCCTTGATCCATTCCATTGTCGGGAAGTAGTGGTCGTTCTTCTTCATCGTAATAACCCATGGCACGCAGTCAAATGTGACTGCCTTGAGTCGGAAGTCTGCATCCCTGTTAGCTTATACAACCTTCTTACTTCATCAGGGGTTTACTTACAGGTGTTGTCGGGAATCTCCCGGGTTGCGGCGATGAACGAGTTCAGATCGGGCGTCGGGGTGCCATTGACATGTGTGATAAAGTTGGTCGGGGCAAGACCGTACTGATAGGCCGGCGAGCCACGAATCCTACTTGATACGTAGACCTCGCTGTGCAGCTTGCTGATTTGCTGTCGAACAGCCTGGTGAGGCCTGTGCAGGATGGCACCGCAGAATGAGACCGCATGGTCCGTCTCCACGTCATCTGCCGCGACAGTAGGCAGCTGGAGATTCATCTCCTCGCACTCACGAACAATGACGGCGTCGAGGACTTCGTGCGAGTACATGACATCAAAGTCAGAGATGGTTGTGCACATCTTGCCGTTCAAGGTCAAAACAATGTCTCCCTCGAGTAGCGAAACCGGGTGATTGACACGCTCAAAGGCCCGCTTGCTAACCATGAACAGCTGATGGTGAGATCGGTTGGCCTGGGTCACCTTCTTGATCCATTCGTTGGACACGCCCATGACAGATGCCTGAGACATCTGGATCGATCTAAATTCGACCGAGAGAACGCGAAGCTGGGGGGTGATGCCCTTCTGGATCGACTCCACCACAGGAAGGAGAGTCTTGGTGCCTAGACCAAGGTAGTACTCCTCATCCCGTTGAGAGCATGGCGACCGCTCGCCAAGATACGACAGCCACAGAGCCTGGACCGTACCATCAGGGGCTACAAGCACACCACTGTTGCAAGATGAGCCCAAGTTGCTGTCAATCGTAATAGCATCAACGTTGACGGCGCGGTATCGGGGAGCTCCTGAGTTGGCAGGGATGGCTACCGCTGTGATCTCAGTGACGTTGGTGGAACCATGCACAACGCGGCCGATTCTGTTATAGCCAAGGAAGTAGGTCTTGGCACCCTGGGTAAGGACTTCGTTGCTCAATCGTGCGCTCTTGACGGGCGCATCAACCAGCGAAGTATCGTACTGAATAATGGCATAATTCTGGAGAGGATGGAGGAAAACCACCTTGCCGTCCACGATGATGGAGTCGGCGATGGTCACGGTGATGTCGCACAGGTCATAGGGGACAATGGCTCTGGAAATTAAGACCAGACCCTTCTCAGCATCAATGACCAGACCCATACCCCAGCGTCGGTTCTTGGGGAAGCCATCGAGCTTCACAGGCATGGTACAGTTGATATGCACAAAGCTGCGAATAAGATCTGCGATACCAGGGTGAGGCATATGATCCAGCTCGATGAAGGAGGCTGATCGACGGGCAGGGGGTACAGGAGGCAGGGGGTCTCCCAGGTCGGTAAAATCCCAGACGCCTGACTCGTCGTTTCGAACTGCTAGCTTCATCTTCGAGGCCCAGTGACGGTCAATGTAGACGACAGTCGTGTTGAGTGTGTGCAAGTCACGTAGATGCTTGTAAGTGACCACCACCCTGGCGCGGTCAGGAATACCCTTCATCACCTCGATGAACGTCTTCAGATCCGGCACCTTCTTGTGATCAACGGTCTGGACGATCCAGCCATTGTCAGCATTGTCGAACCGGAAGGATCCGGCAGACTCGCAGACGAAGACGCCCTTAACGGCGACAGCATAGAGTCGAGCTTGCTGGTAAGAGAGGTCATGGAAACTGGCACCCGCTACAGAGACGAATCGGTCAGGGGTGATGCTGTGAAGATCGCCAACCTGAATATCCACCTCCACATCCTGCCCACCGCGCTGAAGATGGAGCTTGATGGTCTCGCCAACGTTGGAATCCAGGATATCATCCAGTCGGATAAACTGGCTGATGAGCTCACCGTTGACCTTGATGAGAACATCACCCTCCTCAATCTTGCCATCCGATGGGCCCTGGGGGAGGACGATCTCGGCCACAAGCATGTTTGTCACGGTTGGGAACTCCTTGCGGATCGCCGCCTCCCACTCGGGGCTCAGACCCAGCCTACGACACTCGTCGAACGGCTTGAGAAGGAACTGGCACTGGATATCACCACGCGTGACGGGCTTGCCAGCTTGGATACACTGGAGCGCCCGCAGAGGTCGGTCCAGGGGGAGGAAGTAATCGGTAGAAGCGCCATCAGATCGACCACCAGCCTGCAAGGCGACTGCGCTGCCATCCTTGTTGACGACTGGACTGCCTGAACTTCCTCCACTGGCGGCGGCGTTGGCCTGGTAGTAACACGTGTTGAAATCGCTGTAGCCCTCGCCGTATTCGGGGGCGTTTCGGTCGAGACGGCTGATTACACCTGACAGGATACTGAGCTTTTCTCCAGCATCATTACCAACGACTCGAATCTCGGTGCCAACTGTAGATGGACGTCAGCGTGTCTCGCGACCAAGTTTTCCCGCCACAGCTTACCTTTGGCAAGGTCTGGTCGCAATTCCAAGCCATCGACGTGCATGTACTTGATCGCCTTGGGATCGTATCGTAGAATACCAAAGTCGTGAACTGGGTCGCGGTAGACGGGGTAGCAGTCGACCTCTTCGTGGTTGTCGAAGACCAGGTGGCCCCAGAAAGGACCAGCGCCAACAACATGGCGGTTGGTCAAGATGTATCTAGGCGTCCGTGTCAGCTTCGTCCCAGTCGTGTCATGACAACAATGCGCCGCTCACCCTCGTTCAGAGTCAACAACATATCCTGTAGCCTCGCTGGTCAAGGAAGGGTCGGTATCGAAGGAGCACGTCTGGCAGAAGCGAATCGAGACGACGTTGCGAACAACCTTCTGGATGGTGTCCTGCCATTCACCAAGACTCCCTGGTGTTCCAATATACATAGCGGCGTGGGGATGAAGGTCGTCGGTGAGGTCGGAGTGATCGTCGAATTCAACAATATCAGGTGTGTTGTCATCAGGCGAGAGCTTTCCGTTGACTGCTCTCTTGGCCGGGGGGACCTGGTCGGGCGAACCCGGGGCCTTCCTCTTGGCCCTTGCCGAGGCCGCGGCGCCGTTCATGACGAAAGGCTTCTTGAGATCGCGACGGGAGACGAGACGGCGGCCGCGAGCAAAAGCACGGCACTGAGGACGGGATTCGAGGGCTCGAAAGGGGACGGGGACGGGGTGTCGAGATGTTCGGCCTGGGCCGCAGACGGGGCGCAGGGCCAAGGGTCTCAGTGACAGGGTCGGGATCCGGCGCGATAGAGGGCGACAGCGCATCCAGAGCAAGCTAGGAGGCGCAGATGGGGAGGAGAGGGAATGATGGAAATAAGAAAAAAAGGATTGAGGATGGGGGTTTAGCAGCGCATGTGATGGACGACCAGGCTGAGATCTGGGGAAAAAATATGATGCATGTCTTTTGCCTTGGCTGCTAGCAATGGCAGTGGGTGTGGATCAGGAGGATTATTCAGGCTGCATGCTACGCTACGTACCTTGAGGTGCCTACGTAAGAGCAGGTCCCTGTGTGTGGTGGAGGGACTGAAAATGGCGAGTTCACAAGAGTCACATTCTACTTCTGCAACTATTCACACCCACAATAATAAATCAACAAAGGATCACCATCCGAGGATCCGAGGCACTATGCTATTGTCCTCGTACGAGTCCTTCTGACAACCAATATGCACGTAGCTTGCAGCTCACAAAGAACACCGCCTTCCCAACTTTTTATGTCCGCCTCCCACTAGCTCCGCCGCCCTCTCTGCAGAGCCCACTACACTACAGGGGAAATGACACCCAGAGCCCGCTAGACCAGGCGCTAACCCCAGCACACCTCTGCCGGGTCCTGGCCTAAAAACCAGAGCCCGCCAACAAGGTTGTGCCTTATGTAAGGCAACGCCATCGTGCATATGCACTCACCCATTCCCCGACCGCCCAGAGGGTGTGGACGTCTCAGCCAACCAACTTCAACACCAACAGAGGGCATGACCAGTCACTCGGGGCCTGAGAGGGTGGGCGATTGAGACCTTTGTCCCGCTTTTCAAGTTCGCATTTCTCTTCTATCAAGGTTCAAACAGGTGAGGTTGAGGCACTTGTGCTCATGTATGTCTCATCCAAGCTCTATCACGCTTCTATAATGCAACGCTTCGACTTTTTAAATGATGCACCTGACCCTCCAACGACCGTTGAAGGGGACAAGATGTACGAATATCACGGTTAACCAAACCTGCACTTTTCCATCCAGACCGCCGTTCGTGATGCTGTGCCATCCCATGCGGCCGAGCCTGCGGCATCGACAGAGCTCGCTCCTCGATCCACGGGACCATGTCGTGCATGCATCCAAGACAACAGTTGCCGTCCGAGACACGGAAATAAACGTGGATGACTTCCGCGCCACAGGATCCCGAAGCATCGCAGCTTCGTTGCACCGCCTCCCGATTCCAGGTGACCCTCAACACGTCTCGTGCCATGACTACCAGGGGTATATCCTGAATAGCTCGCTGTTGTGTCTGTCACGGAAGACATCGTACCAAGGGTCTCCCTCAAATCCCTTCGCGTCGTCTCCGCGGCATTGGCTCGAATAAGGCGTCCATCGAGGCTTGCTGCTTCTCTGGAGACATGCATGCTGGCCAGTGGATGAGATGTCCCCGTCTCTTTCTCACAAACCGGCTGTACAGGGCCCAGGCGCAAAAGACTGCTGCGACGCTGAGTGCCGTCGGGTTGTGGAACTGGTCAGGAGACGAGAAGATGATTGTCGACGTGTACGAACACATTTCAAACAGGTTCTGCCAGCTGGCTTCCACAGCAGAAAAGGCTCCCCGATTCTCTGCTTCAACCTCCTATATCGCCCGAGTCAGCAATCTTTGCGGCATGATACATTCAAAAACCAAACTGACCTCCTGAATTATGATCTGAGCTGACAGATCAAACCCCCATAGTCCTACTCGACTAAGCATCGAGCCACATACAAGACCAAGAGTTGATATAAGGACGTTGTCTGTGTACCCCCAGAAGATGGAGATACCGACGGCCAAGCAGCCCAACTGCCAGCTTGAAAACCAGAGACCGGCACGAACAGGGCCAATCTTGGTCATCAACCACGGTCCGATCCAGGTGGCCAAGACCTCGAATGCCACCGAGACTGTCCTTGCAACGGCAATTTGTGTCGGAGTGTAGCCGCTCGATAGTAGATAAGTCACCATGACACCACCGAAAGACAAGACTGTGCAGTATAGAAGTGCCCCTGCGAAGGAAGGGATAAAGACTGGGTGCTTGAAGTAAAGGCGCAGGTCTTGGTAGGACTTCTTGACAGCATTCTTCAATAACGTCCATGGTCCTTGGGTAGGCTGTTGGGGATTCTCGTCATTGTGTGTTGCAATTGTGGGTATCGTCTTTGGATGCTGTAGCTCCGGTACTTGATAGTATACCTGATTAGATTAGCAGATAATCTTGTCTGTGTGCTAAAGTTGGCTTACTCGAGCAATAGTAATGTACTCGACAACGACCGAGGTGCAGTTCATTCCTAGGTTGACAAATATGGCCGTTTCCGTAGAGATGCCATCCATTATACCAATGAAGAACGGCCCAAGAAGCTTACAAATAAGGTCAATGCGTCTCATTTGGGAGTTCATTGCTATCAACAAATTAGATAGTGTCTGTCAAGACTAGGAACAACTTACTTCGAAGTGCTGCAGTGTCCGACTGTGCAACGACGACGACCTGGGTGGCGGTTAGGAATTGGCCTCGACTATTTGTCTTTGTCACATACCCAGTCTCTCTCAACTGACACCAGGTTCATGATGGCGGCTAGTTTCTCAATGCAAGCCATGAAGACTAGCAGCGCTAATAGGCCAGTTCGTAGCCCATCAGAAAGGTTCTGGACTCTGCTCAGGACGAGGAAGATGGCACACGAAGTAGCAACAGCGAGCCGTTGCGAAACTAACGACTCAGTATACTTAGTTCGAGCCAATGGCTGTTTTGTGACCTACCAATTGACAGCCTCACCGTCTTGAGACGGTCCTCGCGGTCAATGTACTGGCCAACCCACGATGACAGCGCGATCGCAGCGGCGCCGCGCGCCAGGGCGTAGACTGATAGCGGCATCAAAGTCCCGGGGAAGATGGAGGCGAGATAGAGGACGCTGCCAAACTCAAAGACACGCGAGTTCCACGTCGAGAGGGTGTGCGAGACATAGAGACGGCGAGCGCTATGGCTGACCGTCCAGCTATCGTCTTGGCCATCGGAGGAATCGCTGCTGCTGCTATCGCCATGGTGAGAGGATGTGTTCAATGATGAAGCGTTGCTGTGTGGTGATGCTGAAGATGGACCAAGTAGAGGTGTGGTTTCTTGATCGCCGACACCGGCGGGTGTGGCCATGGCTTTGTTGGCCTGATACATGTCGAGCAAAAGAATTGTCGCAAATTTGATATTCAATTAACAAAGCATGGCTAGAGAACGAAGTGACAAAACTATCACGAATTGTATCTAGAAAGAAGGAAAATTGTTTGGCAATGGTTGAGGTTTCATCAAGGTAAAGTTGTTTGTCGCCTGATTCCTTCCCTTCGGCTTCTCTCATTGCCGGCCCCATCACATTTTAGTCCCCTCCACTATCCGGTCCCTGTCACTCAACATCGGAATCACTCCCGACACTTCGGCATTTCCCCATGAGGTAATGTTGGTAACAGATAGGATACTCTATAATAGTTTTTGGCCCCAACTACTCAGAAAGAATTAAGGAATTACTGAAAGCCTTTAGATCAAGGCAATGGTTCAAGTAGAAGGAGTTGAGAATCTGAGCGAGACATGGATCAATAAACGCCAAGAACGAGAAGACTTGAACATGCAAGGAGAATCTTGACATTCTGCAAAATGTCAGGACAAAACAAAACACCAACTAAAATATTAACCAGAATCACACATAGCAAGAAAATGCATAGTTTTCTCACCAAGCACCAAGCGAGGGTTATTGTCAACTAAGCCTTTGTTGCTTGTTGGTTGTTGGTTTACCCTTGACCAACAAAGACAAAACAAACCCAAACCCAAACCCAACAAACCGGGCCTGGTTAAGAAGAAATCAAAAGTGATGATGGACTCTTCTTTTGAAATTCCACAAGCGTTCTTGTCTCTCTTGGCTGTCTAGACTCCGTATTCTAGTGCTTTGTATGCCCTCTAATCCTGTCAAACATGTTTCAAGAGCGTAGAGCTCCTCCTTCAGCAACCTGGAGACAAAGTATTTCTTTCAAGATGGTGACAGTCAGTATTTGGAGCATATCACATCACATCTCACTCAGTTTCACTCGCTGATTTAACGGGCTGTTTGCATTTCACCTGGCTGTGTGACTAGATCCGAATACTCCCATCCAGACCAGGACCACTACTTCTGCACCTCCAGCGCCGTTCAGTTCCAATACTCGATGACCATACTTGCATGCCGAGAGATGTGACAGTAAAGTCAGAAATAGCAAATAGATAAATCCATCATCGGCTGCACATTCCTTCTTCCCCCTCCATTCCCATGTATGCCAAGTGGCATCACGATCTTTGTGTGTTTGGGTCGAGGTGACTCTAGACCTGGCCATGCTCAGAGTCGGCGTTGAAGCCGGCCTCCTCCTTGACCTGGAAGTCCTCAAGCTCGGCAGCCTCGGCCTTGATAGCCTTGGCGGCACGCTCAGGAGTCTCGGCTATGGCATGGTCAGTATCGTAATGTATGACAGAAGAAGAGAGGATGGTAACGTACTGTTGCTTCGCTTGCGAGAGTTGGACTTCTTGGCGCCATAGGTACCATCATCATCGTCCTCGGACTCGACCTTCTTGTTGGCCTTGCGCTTGTGGGCTGGGAAGAGTAGTTAGATTTAGCTAGGTCACAACGAGGCAAGATACTTACGAGTAGCCTTCTTGACAGGAACTGCGGCAGCATCACCATCCTGCTGCTGCTGCTTGAGAGCGTCGATTCTCTTGTTGACAGCAGTCCACTGGTTCTGGAGGGACTTGACGGTGCGGCCGGGCATCTGGACCTCGGACCAGTTGATGCTCTTGCCCTCGGGCTTCAGCTGCATGATGATTCGAAGAAGAAACTCGTTCTGTAACACGTCTGAGTTAGACCAGGACGGATGAACAGCGACTTGGGCACGTTACCTTGGCCTCTTCGGTCCAGGCGTTAGCCTTGCCAGTGGGGGTTCCCTCAGACATGTTGAGCGTTGGTGAGGATCGAAGATGGGTAATGCGGTTGCGTAGGCAGGCTGCTTCTTTGCTCAAGCACTGGACAGTTTGCTACTGAAAAATGATCAAGACGGTGTCAGCTCAAGGGTCAAGGGGCAAATGAAGAAGGGAAACACGGCGGAGAGAAAGCTGCTCTCTCACCTTGGTAGAGATCGAGGCAGAGTCGAAGTTGAATTCTGCCAAGCGAACTGTGAGACCGATACTCTATTGCGAGTCAGTAGAGAGCGAAGAGTGAAAGAAAGGAAGAGAGTAGAGAGTAAAGCACAAACCGAAGAGGTGGTCTTGTTGTGGTGTGGTGAAGAGGAGAGAAGTGAAGAGAAGGGGAGAGCGAGTGCTAGTCGAGAGTGAAAGAGAGCGAAGACTTCCCCGCTCTGCTCGCAAAGAGGAGGGGATTTTCGAGGGCGAGAGAGCACTGCACTGAGCCAGCACTGGCGCCTAGTCAAGTCCAATCGACCTAGGAGTCAAACGGAGGGCATTGACAGGCGAACGGGTTCAAGTGGGAACAGTGTCAAAGCAACAAACAAACTTACTGCTGGAATAGTAACAATGACTGCAGTGTTTCCCTAACTCAGAGGTATTGCGAGAAGAGAGAGACAAATCGTGGTGAACGAGTGTCAAAGAGAGCGTGTGGGGGATGAGAGAGTGTGGTGCAGCTGAGAGAAGCTATTCCCACACCTAGCCTACCTACCTACCTATCTATATACCTCAAGCTTGCCCTCAGGGCAGTGAATCATCGTTCTCAAAATAGACACAACTACAAGTTGACGACTCTCACATAAATTTTTATACGTTACTCAACCAATAACTATTCCTATACAGTTGGACAACACAAGTCCTTCGGGTCCATTACCATCTTGTCTATTTCTATGCGTTGTTCATACCATCGTATACACGTCCCGGAGCCTCATCTCCGTGAACCACGCCCTACCTACTCTGGAGACCATCGCAGAAGCTGTCCAGTACTAGTAAGGGCGAAAACGCCTTCAATGCCAAACCGCCATCGCCAAGCTGCTACTAAAGATAAGCCATAACCAGGATCAACCGGATCGCTCGCTCCCATGTGCCACACGTTCGCCTCGAGCTTGTGATGCTATCTTCCTTCCCAGATCCAGAACCAAGCTCCCATCGCCGGATTTCCCTAGAAATGCCAGGAAATAATCTCACCACCAGGGCATTTATGCTCTCTCCGTCCGTCATAGACAGCATCCCATCTTGTCATCCCATATTGAAGCATAACGACACAGTAGACAGTACGCCCCCCGTTCGCTGCCAACTCCACAAATGCAAAACCAAATCGCTTACTTCATCCTCATGCGAAACGCCATGAACTCTCGGAATCGATGCTCGTGCTCTTCACACGCTGCGCTCCAGCGTTTCCGAACGTCCATGTCCTGTTCCAGCCAGTTGTAGTACTCCTGAACATCTGCATCGCCGCGGGCCTCTAGGAACGAGTATCCCTTCTCTTCTCTAGTACGCGCAATGTGCGCCTTTCGTGTGGCAAAATGGTCTACCACCTGGCTGTTGAAAGTATCCCAAAGTCGCATGTAGTTTTCGAAATCTTTGACATACTTCTCCCAAGACGCCACATTTGGCTGCGCTCCATTGATCGCTGGGAGCTGAGGAGCGATAGGGGCTGATGGAAACCTCAAAGGATGGACCTTGGGGAGCTTGATGGAAACATCAGCTGAAGCCTTGCTCTCGAAAGGCAAGTTGTCCTTCATATCTGTAAAGGACTTCAGTCCCGAGCTCTGAGGGGCGAATGGAGCCACGTTTCGCAGGTCGGCGAAGCTAGCCCGGAACTCCTCACTATCCTCCGATCCCACATTGTTGGGGTGAACTGGCTTTCTCGGGATCTCCAACGGCTTGTCCTTGCCGTTCACGTTGTCCGCATTATCGTCTCGCCACTCAGGTCTGGTGGGCTCAACATAGATATGTCGAGGACCGTTGAATCCTGGGGCTGTTCCCACTGCAGGTGCTGGTTCAGCAGGTTGCGCTGGCTGGGCCACTGGTGGCTTGGGCTGGGGTGAAGGCGTGGTCGGGGCCGGCTGTGGTGTCGGAATCTTGGGGGGTCGAGGTGGTGGGACCGCGGTCGAAGCAGGAGGGCTGTCAATGTCCATGGCCTGAGGGCTCTCAGCGACAGGGGGCTCCTGACCACCCTTTCGTCCACGCCATTCAAATACCTCTTCATCACTGCTGCTATCGTCGACTAGTGCTGAGTGGCTCGGCTTCTTGGAAGCTTTGGGCTTCTTCGAGCTTGCCCGGTTAGATCGAGTCGGGGACACCGACTTGGACTGAGATGGCTGTGGAACAAACGTCTGTGGGCCAAACTTGTCACTCCATCCTTCAGGGTTAAACGCCGACTCGGGCTTGCCAGATTCCGGCCTCTCTGACTCGGATGGAACACTCGAAGTATCTGTACGGTTAAGAGTTGGGCGCTTCTTCGGCGATCGACGACCTCCTCTGCCTGCCTGAGGTCGAGGCTTCGTTGGGCTACCTTGCTCTGCTCCACCGGCGTTAAACTGCCAACCAGCCGCATCCTCATCCTCGGCGAAGCTCGTGTTGATATCGTCGGTGCTGCTTCTCGCGAAGCGGCCAGGTTCAGGGGATGATGTTTGTGCGAAAGTATCGTCGTTGACGGGGAAACTGAAGCTATTGAAGTTGGCCTTGTTAGCACGGTTCGACGTACGGGGGTGATCTGAGTTGCTGTATTGATGCTTCGTCTTCTTGGTTGAGCTTCCAATCCCAGCGTTATTGATAAGCTTGTCCAAAAATTCGACCTGGTGACGCTCAAAGGGGGTCAACTGATGAGGAGAATCATGTCTTCCACTGGGAGACGGGTTGAAAGAACTAGTGCCTGAGTCATAAGGGCATGCGTCGTATTGATGAATGCCCGCCAGACCTGGCTCAAAACCATGATTTCCCCGACACTTGCTGGATCTTGGTGAAAAGGGAAGGTGGTTGTACTTGGTAGAAGATGGTTCGTCATACATTGATGGTCCGCCAGCGTTGCTTTGTGATTGGGATGCTGTCAAGGTGTAAGCAAGTCTGGATTCAAAATAGGTTTATCAATAATACTTACAGTTTCCGTCTGTTGGCACATTGGGGGTTTGGTCGGAAGTTGGAGTAGCATTCTTGAAGCCGCTGCGAGTCTTCTTCAAAGGAGCTTTGGGTCGGTCTGCGGGATCTTTAGGGAGTGGCTGTTCAGGGCCCTTTCCGCCCTTGGGCGCACTGGCACTACGCTGTCGGTTGAAGGCCTCGTTTTCCGAGGAGTCGTCACGGTGCGTGGTGTCTCGGGTGCTCTTGGCTCGGTTCAGGGGGATGCCATCAAAGGGATTCGTCTTCTCGCCACCATGTGCAGTGTACGGAGTGCTTTGCCGGGGATCTGCCCAGTTGTCTCGATCTCTGAACTGGCTTAGAGGATCTGGCATCGTAGTAGGAGGTGGTCTCGCGGGAGGTGGGGGGGCTTCTTGGGGAGGCTCCTGTGGAAATGATTGCGCATATCGCTCCGATGCTGTTCTTGAGTTGTAGTTACTGCTGGCCACTGGAGGCTCATCACCCATAGCTGTACGAGGATGGAACCCCGTCTTCCTGGCGCCAAATGAGGCTTCAGCGCGCTGTCTGGCAGATTCAGTCCGTGGAGGAGGGGGAGGAGGAGTAGGCCGGGGCTGATCGCTCGTCTTGGCCGACGGGCCCTTGCGCATGTTCTCGAATGCTCGGGCAGCATTCTTCTTTGCTTCGGTCTCCGACTGCTTCGCGGTAGGAGGAACGCCTGAAGCGAAACGCGTTTGCCATCTCTGGGCGCCTGATGGAGTTGCTCTCGGGGTTCCATTGTTACGCCGGGGTGGTGGCGGATACTGGGCACTGACATTCGACCACGGGTTTCCCTTAACACCCGATGCGCCTGGGTATCTGTTGCGAGATCGCGATGCATCGTACTTGGCTTTTTGATCGGGATCAGATAGAATCTCGTGCGCCGATTGAATTACCTGGAACTGGGTGTTGACCTCATCTTCTCGTCCAGGATTGCGATCTGGGTGGTACTTTAGTGCTGTGCCGCGAGTTAGTTGACGAAACGATTCAGATCCCAGCTAGGACGGTACCAAGTTTCCGGTATTGCTTCCTGATATCCGCGGCGTCTGCCGTCGGGGGCAGCTCCAGGTCTGCATAGTAGTCTCGGGGTGTACCCATCGCAAAGGGCTCTCGTGCGCTGCCAACAGGTTGCTGAAGTCGGTTATGCGATATCTAAGAGATCACACCAGCGCAGTATGAAAGATCAACCCCTAGTTTGTCTTGAGATCGGCATGAAGGATCGTGTCAGATCGATTTGCTCTGCTCCTCGTGAGGATGGTGGTGTTTTCGTGCCGGTCCGTTCGCTATGCGTGAATCGTCAAAGATACTGTAGGTCCCGATGCGGGTTGCGCTCGGATTAAACAGACCCCGGATGAAAGCAGGGTTGCTTCGTGCAGGTGCAACCCGTATGAAGCGCTGTCTTGAAGACTGATGTCAGCTCAGGAATTGCCAAGCCAGCGGAGGGGCTGAAGTGAAGCGGCGAGGATGATGCGGGATCAGGATCTTGAAACCAGGAAACGTCAGGGAAGTGTCCTGGGCTGCGCAACACGGTTGTCCAGTCAAGAGCCGGGCCGGGTTTGACAGTGTTCAACGACCTCGGAACGAATGGTGCACTGCAGGCCGTTTGGCTGTGTCCTCTTCCACCCGAATTCCATTCTCGACATGGGGCTGCACAGATCCAGATTGGGGAGAGAAGTGGTTGGCAGCTGATCCAAGGAAGCGGCATACTTACCAGAATGACGTCAAATCTTGGCCGTGAGTAAGGTTTCTGGGGACTGAGCGAAGCTGCAGAGAGAGAGCGGCGAAGGATGATGGAAGGGAGGCGAGGCGAATAGTAGGGCACTCAAGAGAGGTGATGCAGCAAAAGTGCAGAGAGGGTCGAGAGAAGAGAGCAGCTGGCGCGCGCCAGAGGTGATCAGAGGTCAGGTACCTTTTAGCGATGGATGGAGGTTGATGGTGGGTGCCAGGTGTGCGGGAGGGCGGTACTTCAAGGTACTTTGTTCCCCCAAGATTCTCAATGTATGTACTACCAGGGCCGCGTCGAGGGGCTGTGGCTCAGCTCAGGTGTGGCCTCCCAGCGCTTTCTTTGGCTTTTGGACCGGCTTTGTAGACCCGCACAAACGGATGCCAAAGGGTCTGTCGGGTAGGTGCTTTGGAATTCAGAGGAACCAGGTTATTCACTGACGTTGGAACCTTTTGGGCGTAGATCTGTTCCAGGCCAAAGTACTTTGGGTGCAGGGTCTTGGGCGTGAAAGAAAACAAAACATGTGGCGGGGCAGTTTGTACCGGCCACGGCAACGGAGTGATGAAAGAAAATCCCCGGAACCCCACTTCGGGCTGGAATGACAGACAACAATAATTGTGAGTGTCACCGAAAGTCCTCATGAATTAGGTGCAATCAATTAGGATTGGATATTTTGCATGATGGATAATATGTCCAACAATGGTAGTAAATGCCAGTTGAGCTCACTCGGCTACCAGCCATCAACACTGTGATGCGATGATGTATGATGACTTGATCTGTAAGCTTAATATACCCAAAGAAAGTGAATATCATCACACCTTCGTGTGCATCATTTCGCACTTCTCTAGACGCAAGAGGTACAATCTTACGCTTGGAGGCCGTACGTGGTACACAAGTGACTCCATCATGAGAGCACTGCCACAAGTGCACTCATGACGAAGCCACATCAGCACCGCCACGCATAACCCAGGTTGACATCAGAGGCTTGAGGGTGCCCATCTCTGTCTGCATGGGACCTCGGTCGAGCAACATCAGAATCTAGGGCTATCGGGATCCGTGTGGCACCTAAGGCCTCTTCCCAAGTTGTGGGACGTGTAGCGGCCATAGCATCTTTTGCTGACAGTATCTGCCCAAAGGGGGAGAAGAGCTTGTATACATAACAGCGGAACTAGGTTGCGCATGTGATCAACCCATCTATGGATGTTGGTGCACCACCTAGCCAGCATCTCCGCAGATCTTGGACTCGATCCTCAGTCAACCTCGTCTCGAAGGGACCGATGACACAGGATATGGGGATATTGCGCTAGTATCGTGAAGGCCTCACTATGCAAGACGGACTAAAAAGGACTCGTAATCGCATTCGTCCAATGGCACGCGATCACACCAACAACGTTGCAAATTCTCGCTGGATTATCTGCCCGGTAAATTTACCCCATCCCATTATTTCTCTCCGCCTCAGCTTCACTGGCCAGCCTTCTCCGCCGCCATCTTGGCCTCCATCTTCCTCCGCGCCGCGAGGATCATCTCGTCTCGCCGGCGCTGCAGCGCAGCCTGGCGCTCGTCCCGATTCGAGCTCCAGCCCTTGCCCTGATTATCCTGCTCGCTGGACAGCGTGGTGTCCAGCTTGTTCTTCAGATTGTACCGCGTAATCAGGTCGGGCTGCGCCGGCTTCTCCGGTTGTCGAGGGGCCGTTGCTGCGCTGGCGCTGCCGGCGGATTGACCGGGAGGAGGTGGTGGTTGGAAGGTGATCGGAGGCTGGAGGGACAGTTCTTGTTAGAAAAACGGTCTAAGTTGGAGCTGAAGTCTTCAACATACCGTGTCTAATCGGCCAGCCAAGATGCGCTCCGTAGTGTTCTGGATGTTTCCTCCGTTTCGTTGCAGATCCCAAAGAATACTCCGTCTCTCCGCCTGGGGAAACATCTGCTGTATCCTCTCCACAGCGACCTCTCTTGACCTCATAAACGCCTCGGGGGAGCGCGTAGGTTGAGGTGGCGACGGGCCTCCGAAGAACAGATATCGTATTATCAAACCCGAGACCACTAGGATCGCCAGAAAGTACGGCAATGAGATCTGATCGTCCGCCATGATTGTATCGTATGTGAGCCGTCCACGAAAGGCACGTGAGCCGTAGTGCGGTAATCGACGAAGTGATGCGGTTATCTGCAAGGGCGGCTAAGATGGCAGTTCGTGGAGGTGAGGGAAGTGAAGGGTAGATTCACATGGAAGCTAATGAGCGAGCTGCCACCGTGGGTCGATCTAACGTTGTGGTTACGCCAACAAGGATGACGAGGAATGGGGCGCCCCAAAGCTCCCTTTTGGAGAAGTCAATGGTGGGGAAACCTCGGCTAATTCCCCAACCAAGTTGTTTCAAGGGAAACATTCACGTCACAGAACTCAAGCTCACGACTTGTGTTGGCTTCTGAAGCGCGATCATTACAAGGACACATGTACTTTGTAGAAACCGGGAGGCATCTTTTATTGAGCGCCCACACACCGGTGAAAAGCCATCAACTTCAAGAGACTAGATCGTCGTCTCATTACTGACAGTACCAAAAGACCCAAACCATTTCCATGAGAAGGAGTTGCCCCGCCCTGACGGCCAAACGCCCATGGTACACTTCCCACCGTTTCCATCACTTATCCCCAATGCTGTCTTCTGTTGCGCCATTACCATGGCCTTCCTTGCTGACACCATTACCCACGCTTTGCCTTTGAACTCGGCTCTCCTGGAGATGGTTACTCTAGGACACAGCCGGTCCCTGGCTGAGACTGGTATCCAGGTCGCCGTAATGGAGGGTGAATTCCCGCTGCAGTCACTGTTAGTTCGCGTCCTATAAAAGCCTAGATATATCGACATACCCGCTCCTTGCGCCAGGTGCTTGAATCCCACACAATGTAGTATCCTCGCTCATGGGTAGGGCCCAGGGTTTGAGGAGTCATGTGATCATCCTTTGTCAACCAAAGCTGCAATTTCTTGTGCCATCTCCAGTTTCGTGAGTGTCTAGCGAGCCCGCGTTAGTGGAATGAAACATTTGTGAGGCAAAGGGGTCGTCCTTACAGTTCTACTGCGGCCATCTGCTGCTTCAAGTCCGCTGGGGAGCTGTAGAAGATCCAGAATAGGGTCTCCTCATTGAAGTTGGGAATCTTGCTCTCAATTGGTTGAACATTAGTCACATTGTAGCAATCAGGCAGTCGGAATTTGCCAGCATTTATAGCTGGCCGAGGAGGTGTGTCGTCAAAGAGGGAGTAGTTCTGTGTTGAGAACAGGCTGGGCTTGGTCAGTGGTGCTCCCAAATCGGACAAAAGCACTTACTCCGGAGACGACATGTCGAGCCCCAACGACATCGGATCCATGCCCACCACCATCGCGTGGTAGTCGGGATAGTTGTTCATAAGCGTTCTGAGGCCCTTAATACCCCACCTGTCGGCTGCGGACATGCCAGCTAGAGGGTCAATAACCTCTGCAGCTTGGGCGTCCTGGTCGTCGTTCAAATTCCTGCCAGAACCATCGTTGCCGATAGCCCCTAAAGGAGATGCTCCCTCAGCAGCGGCTGCGCCAGGTCCTTCTTCCCGCATGCCTGTAGGTTTCTGCCGTGAATCGTCCTCAATAACAGCGGCCTTGCCATCCTGTGGCCTTGAAGAGCCTGTAAAGGTTAGCATCCCGTATTAGAAGAGTCAAAGGGAGATAAGGGCCTACCAGGGGCGCCAATGCCAGGCGGTGACCTTGCCTCATTCGCCCGGCTGTTAGCCGAAACTGCGTTGAGAAGGCCATTCCCCCTGTTTGGCACATGACCAGAGGCACCAGCTTGAGGTCCAAATCCCAGAGATGACATCAGATTCGCCGCGCGCTCAGATGAAATGTCTCCGTTTGCTGTTCGGTTGAGAGGGGGAAAGTCGTCGATGCTACCGGTTTGAGCCTGAGACGACTGGCCAATGCTCCCTTGATTTCCAAACCGAAAGCCACCCTGCACTGGAGGTCCGCGGGAGGAGGGGCTGAACAGATCTTCTTGGCCGCCCTGCTGCGAGCCAAGGGTGGCAGACTGGTTACGTGGTACAGGGCCACCAGGGTTCCTCGACCCAGCCGTCGACCACATTGACTGCGCGTTGGCGTTGGACATCTGAGGGTTGTTGGATAATGATGGAAATTCTCTGTTAAATGTTAGCGTGTGTTTACGTTCCATTTTAGTGGTGAAACGATGTATGGCGCCCAAAAAGCTGAGCAAGTAGGCGAGAATGTTGATGGCGAGGAGAGTGTACATACGACAAGTCCAGAGGTGTGGCAGGTTGCGACCCGGTCAAGCTCTGCGCAAAGCTCACGTTTCCGCCAAGCTGACGTCCTGCGTTCTGAGGGCCTGCCCCTGCCATAGGAACACCTCCTCCAAACGCCCAACCCGGGTTGTTGTTTCCTGTATTGATGCATCATTAGCCTCAGCTCGAGGGCGGGCCATGGAAGCCGCCCGGCTACCACCAGGGCGGCTGCAAGCGCGTACCCAGCTTTCCGTTCGGTAATCGTGCTGAACCTGCTCGTCCAGGTTGTTGAGGTTGTTGTTGACCACCGAAGCCACCAGGCATTCCGCGGAGTGTCTGTGGCACTGCCCCTGCCGTTCGATCATATCGTCAGCGCTGTCCTAACAACCCAGTGCTCTCATAATTCTCCAGCCGTGATCCCAGCGACACTATAGAGAGCTTCAGATCATGCTTTGCTCCGCATTTCAAGCCATTGAAGCGATTGTTGAGTCGTCCGAGCGTGGCAAACGAGGGTCGAGGAAGAGCATCGTGGTGCGAAGAATCGCGAGGACACACGAGCTCAGAAATAGACGCAAGGCCTCGTCTGAAAGCCGTAGCCACTCGCAATGTCTCGACGGGGCGAAGCGTGATCTCGGTATCGCAAGGTTCGGAGGCACAGGCTGGAGCGCGGGGTCCTGAGGCTGAAAGAACGACGTCGTGGGGTGGTCCTACCTGGCCGATTCATGATTGCAGTAGTTCGCGCGAGCTTTGAGGGCAAGTCGCGGAGGATGTAAAGTCAACGTTGTCGAGCGAATGCTTGGATGGGAGGTCGCGGCTCGAGACTTGCTGCGTAGGTTGTCGAGCGGGCAGACGAAAGGCGGTCGTTGATGCGATCGATCGAATGGATGCTCTGGCAGGGCTCGCCTCAGGCTTTTGCTGGCTGCGCTGGTCGGGGAAGGCTACGTACTGTGCTAGGTTGTGCTGTCCATGCTCTGTGCGACTAGACGGCTGGGCTGGGCTGGCGGCACCTTCCCTTCTCTTCCAGTGGAGGGTGGATGCCCCGGTTCAAGTGGGTCCGCACCGACAGCGATGTACCCACCAATCAGAGCCGGAACCGGCCAAGGCTGAGCGGCTGCTTGTTCGCACTTCGCGTCACTGGGCAGGCATTGGCAGAGTCAACACCAGGTACTAAAACCAAGCGCAAACAAGACCTGACCCTGGATGCATCTTCCCGCGCAGTGATTGTCGTTCTTCGTCTATTCGTGACTCTATTCTAGTTGACCGCTTGCTTAAAGCTGCTCTCAAATCCAACCTCAGCCACGTTTCGTCCAATCAGAATGATCTTGCCCTCTGGAGGCGGCGCCTCATCATCTCGCGGCCCGTCATTTATCTCAAAAATCTCCCTAACCCCCTGCAGCATCTTGATGTCTCCGTTGGCAAACACAAGACGGCCCTTGGAGCGGTGAATCTCAAACCCTCCCTCCTTGTCCGCCTCGGGGAGCTTGTTGTCCCACAGCACTGACCGTAGCCAACGGTCAACAGCATCTAGCTGTTCCGGTTCGAGGCGACCGACAGGAATCGTGACGGTTGAGATGGTCTAAGCGGACGGTTAGCAACAGAATTTGACCCAAGAGATACCGAGGTCGACGGGAACTTACAGGGTCGAGATGACTATGCCCCTTGGCACTCGCCTCGGATTCATTAAATTGATCATATGCATGCAGATCAAGCAGGAATCCCTCCAGTTGGGGAACCACACTCCTCTCCGTCACATGGATCTTTGCCAGCCCATTGATTGACTCAATCCTTGCTCTGACCTGGCTGAGCTCCGCCTCTGTGACCATGTCGGCCTTGTTGATGACAATCACATCCGCGTGAGAGATCTGGACGTGCGCTGTGGTCATGACTGGGCCGTGATCATCATGGTCATGTCCTTCAACCTTGCCCTTTGGGTCATCAAGGCTGAGCAGGATGTTTTTCGCATCCACTAGAGTGACAATACCGTCAAGGTAAATTGTACTTCCAAGCCCATCGTCCACCCAGAACAGCGGCGCCAGGTTACCAGGGTCAGCCAAGCCAGTCGTTTCCAGGAGGATGTAGTCGAATGCGCCCTTCTTGGACATGAGAGACTCAATCGCGTTTACACCCGTATCCCTATTCATGTTAGTTTTGCTCCTAAAACAGAAGGCTTGTCCTACTTGACTGAACAACATATGCAGCCATTGCCAACTTCAAGCCACTCCTCAACCTGTTCACCCCCCTTGTTCACAGTAAGGGACTTCTCAATGTCGAGTGCTGTAGTACCACTTAGACAGGCAACAATCATATTACCTCAGGAGTACTTACAGTCCCCAAATTCTGTTCTGGAGTTAGCAAATGAATATCATCAAATCACAGTCCCCCCAAACCATTCATAATCACAGCAATCTTTTTGCCATGTTGGGCTGTGAGAATGTAATTCAACAGCGTCGTTTTACCAGCACCGAGGTAGCCTAACATATGTCAGAGATGAAAGTAAATGATCCGTGAGTTATTACCTGTAACAATAGTAATAGGGACCTTGACCGTGATCTCGCCATCCACATCGTCTGCGGCCGTGTTAACGAGCTCTGGCGGGGCATCGTCATCAAAATCCATGGTTGCTAGGCTTGGTAATGTCGTCAATCTAGATCTAAACGTTCGGTAGAAAATGTTCGATCTCCACAGTCGAGAATGCAAAATATGCAGGGAAAAGTCCGATTTAAAAGCTCAGAAATCGTTCCAGGTTGTGTATTTCCAAGATTTCCACTTCCATCATTTCGAATCAGGCACAAAACTTGGATCGATGTGTATAAGTCGCACAGTCCCCGTTTGATGCATTCACCAAGCTGTCTATGCGTCTACCGAGGCCTTTTCTAGGACCCCAGCCGAGCCCTGCCAGCCACTCACCCTCCAACGTCGCAGCCTCGTCGTGTGCTGTTAACCGCCGAGCTCTCCCCCAAATCTACACTCGTTCGTTATCGCGTACGTTTTCTCGACACCGCGGCTCGACACCTTCAACCGCCATGTCGCTAGCACCGAGTTCGCCTCGGCTACCAAGCCCGCCGCCCGCGGCTGAGATTCAGATCGGTCCCAAGTCGCCGTCTGGTGGTCCAGCAGCCAGTCCCCAGACGACACCACAGGAGCAGACACAGCTTGATGCGAGTTCTAGACGGCGGATACACCCGGGCACAAAGGCAGCAGACATGGCTGCCGGGCCTCCTTTGATACCCTTACATGAGGTTTGTTGCGCTCATGCTGACCTATCTTGAGCTCCCAACTAACATCAACCAGCTCGACTCTGCCTTCCAGCTACAAGAACACTTAGCCGCCCTCCACTGCTACCATACCGCCTCCAACACCCAACCAATCACGCGCGCAACGGCACTACAGCTTGCGCAACCACCAAACGGCATTGACCGGACCATCTGGCTCTACGAGCTTTGCCGCTTCCTCATCTCGCAATGCAACTCTCTCATCGTCGGCTTCCTCTTCGACACCCCACCATGCAGTGCAAACACGTGCCCCGAGATGCGCGCTTCCGAGTGGCAGTTCCTCTGCGCCGTACACGAGCAGCCCAAGAGCTGCTGCGCCATTGACTATTGCTGTCATACTCTCGACTGGGCAGCCAATGTCGTCACCGACCAGAAGATCTTTCCTAGCCGTTTCGTCGTCCTCAGTGACAATCATAGCAAGAACGTCGGCATAAAGAACCTGGTCAACGTATTCCGCAGGCTGCACCGCATATTCGCCCATGCATGGTTCCAGCACCGCGGCGTATTCTGGTCCGTTGAGGCCCAAACCGGGCTCTATGTCTTCTTCAAGACGGTTTGCGACCTGTACGATCTCTTGCCTGCTGAGAACTACAAGCTACCACCCGAGGCAGAGGGCTTGGAGACTCCTCAGCTAGAACACGAGACTGAGAAGCCCACACCCACCATTCTGAAGCCCCCGTCCCAGCAGCGCGGGCCTGGTCCTGAAGACGACAATATGCACCCCATGAGGACAAACACCCGACGTCACATAAGGAGCAGCCCATCAACAGGCAGCGCCGTAACAACCGTCATGGAGGCAGAGGAGGAGGAAGCTGACGGAGTTTCACGCAAGCTCCGAGAGATGCACATCACGGCCCCTTCACCAGTCGAAGAGGAGCCTGAAGTAGCTGAAGTCCCTGTTATTGTCGAGCAGTCTGCTATGCCACAGGCCTCGTCTGAACCACACGAGCAATCCTCCTCCGAAGAAGACGAGGAAGATGATGCCGACGCCGACGATGCTGATCTGACAATTGTGGAACCGGCCGTGGAGCCGCCGGAGCAAGACGCTGAGAAGGACACCGAACCTCAAACTACTGAAGCTGAGTCAAGCCCACCACCAGCAGTGCCCGAAGAACCCCAAGAGGAGGACACGTCCAAGGAGTCTTTGGCGGAAGAAAACGCGTCCGCGCCAGCGGAGGCAGCAGTCGAGGAGCAAGGTTCTGCTTCTCAAGTTGCCCCTGAGTCTACCGGTGAGAACCAACAGACAAAGCCAGAGACTTCCACATCTGCTACCACAGTGACGGAAAAGGAGACCAAGGAGGATGAGACATGATAGACCAGCAAAGAAACGCACTTTACTTAATTCACAACTCCTGTTATCTGGAAGAGTGCTGTAGATCATCAGGTTGAGGCTCGCGTTGTAGCCAAGTTACTATATAATACATTGTGTAATATGAGTTCTCAGAGGTTGGGTATCTGCAGCTTGGGGAAGTAGCCGCCTTTTTCTTTTCCAAAGTCCATATCCAAATCCGTTCCGTCAAACGCCCTCTTGTGTCAGGTTCTTCCAAAGTCTACCGTTGCATCCCCCGGCAACGGCCGCCCTCCCGAGAAATGTGTCTATCCAGTTTCACATGATGCCCCCCTTAACGCCATGTGGCCTAACGTGGGCCGAGATGATCAACCTTGTGTCGCCGTTGATTTCCGTGCCTCGCCGTTCCCATTCGTCTACTCGTTCTAGTAGATAACTCCTTAAGAGCCAGCCATCTTAGCCTCAGCAATAGGCCTGAGTTCGGACAAGTCTAGCTGTTCCAGCCCAACACTACTGCCTCAAAAAGCCATCGCATCGGTTGCCAAACAAGCAGGTTGCGCCCAGGGTCGAGTATTGTATCCTCCTACAGAACAGCAGAATGAGGCTTTTCAAGTCCATTGGGTAATTTGTGTTCGCTCGTGCCCGCCTCCTATCCCCTGCTCTATGACCCGGGCCCCTCGCCAGCGGGTAATGATTTGTTTGCCTCGTCCATTAATGACATCTTGGCGAAAATGTGCCTGACCTCTCGAAGATTCTCCTGCTGAGCTGTTACGGCAGCGGCGTTCCGCTCGTCGGCGAAGTTTCGAATGCTCTGTAATACAGGGCTGAACCCTTCATTGTTCGGTAACCACCACTGCACACACGATGGCTCTCGGAAGAGCAGGGCCATCTTGCTTCGAATTGTGATGGGATGGATGTATCTAAAAGGCTGGTCAGCATTTCGCCCTATTCGATACCAGCACACATCGGAGGTCGTCTCCTTACCCCATAGTCTCCAGTAAAGCAAACTTCCGACGGAACCACATGTGATGCCGTTCGTCCTGAGGTAAGAACAATGCCGCAATTGCAATGCAAGCTTGTATCAAGACCAACACGCCCTTGGGAGTCGATGGCCAGAACTCCAAAGTCTCGAAATATTGGCAAGTTCTGTACGCATGCCGGTTCAGATCCGCGAACAAGATGTCCGGCCTCGTACCAGATGACTGGCATTTGTGCATAATCATGATACTATTCCACTCCGCACAAAGAACGGTGGCGTGAAACAACGGAAAGTCGTAGAGGATACCGACGGTGTATGGGTCGACAATATCGTCCGCGGGAATCGATTCTGGGGGCGGGAATTCCGTGATGAGATATCTCTGATCCAGGAGGGCAGGGCCGCGTTTTTCCTTCCACTCAACCAGTCGTTTATCGATAGCCTCGTGCTCTTTTATGAAGTCTTCGGGAGAGATCTGGCCCCTACTGCCTCTGGCGAACAAGATGGACATGTCGTATGAGATCAGACGGAGCCGAGAAGACCATTCTTCGATTACCCATCGCAACTCTGCTGGATGGGCAGCTTTTTCGGATTGATAGAAGTCCACCATGGCCTGGAACCATTCTCGAGGCAGGTCGGTCGGAAAGCCTCCCATGAGAGCCACAAAGTTGTCGAATCGAGCGTACCAGCTAAGGCACATGCGGCCCATGGCGGTCTGCATCACGGTCTGGGGGGTGAATATGCTAGTCAGTATCTCGAGTGCCGCTTTTTGGTGTCCCATGAGGTTCACCCAATCGCCAAAGTACTCCTAGATTAAGTTGTTAGAGGACTAGGATCGGAAAGCAATTGCTTGCAAACGTACTTCTATCGTAGCAAGCTGCAAGATTGTCAACAAGGTGGCCACGTTCGGTTTCTCCTTCCTCTTGAGTAGACCCAGTAAAAGCGTTACGCTCTTGTTGTAGTACTGCAAGAAATCTTGTAGTTTTCCTTGGGGGTTGTCAAGTGTGAGATGATACGCAGAGAAACCGACAACAGCGTTAAGAAGTGGTTCATGACGAGTAGCCACGCTGGGAAGGATAGTCTTGAAGAAGTCATCCGAGTCGGTAGGGATACAGTAGTTGAAGCTGGTGATGTTTTCGACAAAGAAGGCAAGACATTGCTGATATTCGGGTGGTAAATGCGACCAGTCGGCTGGTCCTAGGTTCACGGGGAATTCGACAGAGGGATATGCCGCTGCGAGACTGCTTGGTGTTGCAGTCGCACTTGATGGTGACGAGCTCTTGGAGGGTGCGGAGCGTGCCGAAGACTTTGACGTCTGGTCTTCGGTTTCTTCCTCATCAAGGATCGTCTCAAGCTTGCTCTCTCGATCTGCATCATCGTCGTCTTCTGCATTTGAGGAGGAGGGGCTCGTTTGCTGGGTGGAGGCGGAAGAATCTCTAGATTTACCAGACCCCCCTGAGCTCTTTGAGGATGGAGGGTCGGGATAGACACATTCTCGACTCCCTTTTTTGCAACCTTTGCATTGTCAGTAATGGCGCCCAATCGAATACCTGCCATGGAGCTACACCCACGTTCGCATATTGGTCGTGTTTCGTCGCACTGAGCAAGTTAGATGCGCAAGTCTCGATGTTAGTTGCGAAGTGTTGCGTACCTTGACTCTCCGGCTCCGGCACATGAAGCATCCGGAACGCGTCCTACGATGCTTAACATGGTCCACTGCAGCAGGAGTTCCAGCCGCAGACTTCCGGCGACCTTTCTGGGACTTGTTCGGGTTAAACATCATTGGGTCCGGGAAACCGGTGAAATACCCGAGCTGCTGATACGGACCAGGCATCGGAGCGGAGGCAATGGAAATCGGGGGACCATGGAGTCGGGGGTCGAGCATCTCTTCGGGGGAGGTAACCGGATTCATCCCAGCCCCCGACATGGAAGAGAGAAAATGATGATAGTAGTCTCCCATTGTGACAGACAGCTGCAGCACAAACAGCTCGGGTAGGTCGAGTGTTTCAGAGCTGCTGAGGGAAGGTGTCTTGGGTCAGGAAGAGAAACAAATTGCGATTCGCATGCTTGCCGAGAACGGTGCTTGCTGATCGACGGGAGTTATGCCGGGTCTGAAGGGCACAAGACAGAACCGTGAGGGGCAGAACCTTTCTTGAAGCTTAGCCGTTACAGCTGGCCCATGTGCCAAGGGCGGTTCGGAGTATATGAGCGTCAAGAGTCGACCACCAAGGCCTAGTAGAGAGGCAAGTTTCGACAAGATGGACGTGGATGGGGGCAACCAAACTTGGGGGCCGGCTGGCAATTTCTGTTTCCTGCCGGTAACAGTGACTAACCAGGGCTACGATCGTCCCCTAGTCTATCACGACAACCCCGGGTTGAAACCGGGAGAGTGGTAAGGTAAGGGCGTGCAAGAGGTGAGTTCGTCAAGGGTTGAGAGGCCTAGATGGGGAGCTGGTCCCAAACAGGCTGCAAGTAAAAGCCAGAAGAGGGTTGACTTTTATCAGGTTTGCTGGCACTGCGGATAGATCCAGGAAGCGGCAAGACGTCCGTGGTCTAGTGAAACGTGGTTTGCAAGGACGCTGTTTGGTCACTGGTGGGGGGAGGCCTGGGATGGTTGTATTGCAAGAGGGGCAGTCGACATGAGCAGGGACATGTATCGCGGCTGGGGAGCGGAGAGGCGCTGTCACGGTGACAGGGAGGAAAGATTGATCGATGGAGACACTTCTGATAGTATGGCAGAGGTTACTGGTTCCCAGAATCAGGGAGGGGAGGGGTCTCTGCAAAGACCAGCGGCAAGATGGGTCGGCCTGGGTGGTATCGGACAAGCAGTTGGCCGAGCCCCTGGAGATGGGGATGAATTCAAGGACGTCGTATCCTGCGGGAGAAGACCTGTCGCATGCAGGCCTGACGGGGCGTCAATCGCTGATCAACGGACTGTCCGGGCTCGTGGGTCCCGGGAGCCAGCCAAGAGCTTAAGTTGTGCCTCTTGACTGTTGGTTTTTGAGGAGGATCCCACGCCCACGGACAAGCAGATGAGCAAAGCAGGCCACTAGTTTGCGGATAGATGGTCCGGGCTTGAATGCAACGCTCCCTGCGGTGACTAGCAATGGGGAGATGGGACGGCAGGATGAGGAGAAGATCGAGCAGAGTGATGACCTTCAAGGTCGACGACGTCCGTCCGGTATGCTGGGCAGGCTGCTCCCGGGGCGGAACGGCGGATCCGTCCTGGGGCTTTTCGGGATTGAGACGAGGGTGTGTGATGGAGTCTCCGGGGTGTGTGTGAAGCTTCAGAGGGCTCCGGCAAAGCGGTACCGACTAAGAACGAAGGCGAATGAAGCTGTCGCGATGCTAGATCTGGGAGTACAAGGGAAAGTCCAAGGACATGGAAGACACAACATCAATGACTGACACAGGACGGTGACTTCCTAAAAGAGGATAACAATAACAATGCCAATGGTATGTCAGAGCTAATGAAATGATGAGGATACGCAAAAACAATAACAATAACGAGGTGTTTAATACGGTCAATAAGAACGGGCAGTCAATGATCGATGTGCCAGGGGTGAGTAATAAAGATTGGGTGACAGGATGGATGATGTTATTACCAAACAAGAGCGCGGGGCGGGCTGAACTTGTGTTGGAGGGGCTAGAGTGAGGTAGAGGGGGAAGGAGTGAAGTGGGAAGGAACACCCCCCCAGCCACGATGGCTACCTGCCTTACCTTGCCTGCCATCCATCCATGGTGGATGCTACTCTGCTGGACCTTCCTTGCCTCCCCGCCAGCCCTTGACAGCTTCTTTCTTGTCTCGTACATGTTTTTTCCAGGTCCTTGGAATTGAGTCTACTGGGATTATTTCCGAACAACTCCGCCCCCGTTGAACAGTAGGGCCCGGTATTTTGGTCCTTGTTTGCCTCTCCAAGAAATGCCGTTTTGTCTTTACCTGACTGGGAGTGCCGCGGCCACGGGTGACTGCAGCTGACACTTGGGTCGGCGTTAAGATTTCAACTTGACGAGGGGGAACCGCCTCCTCGGGCTTGGGTGCACAGGGCGCGGAACTGGTCCTGCCCCAAAGCAGCTTAAGACCGCGGAAAGGAGACCGGATGGCTTAGAGGTGAGTCCCAGCGTCGTCAGGACCTCCCTTGGCTCTCTCAAAGCCCTCAACAGGCCATCGAGGAGCCCATACGTATTGCATGTCCTGATTAACATTGCAGTACCGAAGAGGTCCATATAGTCGGTCACTCCAGTCTTGCTGGGCTGGGGCTGGCATTGGATTGGGCTTGCCGCCACTTAACCCAGGCCGATGAGCGACTGGGTTTAACGCCATGGGGTCAACAGACGTTGTCGACGAGGATCAGAATGGAGCTGAAAGGCTGTGGAGAACCCACCGTCCATGGCGTCCGCCGGGGACGGAGCAACTTCTTGTTCGTTGCATGGTGCCTGTTTGGGCATCTCACATCTGCGCCCGCGCTCTTGGCGTCGTCCACTCTGCCCTCAGTCTGTGGAAATAGGACGGCGAGCCAGGGGTTATCCATGAACGCGGCCGGTCATCAGCGGTGATGCAACCTACAAGAGAGGGGAAGAAGCAGGCCGTCGCTGGAATAACTGGCTTGAACCAAAGATGCAAAGCATCATAGGTGGGTTCCCCAACCTCTTGCCCCCCATACTGAATGAGAGGCTGAATTCACAACAAAGGCAGGCCCAATATCAAGCGTCCTAATAGCCACTGTAGCTGCGGCTACGGTACCAAACAATCATGCCACGGGTTTCGCAGTTTTACTGTCGTGTCCCCCAGGCACCTGTCATGACAAGCTTGGCAAAAAAAATGCGATCGGTTCCCAGTTCTCAGACGGGAAAGATGACGATCTGATAGGGTCCCGTCGACAGGGGCGACGGAGGATGAGAGAGACCTTACTCAATAAAGGCCTTGCTCAATGGAAACCCCTTGGGGTGACACCGACACCCTGAGCCATGCAGAAGCAAGCAGCAAGCATTGCACACCCATCCGTCCCAACTTTCGCAACCGTCCACACCAACAAACAAAACGGCTCTGGTCTTGACGACGTCTTTGACGCTTGGATCAGGTCCCGCTCCCTACGCGTGGGTCGTCGCGTGGCAGACCCAGTTGTGAACACCACCGTGGGCCGTGGCTGTTCGAAATTGACTTTGAGTCGACTGTTGAGTGTTTCTAAGGCACGGAGCCAGTCATGGCCATAATGGACGTCAAGATATGGCTATGAATCGGTGTGCCATTACTGCAGGGTGGCTCTTTACTTTCCTCTACTTTTCGCACTCTTTGTCTCCTGTTGAGCATTCGCTCAGCCAGCCCGGAGATTAACAAATGTCCGGAGGAAGCGAGCCACGGACGAATGATTACAACACTACTACGTGGGAGGCCACAGCTTCAACAGCCTCCCACCGGACGTGTCCCAAGTGAGGCGAGGATTTCTCCATCAACCACTCAAGCCACCAAATGGCTCTTCCACAATCTTCTTTGACCGTGTTGAGATCGAATCAAGTATAGCTCAACACTAAATGCAGGTCTGGGTCAACCTGAAGCACAGGCCAAACGCGAAGCAGGCAACGCAACAAGACCAAGCAAGCATATTCAACAGGGCATTCCCCCGTCCAGTCTCAGCTGGAGCAAGTCCGACTGCTCCGTGAACCAAGGTTCTAAAGCCAGGAAGCGGTGGCCTATTCATCCAATAGCCAGCCATGCCTCGTTGGTCGAACACTGCATATTTCGACATTGATGAATAGCGATAGGGGTCAAGAGCAGCGCAGGGGCCCATCTCTGCAGATGCAACATGTACCCTGCAACACTCCTGTATGATGATATCGGTGTCTCACCTCACGTGGCATCGTATTCCACCGTCGGAGCCGGCACCCGACATCATCGGGGCGCTTCTCGTTCTCGTTCGGAGACTTCAGCAAAAGCCCTGCCGCCGACGCTCGCGGCCTTCACCTGGGCAGCGGCAGAGGCATCCCCATGGCAGGTGAGCACCAATGCATGGGTCTCCTCCACCTTGCTTTGTTACACGGGTCGGGAGCTTTCCGTCGGGCCCGGGTTCTGGGTTTCTAGAAAGACGTCAAAACAATGTCCAGAGCCTCGGTCAAACGTTGGCCCAGGAACATCTTTTGCTCCAGGCACTCATCAGCCTTGATGAGGATCTCGTCTAACATCGTTAGGCAGCCCACCCCTATTCGCGCTACTCAGTTCAGAATGTCTTCCATGTATTATCGCCCACGGCCGGTATGTTTTTTTGATATGAAGTGGCAGCCTGCTTGAACCAAGATGACAAGTCATGTTGTGGGCAGGGTGGTCCGGCCGAATGACTGAACTTTGCAGCCAACGATTAACCCCACAAGAGACAACCGTTTTGAACGGGGGCACTTGCTCCTCTCACGCCGTACTCGTACTATGCAAGCTGAAGACAGAAATTCTTTCTCGCATTGCGGCGGCGGCTCCGACTCGTTGCTAGGCAAGAACTAGCAAAAGAACAAGATCTATTCTCCAATTCCGGGACTTGGCCGTGGATCTTGACTGGTCCAAGGCCGATGCAGTTCTTCGGAGTCTGACAGCAGGGGCACCAACAAGCTGGAAGAAGTTTTCAAGCGGGTACTCATGATTAAGACCTGCACGGCTGCATGGAGGTGGTGGGTTTCGAATCATTGCCCACAGGGGCGCGACAGGACGAAGGATCGAGCCAAGGAGGTTGCTGCTCTGCATTTGCGCTCTGGGATAATACTCCGTACTCCGTATGGACGGAGTTCAGAGCGACTAGGGCTGAGGAGGGCCAAGGCCGCTGTCGACTGGCACTCAAGAATTTTCTTATCCTTGCTCCTCCTCCACTTCTTGTCCAAGCTACCTTGGGTCTGTCCCTTCAAGACGTGCTGGGGCGAGTTGCAATAATCGGGGGTTTGTCACGATTCAACCGTCAGGGCGGCGTCGACAGGGGGGAAACGTCACCCACGCCTCCAAGAACTGCGTTCACAGGCACAACCTAATCGTCCAAGACATGGCAAGTGGTCTGATGAGGGGAAGTAAAACGCCATCCAGAGCCGGCGCCTACAACTGCGGCGAGACGTGGGGACATAAGCGCCAAATGTCTAGCCAGAAAACCAGTCAATAACACCAAAATCCCCTCTTCCCAGGTCTGTGGCTCAAAAAGGAAACCTGATGGGTCTCCTTGGCGGTCTCCATTTCTGGGGACTGGGGCTGTCAAGGAGCTCTCAGGGATCTTGCTGGGGTCTACGGATGGGAGCCCTCTCGTTGGTGCTTTTAACAGGGGCCACTTGAGAAAACTGCGACGCTGTACGGGTAACTGGGCAAAATTGGAGGCTTCAGCATAATATCTGCCATGGAGGCTCCACAGGACAATGTTGCTGTGCATTCAATATGCGCATGGGATCGATACTCGGTCAGGAATCCTCCTTTGCAGGGTTTCGCCCCTCGCCCGTCAATTGAATTTGAGATGGACGGTATTCCCGTCCCGGATCATGCCGAATCATCCAGCCGTTGCAGTGCCCGGGTACTCTACCCCTGGAGTCTCGTCGTCTGTCAGCGAGAGAGAGAGGGAGAGAGAGAGTTAGGATCCAGTGGTTGCTGCCAGACATGACTGGACTATCGAATAGGCCATTGTGAGTAGCGGGAGATCCGCAAGACAATGAACGCAAACGAACCAAGATCGAGCCTCACTTGCCTGGTTCGTCTCGAACTGCTGGGATCTGCCTTGCAGGATGGAGCGGAATCATCACCAAGAGGCAGGTCTTTCAGCCCGAGATGCACGGGGGGTGGAGCGCGGAGGCGGACTTTGGTATTCCGGCTGGCGTCTTGAGAGAGGTCTGGTAGGAGGTGAAGTGAGGAGATGCTGTTGGCCTCACATCTATCATCGAGACTAGTTGTCAATCTCACTCTCTCACCAACCCAGCTTGCGACAGAGGCCCAACATTCCGCACACGGCGAAGATCTGCGTGAGCCCCCCTGCTGAACGCAACGCCCATCATCAATCCAGTGTCTGCTAATGGGCAGCACTAATGCTGGAGGATCTGGGATTTGCCTATTTTTGGGCGGGCAGCCCTTGCCCAACGCTCATCATGTGAGATTGCGCCTAGCAGCATGAACGAAACGAGTGACGAACTCGTGCTCGATCTGGGAGCACGATGACGGCTGGACGAGGCATCTGCCACGGTCTTCCCTGTCACAACCCGCAAATGACTTTACCGGATGCGTACATCAAGACCCTGACTGACAGCTCACTGGATGTCGACATTGGACAGACCCGCGTATTTCGGCCCACCCCGCGCTCCCTTCGTGCCTGGCTTGGTTGCCCTGCCCTGCGAGTCAGTTTGTCGATATGACCAGGAGCCAGGAATGGAGGCTCTGGATGAATACAGAAGTATCTCCGGCTGGCCTCGGGGCGATCGGTGCAGCGAGGAATCCTTAGTGGCCGCAGCACGGGGCTGTGAGAGGCACCAAGGGCAAGTCCCTGCTGGGCTAACACGACCAGGTTGACGGGTTGACGGGAATTATCCCGACTCCGCCAGTAGCTCTGCAACCTTGGTCCTGCATTTGTTTGTTGATGGCCGGCCACATTGCATACCCTGCACCGGCCGCCGGGCAGATCAAGCTCCCCACAGGAGGGCGGTAGGGCGACGAATGTGCAAATGAGCGCCAGACCACTCACGCCCACGCCTGAAGACGAGACGGCGGGAACAAAGACTACTGCAGGCTGAGAGGGACGTGTGGACGGCGCCTCACTACGCTGCGGTGCGGTGCGCTGCTGTGCGGCGTGAGGCGAGAGGCTGGTTGGCAAAGTGGGATTTTAACTTTGTCTTTCCTTTCTTTTGTGTCGGGACTTGACCTCACCCCAGTCCAGCTGAACTGACACTGCTGTCGTCATGGAGGAGTGCAGTTGTTGATGATGGTGAGGCTTTGGTCAACGGCTAACGTTGGTAGTTAGTCAGTCTAACTTGCCGGAGCAGCGGGGCCATGGAACCAATGTGCCGATGACCCAGGGCGCCCGTTTTCGACAGCTTCATTGTTTCTGAAAAGGGAACTAACTCCCCTCTTTTCCAAGGCGCCGTCTATCAAGTTGACTTAGACACGTATGATCTGTGAGTGTGAGACAAGACAGGTCGAACTGGACAACATGGGGTGATGTGGCAGCTACGAAGCCATCTATGCATGGCGCCTGAAGGTCCCAATCAATGGCGAAACTTTTGTGTGGGAGGGCACAAAGGCGGATGTTGGCGTGCATTGGTTGCAAAGGGCAAGCTGCAGGGTTGGCAGGGTTCTTGACACCTCCAACTTTGTCCCTCTCAGCCCGTCTTTGGTTGGTGCAACGGATGCCGTGAAGCGCCTGGAGATCCCAAAGCCCCTCTCCCCGTGCATATGATTCAGGTTGGAAACACCACGATGGAGGAGCCCAGTGGCAGCAAGTACCGGGTTTGGCAAATGGTCATGGCATGGACGAATTGCTTGTCCATTAAAGCTGCATACCGCTGCGGCCCTAGCCGAAAGGGCTGATAACTTGCATCCGTCCCATCCCATCAGACAGGTCAAGTAGGGTAGCGCCACCCTGGAGTTACTTGGTACCTGGACGCATTTCTTGTCATGCCACAGCCTGGAGCTCCATCATGATGACTCGAGGATGAGGCACTCACTGTTCAGACCCAGAGAGGATGATTGCTCAATAGTATCGAGTCATGGTAAAGCTACTGGCTGCCATGACTCTGTAACGCACCGTGTCAGGCTGTTGATTCTCTTTCTCAGACTGACCCTAGCCACATCTAAAACCAAATGCGCCACAGATACCGTTGGTCGGGTCCGAGCCATCGGGGCCCGCGGCCAAGGAGTTAGCGACACGACGAACTCAACATGGACCCATCATGACATTGATGAACAAGAGACAAGACATTCCTGGAGAAGTCGGCATCTCGAGACCTCGGCAACGGAAGCAACAAGAACAGCAACAACAGCAGCAGCAGCACCACCAAAATACACCCATCTGCAAGGGCGCTTCTTGATCGTGGATCTTGCATGCAGGTCTGAGATACCGCGGAACCCGCCATTCATCGTGAGAGCGAACCATGTCCGCAGCAGCCGACTCGGGGTCCTTTGTCCCCAACCTACAGGGCCCTCTGGACGCCGTAGCCGGCAGTTCAACCATCGTGCGGCGCCTGGGCGACATGGCTACGGCGCTGCCGGGCTTTGGCACCAGCATGGAGGCGACAAAGGGGCTGCTGTCTAGCGTCGACGCAGTCTCGCTCATCCTCCTTGCCGTAACCCTCGTCGCCTTCCTCATCCCCATCTTCATCCTCTTCCCGCCTGTCCCCGTGGACCGCAGCGATGTCCTCAACCAGACCCACTCCCGGGTCGGCGTGGCTCCGGGTGGCAGTAACCTCCGCCGCCAGTTCTCCGAGGAACACCGGGCCCGGGAGGGGCGTCCGCCGCGGGTTCAGGGCTTGTACATCTACCCCGTCAAGTCATGCCGCGGAATTGAGCTTGAGAGGAGCAAGGTACTACCTACGGGCTTGGAGCATGATAGACTGTACACGTTTGCGTACCTGAAGCCTCCCCGGGCTGGCAAGGAGGACAGTCCTTTCTGGGAGTTTGTGACTCTTCGACAGCTGCCCCTGCTCGCCAACGTCAAAGTCGACCTCTGGGTCCCTGACCCGAAGAAGGCGAGCCGCCAGCTGGGAACGGTAGACGGCGCCTTTCTGGTTGTGAGATTCCCCTGGATGGACGGAGGGCTGCGCGGCTTGATGCAGCAGGCCTCGGCCAAGCTCAGTCACGGGTTCCAGGCCGTGCCTGAGAAGGAATTCCTGCTGCCCATCTCGTTCCCGGACACCGAGGAGATCAAGGCCCGGGGCTACACGTTTGCCAATGTCAAGATCTGGAACGAGGTCACCACGGCTCTCAACATGGACAAGGAGCTTCCCGCCGAGCTGGCTCAGTATCTGGGAGCAAAGCACCAACTGGGCATCTTCAGGATGGACCCTTCACAGCAGAGGGAGGTGTTTCGCTGTGCCCAGCCTAAGGAAGCCCTGGGCTACCAACCCGTTGTCGACTTTCACGATGCTGTAAGTGATCTGCTTGTCTGAGGCTGTGACGCAAGGGGGATTCATGATCTGACAAAGTCCAGTACCCCCTCCACATGCTTAGCCTGAGCAGCATGCAAGCGCTAGACAAGAACGTTGTCAAGGACGAGACCATGAAGCAGCTCGACGCCCGACGGTTCCGGTCAAACATTATCAGTATGTCTCAAACCGCTACAGCACTAACCCGCAAATTCGCAAAATGGCCACTAACACGTGTCAGTCGCCGGAAACGAAGAGTATGACGAAGACAACTGGAAGGTTATTCACCTCAAGCACGCCACCACCGGCCAAGAGTGCCACTTTGACGTGGCCTGTCGAACTGTCCGGTCAGCGCAACACACCCCCCCTTTCCACACTCGACAACTTGGGTCTAACAAAGAGTCCAGATGCAAATTGCCCAACGTCGATCCCGATACCGGCATCCGGCACAAGGCTGAGCCGGATCGGGCATTGAGGAAGTTTCGTGACGTCGATGAGGGAGCTCCCAAGATGGGATGCATGGGGATGCAGATGTGCCCCATGTTTCCCGGCGCTGCAAAGCCTGAGCAGTTTCAATCATTCATCGAGGTGGGCATGGATATCGACGTTGTTCAGCGTGGTCACCACGTGTACATTTGCCAATAGTTTTCTACAAGCCATGTTGGGGAGCAAGGAAGAAGCTTTGCCAGTCGTGTAACAGTAGACTAGATGGAATGAATGGGTGCAAAACAATAAGATAGATTTCATAGGTCCTGCCTCATTACATAGAGCGGTATCACAACACAAGGTATCTCCAAACCACCCAAGACTGTTCTCCAGCGCCCAGCCAGCCCGACGCCTCATGTGAAACCTCCCATCTAGTCTTTCTCATACACTCGTTTCAGGCCATCCAGAGAGGTGTCTGTCAGCATCATTACTTCATATCTGCCGGCGTGAGAGCCTGCACCATACTGGTGCCCTCGCTGAAGCGCGTCCGGAAGATGCGATTCGCGTTCTGGAACATGCCGTCCTTGAGACTGACGACGATGAACTGCGAGCCCTTGAACCGCGTCTTGATCAGACGGCCAATGTTCTGCGTGTGTGAGAGATCCAGCGCTGCGTCAACCTCGTCGAGAATGTACATGGGCGCAGGCTTGAACTGGAGTAGAGCCATAATGAGAGAGAGAGCAACGAGAGACCTATAGTGTGTTAGTTAGCAAATGCCCTGTTTACAAAGGGTTCATGAGAATCCTCACCTTTGACCACCACTCAGCTCGGTCAAGCTTTGCTTCCACACCTTTCCGAGGCAGACCTTGACCTCCAAGCCATCGCTGATAGTCTTGCCCTCGGGCGGATCAAGCTTGGCAAAGCTGCCACCAGGAAGCAGTTCCGAGAAGATGTTGCCAAAGTCTCCGTTGACCTTCTCCCACGTCTCCTGAAGGGCCTTCTTCTTGTAGTCGTCTAGGCTGACAATCGTCTCCTCGATCTTGCGCTTGTCCCTGATGACCGTCTTGATCATGTGCTTGAGTGACACCTCCTTCTTCTCAACGCTGTCAATCATGTTCATGACCTTGGGATTGATCTTCTTCTTCATGCCCTGGAACCGCTCCGTCAGGTTGCGCAGCGTCGACTTGCACTCCCCGATGTTCTGGTTACGGAAGTCATAAGGAGTTCCACTGCGGCCAAAATTGTCCTTCTCGTCGTGGATCCATTCGTATTCCTCTTCGAGATGGGCCACGTTCTCAGCCGCTCCCTCCTGCTCCTTGTGGAACTTCTCTACCTGGTGGCCGAGTTTCTGCATCTCGAGGCCCTCTTCGGCGATGCGTGCGTTTTTGGACCGCGTGGCATCCTCCAACGCTCGTAGCTCATCGTCAAAGAGATGGAGCTTGGCACGTTCATCATCAAGCTCAGCCTGAACCGTGTCGTGTGTCTCAGTTACCTGAGCCTTTTGCTTGACGAGATCCTCGATATCCTTTTGCTGCGCACTGATACCGACCTCGACTTCTTGCAGCTGCTCTCGAGCAGCAGACAAATCGAAACCCGCTTGCTCAGCATCAAGCTGAGCGTTTTGAAGCTCCTTCTGGAGTGTCTTGACTGCAGCAGTATTCTTGCCGAGACCGGCTCGTAGCTTATCAAGGGCCTTCTGCAGCTCGACGAGCTTGGCGTCCTTGTTGTTGTCAAAGTCCTTCATATCCTTTTCGATGGTCTTGACATCGGCGCTGGCCTTTGCTTGCCGGGCCTTGGCTTCAGTGATACTCTCTTTCAGCTCTGCGATTGTTGACTTCATGTTCGCGACCTCCTGGATGATGGAGGAGGAAGAGTTGCCGCCGATCTGCTCCTCGGCCAGCTTGATCTCGTGAGTCTTCAAGTCTAGGTCTTGTTTGATCCTGCGGGCTTGGTCAAGCTTGGCCTTCTCGGAGGAAATTCTGCGCTGAACCTCCTTCAACGAGTGTTCAGCCTCGCTCAGCTGGCGGGTTAGGCTGTTGAGCTTCTGAAGAAGAACTAGAACGCCGCTTGAGTTGGGTGAACTTCCGCCAGACAAGGTACCCGAGGGGTCATAAGCATCACCTTCAAGAGTGATACTCCTCATGCGTACGTTGGGATCAAACGTGACTCTCTTCGCCGTGTCTGCATCGGCACAGATCAAGGTATTGCCGAATACGTATTCCATCGCCGCAGAGACCTCGTCGTCATATCCAACTAGAGTCAGAGCCAGGTTGACCTTGCCTGGAGCAATTTTTTGAGCTGTGGCGATGGTTTGAGCTGATGCCTTGAAGGCGGCAATCTTGTTGAGTGGAATGATGGTCACTCGCTTCCGCAGCTTTCCTCTCTGCAGTAGTTGCGTACCCGTCACCTCGGTATCGACGACCACGTTGTAGAGGCGACCTCCAGCACATATCTCCAAAGCAGTACCGGCTTGTGTGTGCTGCTTGTCCAGCGTGAAGAGCTGAGCTACCAATCCCTTGACCTTGGACCGGTCAAAGTTGGGCACAGGGTCCGCGTAGTTGAACTCGGTGTTGGCAACCCGGCGTTTCAGCGTGTCCGACTCTTGTCTGAGGTTTCTGACCGTTTGTTGCAGCTCAGATTCTTGCTTGTACATTTGCTCTTCCTGGCCTGGCTCAAAGCCTAGACGGCCGAGCTCCTTCTCGAGCTTTTGTGCCTGGATCTTTAGCCCGTCAAGGTCTCGCAAAAGATCAGCGTTCTGCTCCTTCGCCTTCCTTGCTCGGGGCTCCTCTTCCTTGACACGTTTCTCTAGATGCGATATCTTGATCTTGGCTTGCTCTTGTTCTGTCGCTGCTGCTGTGGCACGGTTCTTGGCATCCTGGAGCTGACCTTGATAACCATTCTCCTGGCCGTCCTTGGAAGCGACACCGGTTTGTAGTGTCTGAAGAAGCTCTTCTTTGGACTCTGCGTCCTTGTTCTGCTGCTCAAGGTCGTTCTTTGCAGCATCGTATGTGGCTTTGGCGTTCTCGAATGCCAACGTCTTTTCTTGCAGGGTGGCCTCCAATTCGGCAACAGTCTTTTCCATCGCCTCCTTTTTCTCCTTCTCCTCTGCTAAACTGGACTTCTTCAGGTCGAGAACAGTAGCCAACCGCACAAGTTCATTTGAGTGCTTCTTGGCAGCCTCCTCCAGTGCTTGAGCCTTGCCGCCCTTTCGAAGTTCCTTGTCTCTCTGAGAGCGCACCTTCTTGACATCTTCTTCGAGGTGGGAGATTTCGCTTCGCAAGCGAGCTGCCGACTCCTCCAAATCACGCTGCCTTTGCTTCTTTCCCTCAAGATCTGCTGCTGATTGTCTCAGCTTCTCTTGGCATCTGACATAGTCGTATGCAACAACCACTCTAGTCAGCCGCTCGAGGTCGTTTTGTGTCTGTTGAAAGTCGAGGAAGGCTCGCTTCTCGGTTCGTAGTTTCTCGAGCTTGGGTTCGATCTCGTCCTTCAAAAGCTCTCGAAGCTCCCCCAACTTCATCTCCTTCTTCGCCATTGTTTTCAAGGCCTTGTCTCGGCGATCCTCGAACATTCTTGTTCCCGCAGCTTCCTCAATCATGGCTAGGATTTCCACAGCCTTCATGTTGAGGACCTTTGTGATACGTCCCTGCATAATGAGGAAGTTGGGGTTGTTGATATTGAGCTGAACGGATTGGAAAAGGTTCTGCACCGTTTGCTGTTGCGCTCGGTGACCGTTGATGAGGTACTTGGAGGTTCCTCCGAGAACGATCTGGCGAGTCACACTGATTGTGGCATATTCTTCGAATCCAATCGGCGATTTTTTGGTTTCTCGGTTGTCGAAAACGATTGTGACGCTGGCTTTGGTAACACCGGCTTGACCGCGCTTGTAAATCAAGTCCTGCGAGCTGTTAGTTGAGAAGGATGAGGGGTGTTGGGCTGGCTTGCCTGTAGGTTTTGCGCTCGAACAGTAGACATGTTGGTAATTCCGAGAACAAAGCAAATGGCATCGAGGATGTTTGATTTTCCACTGCCGTTAAGGCCAGTGATTGAGTTGAAGCTCTCATCCCTAGGGGCGTTAGCTGTGGCTGTTGAATTGTTTGGGCTGCATTATTTACCATCCCGAAATGACCGTACGCACTGCGTACGACTTGAAGCCCTGCGCAAAAGGTTAATACTTGCAGAAAATGGCAAGACCCATTGATAATGACAGCTTACGTCAATAATCACTTCAATAACCCTCATCTTGGTTGAGGCTGAAGGCTCACGGCTGCTTTGAGTTGCTGTTGCTTGGTTTCGTCGCTCCGCATCTGAGGGGACGCGATAGCAAGCCAAAGTAAACAATAATGGGGGGTAACGATAAGCGCCATGTCACGTGCAGATCTCAGATCGGTACGTTCTCACGGTGCCCACTGGACGGAAACGCGCTTTCCCATTTGGATTCGAGGGCCTGTCCCACTTTAAGTTGTTGTTGTTAGCGCCTGCCCTGCCCGGACCCAAAACAAACAGAGCCACCATCCAACTCCAAGCTCTCTCTGCGATCAACCAAGCTCTTTACAACTCTACCATTTTAATTGCTTCCCAACTCGCAAGCCCGATGAACTTGTAATTCGCCATACACGACTATAGTCGAATTTGACCCTTTCTTCTTACCGCGCGCGCCTTCTCACAACCGACACAATGGCGGCTATGCGAGGACCGCGCATCCCAACCGGTTCTGCGGCGTGGGTCGCCGACGAGCGCGCTTCTGCCCTCCAGATTGTTGATGTCGAGGTCGACGAGTTCACGTACGCTGCTCACAATGAGTTCTCGTGGCTCAACGAGCACATGGCTGGTATCTTCAGCGAGAATGAAACGTACGCGTTTCCCCTCTTTGTTCTGGTCGCGCCTACTAACATGGATATCCTTCAGCAATATCGCAGAGACCTTCAAGACACCTGGTAAACTACGTGGCAAGACGCCCCGAACCGTGCGCAAGTTGAATGCCGCAGAGCCAAGAGTCGTAAGTGTCTACGCTGAGCCTGGCTTGATGATAATTGCTAATGAACGGTAGCCCTTGTCGGATGTTTTCGGTGGCACACCTAGCAGTTCAGCCAACCGCTTGGCCCATCATCTCAGAGCTCACACACCTCAGCTCCAGAAGGAGTCATCGATTCCTCCTCCTTCCCCCTCGCCTCGGCGTCACGCGCCCTCACCACCGAAGCCGACATTGCCGTCTCCTGAAAAGACGTTCCGAATCGCCCAGGAGGACCAGACCGTGAATCACGTCGAGCACATTTCCTCGGACAATCATGTCGACGAACCCGTCGAGCAGGAGAAAGAGTCCGCTCCCACAGCCAAGTCACAACCTATGACGCAGGATTCTGGCTATTATGGAAGCCAGGACATCAACTCTACAGCTGTCGATCCTCTTGCCCAAGAAGATGCCTCCATGATTGACCCCACAACAATCGACGAACCCGCAACTGTTCCCGCCGAGTCGAGCCCTCTGCACTCTATCGTTCAAGATGAACCCGCGGTTACATCACCCGCCAAGACGCAGCAGACAACAACCGAGCCCCAGGAGCCCGAAGAGGCATCTCCTGACGACGCCCGTTCCCAATCCGACGGTTCCAGCCCGATGCGCCCAGGCTTCCGCAAGAGCAGCCTCAACTTCCCATCTCTTCCGGCTCGAGAGCCTCTGACAGCAGGAAAGAGTGGTGGCCCTAGAGCGTCTCGGACCAGCCATCTCGACTTTAAGAGGACCAGTTACCTCGGCAGGCATACGGGAGGAAAGAGTCTAGGTAACTACGCAAGACAAGATGCCTCTGACGAAGAAGATCGCGACGACATGGATGTGGACGATTTTCCTACGGTACCCGCTCAACAGCCAGACAATGCCGAAGACCTTGCCGTTCACCACAACAAGACATATACCCAGATGCTACAGGATCGGATAAACGTGCTTGGAAAATCTCAGCCCAACGGTAGCCGACCATCGAAATCGATTCATAGCCTGACAAACTCTCAACCCGCCTCTGCGTCCCAATCTGTCCCAGAGCCGAAATCACCATCGCCTAAGAAGCTTGAAACTGCAACAACTCCTGGTGCTTTCCCCGAGGACGACGATGATGACTGGATTGACCCTCCAGCTGCTGAGCCAGCCGAGGACGCAGCATCTGCTTCAAGGCCCACGCTTTCAAAGAGCCATTCTGCCGACGTTATGGAGGGAATCCATGGAAAGGACACTGTGGGGTCTCTGGGAAACTTGGACATCGAGGAACGAGCAAAGACGCAATCGCCTACTCGAGCCGCAGCAACCCTTCAGCGACCCAACATTCTTGGACATGGAAAATCTGTGTCCGTGCCTGCTGTTCCACTTGTAAGCTCGCTGGAGAAGCAAGATGCTAGTCCTCATAAGAAGACGGTCTCAGTCTCGAACCCTTCTGTCATGATGGCGACTGTGCCCGAGTCTGGTGTTTCTCAGACTCCCACCAAATCGCCCTCACGGCGGTTCCGCGACAGCCCCTTGAAGCAAGTCAAGAACAAGCTATCGTCTGTTCTAACCATGTCCAAGGGGCTCCTGATCAGCAGTGCAGCGGCCAGCGCCGAGGGCAAGTCGTCGATACTTTCACCATCCACAACCCGCCTGGGACTCTACCCGAACTTGTCTTCAGAAGCAGCCCTCCGCAAACCCAGCGCGGATGCACTCAGGAACGGTAGCCCTGTTGCTGAACGACAAGCCAGTCCATCTCGACCTGTTGCTAAGCGCACTCGGGCTTCTACGGAACGTGAGAAGGAGGACAAGCGCCGAGAAAAGGAATCCAAGTTCCAAGCTGAACAAATGGACAAGCTTGAGAAGGAGCGAGAAAAGGAGCGCGAGAAGGTTCGCGTCTTTAGCAAGGAACAGGAGAGGATTGCCCTCATGGAAAAGCAACTCGCCGCCAAAAAGGAGAACGAGCCTCCTGCCACTAAGACTACGCCCAAGGCCACCCGGTCTAGCCCTCGCAAGGTTAAGCCGTATGAGACAGAAGCAAAGGCCACTGATCATGATGTGGATATGGTCGATGCCCCTACCATGGTGCCTCCTCCCTCAGCCTCGCGATCGGTAGGACCCGGCCAACCTCTTCGTAACAAGGAACTCAGGAGACCTATGAAGCCAGGAAAGGAAACCCTTGCCAAGACGAAGCAGGCTCCCACTGTTATCCGGGTGAACACCGGTTCGCAGCATTCGCAGTATCATCCCGCCAGCAGCTCCATGTCTGCCAGTTTCCAAGATCATGGTGCTTCAACAAGCTCTCAACCTAAACAGCAACTGGCGAGCAAGGCGAGCAAGGCTTCGCTTCAAACAAAACCGTCTATCCCAGCTCTTAATGCTTCGGTAGGATCAACTGGTCGTCCTCGAGCAATTGATCTCGCAGCAAAGAAGAAGGAGCAGGATGATCGCGAGGCGCAGCGCCGACGCGATGCGAAGGCTGAGATGGATAGGAAGCGAGCGGCTGCGAAAGAGGAAAAGAAGAGGCAGGAGCAGCTTCAACGACAAGCGGAAGAGCAGCGTAAGCGTGAGCAGACGGATGCAAAGAAGAACGCTCAGCGCCAGGCAGCTATCGAGAAGGCCAAGAAGACGCCGGCACCCCCTCCGGCTGTCCGAACACAGCCGAACGGTCCTCCTGACTACAGTCTTGGACTGGACAAATCCAGCTCAGTCCAGCGAGGGGATGGTCCTCTACGACCCCCATCTCGTATGAACTCAGGCATTCATAGGTCTCAAGAGGACATTGGGCGCCCTGTCAATACGGTCTTGTCGACTGCTTCCAAGTCGAAGAGGCCGCTTGGCCAAGATGCCAACGAGGATGGACCAGCCAGACATGCTCCCTCCCGCGGCCCTCAGTATCAGGCCAAGGATGCGAAGCGCCGCCGAACGAGCGATGAGTTTGCTGACGAGCTGGACTTTGATCACCCCCCCAACATCAAGGGACCTCCTCTTCGCCCATCGAGCACCCTTAAGAAGGTAAGACATGACAGCAGCCATCTCTATACTAGAATCAAGGCTGACCATAACCAGGACATGCAGACGAAGAACATGATGAGTGGCTATGTCTCTCAGAATACTGTTCAAACCCTGTTCAAGACTGGTGTCGCGCAGCACCCAGGCCAGGCCAAGGGAGGCAACCCCTTGGATATGGCCCAAATCCACAAGGGGGCGATTCCGTTTGCCCCCAACCCAAACCCTGCAGGGCCTTCGTACAAGACGCCCGCCCGTCTCGGTGGTGTCAATGGAGCCAAGTCGGTGGCCAAGTCTGCACAACGATCATCGCCGCGATTCCAGAACCCTGAGACTGTGGAGCTTCCTGAAATTCAGACTGATGATGAGGATGAAGATGATGAGGACGGACATGCCATCTCAGGTGCAGCCTGGACTGACTCCCCTGACCTCCGTCGTGTTTTAATGCGACAGGAGGTGATGGATCCATCACAAGTCTTTGGTCCGACACCAGCTCTGAACATGGAGGAAGTCTTCCACCAGAACAAGGAGAGATTTCACAAGTTCCGTGCTCGCACTTCTAGCGCCAACTGGAGCGGCCTTGACCGTCTTACTGAGGACGATATCCGAAAGGACATGGCAGCCAGAGACAAGCTGAGACGGGAGGGTGGATGGTCGTACGAGCTGAGCAGAGACGTGATGTAACGGTCTATCAAAGTGGATATGAACACACTTACGATGTATTAGAGGGGAACAAGAGGAGTGGCAACAGAAGCCACCGGACAAAAGGGAACCGGACGGGGACTGAATGAGTGGTTTTTGCATTGCGATGGATGTTACAGGCGACAAATTGTGCATTTCCCATGGACGGAACAGGAGAGAGTAACTTGTATTTTTTGTGTTTGGCGAATGGCGAAAAGGGAATCGGGACGGCAATTGGTGTTGTTGGATTTATCACGTCTCCCTAGGTACTTGCTGTATTGTACGTACTTGCGCATCCGAGGACAGATATTCTGTACCGTTGAGCTGGTTGAAGCGACTGGATGACGCTACTGCAACACTGATGATGCAGTATGCAATAGAGATTACAAACACTCCAATATCTGCACACCACACACGTGAAGGACGAATGGTTCCGTTCCTGGTGAAGAGAGTTACGAGAGGTCGTTGCATTTTCCCCACTCTAAACAGCCTCATTGGAACGCTAACCTTATCATGGATGGGATCCATGAGCCCGGCTTTTGGCCTCCCGTGTTCGCTCAACAGTTTTTTTTTCCTGGGCTGGGCGGGCACTCGCTTTCACATGTCAGACTCAAACTCGGGATGGGACGGGGGCGGATTTGACATGGGATGGAAGCTAGAAATGATAAGTTTGGATTGGGTTGGCCACTGCACGCGCTGCGGTTAATGCAATGCCTGTGCCTGCTCATGCTCGCCTCGTGCCTTTTTTTTTATCGCTTGTTTCATGAAAGGCTTCTTTTCTCTACCCTTTAATGCCCAAGTTTCTCTCCTTTCGCTCACCTGCTGACACTGACCTTGACCCGACCCTGGTCACGAGAGTTTGCTCACCAGGGGCTTCAACATACTCACTTCTCTTCTCACTTCCTACACCATGACGTGGACGTCTAGGCTATAGATTTGTCTCGTTTCATTCCCGGCATCCATACTTTCACTTACCTCGACTGGACTGAAGCACGCAACCAGCTCTCTTGCTCTCGCACCCGACGACCATGGTGTCCCACATCAGATCATTTGCGCCGGCGTTTGAGGAGGTCAAGGTCGCTCAGATCACCGAGAGCAGGATCTCCAACGTGGTCGCCATGCTTCCTGTGTCGCTTCAATCAGGCCCGATCCGCTTCCTTCGCCGCAGTATCAGTCTTCACACCCTCCGCCCAGGCGTCGTAGTCCCCGCTGCGCAGTCAAAACCTCGACCTCTCTCAGAAGCTGATGCCGCAGCTCTCAATGCTGAGCCGCTCGAGACCGGCATCCTGACGCAGAGAGATGAGCCTCAATATACGGAAGCCGAGGCTGCGCGTCCGCACGGGATGAGTCGGGTTCTCTATTCGGAAACTAAAGACGATGAGCAGGTTGTTAGAGCCGCGTCTGGCATTCACTGGAAGTTTGCACGGCAGGGTACACTTGCTCTTGTCGTCTGATGGAAATGATATCGCAAGCTGACCCGTCTGCATAGGGACGAATCTCGTCAACATCTCGATAGATGGGGGCAGGCCCGCTGTGACAGAGGAGGACATCACCTTTGAGCGCAAGGCCTTTGTTGACGGCGTGACATATCTCCTTAAAGCCTTACCGCAGGACCTCGATGACTGTGAACTGAAACGGGTACAAAGCGCTCTACCACAAGACGTCAACCCACCGAATCTAAACCGAGGCCAACTACAAACGAGCTCGAGCCGAGCCGGGCCCAGTCGAAAACGCTCGATTCTTCATCGCGGAGTCCAGATGACTGTCGTCAACCTGATCTTCTTCCTTAGCTTCCTGATGCCATACCTGCTGTATCTCATACGATGTGCTGCGAGACTGGAGCGGAAATACAAGATATCCGAGGTAGTTGTTGGTCACGGCATCGACTTTGTCAACTCGATCGGGAAGCAGAGCGCCTCCTTAACCGAAACGATAGGCCAGATGAACGACGGCAAGGTTGGACAAGCTCTTTTGGAGGCGTTCGTGTGGACTGTAGATGGGGTGACACAGGGCATCTCTGATGGTCTTGGCGAGGGTCTCTCAATCGTGGGATCCAGGTCAGTCCAGGTCGCTTAGAAGGAAGACCTCGTACGGCCAAACAATATGGTAAATTTAGACATAGACGTTGGAAACCGGGAACATAGAAGTCGCCTTTGGTTGTCGACAAGCATTGCGACGCGGCGATATGAGATTCATGAATTGATTAACATGCATGATGCTTCTACTCAAGCCAGCCAATGACATGTGAGACGTTTCGACTCGAGCTGTCTCTGCCTGAGGTACCGAAACACAGGGTCTTTCTTGCCTTCCATGAATCTTCCGGCGCCCCACGTGACGGATGGAGCGGACTTGCCGTCCAACCTAAGAAAAAGAACCCACTTAGCCGATAAGAGATTGTGAGAAAAATTCCCTTCCACCCTCAGCGACGCGATTATCGCCTCCAAACCTCCCATACATTAATTTTTTCCCCTCTCCTCCCATCCGTCGTCTTCAATCCGTCCTTCTTTGTTTGCAATTATCTGTGGCATTGTATTTTCTGTCCCTGTCGCACTCAGTCACAATGTTCCGAACAAGCCTCCGGCGCTGCGCCAACCAGGCCAGGACAGCCGCCGCTGCTGCCCTCATCTCTCAAACTCGAGCCGCATTGCCTGTCGCCCGTCGTCAGGTTTTGTCCGCCCAGTCCTCAATCGCCACTTTGAACAAGATCTCTTTCATCTCCCGAGCGTACTCTGCTGAGGCCACTGCTCAAGCCTCCGAGCCCACCAGCTCGGCGCCTGCTGAGGAGCCCGCAAGGTTCTCCGAGCTTCAGGATGTCGACCAGGCTCTTCTCAGAGCCATCGTTGATGGCATGAAATATGACACTATGACTCCTGTCCAAGCCAAGACAATCGTACCTGCTCTCAAGGGCACTGATATGTGAGTATCGCAACCATCGCCTCGAGATTTCGCAGACTAATTCTTCTAAAGTGTCGCACAAGCCAAGACCGGTACCGGAAAGACGCTTGCCTTCCTGTTGCCCCTCCTGCAGAGAATGATCAACGAGGACCCGACACTCGCCAACAGAGGTGCCAGGCGTGAGGCCCGATCTGACGATATCCGTGGCATTGTTCTGTCTCCTACTCGAGAACTCGCCGAGCAGATTGCCGTCGAGGCCCGCCGATTGACTGCCAACACTGGCCTCGTTGTCCAGTGTGCTGTTGGCGGCACTGATAAGCGTCAGATGCTTATGCAGACCCGCCGACAGGGCTGCCACCTTCTGGTTGCCACTCCTGGTCGTCTCAATGATCTGCTCCAGGACCCCAGAAGCAACATTGAGGCGCCTAACCTGGCGGCTCTGGTCCTCGATGAGGCTGATCGAATGCTTGATACCGGTTTTGAGAGGGAGCTCAATGAGATCCAGAGCCAACTCCCTAGCCCCCACGACAAGATTCGCCAGACTATACTTGTTTCCGCCACTATCCCCGACTCTGTCATTCGCCTGGCCCGTACCATGGTCCGCGCCGATGATTTTGAATTCGTTCAGACCATCCCCGAGAACGAGTCCCTGACTCATGACAAGGTTCCCCAGCACATCGTCCCCGTCTCCGGCTGGACCCACGTCTTCCCCTCGCTCTTCGAGCTGATTGACCGTGAGACTGCCAAGTCCTTTGAGGATCCCAATGCCCGCCCTTTCAAGGCCATTGTCTACTTCAACACCACCTGTCTCGTTGAGCTTGCTGGCGAGATGGGTTTCCACCGACAGCGAAACTCTCGTTCCCGGGGCGCTCACCCTCTGCACACCTACGTTATGCAGTCCAAGCTCACCCAGTCGCAGCGACAGAAGGCCGCCGACATGTTCCGTGGTGCCAAGTCTGGTGTTCTGTTCTCGTCAGATGTCACGGCCCGTGGAATGGATTTCCCCGATGTCACTCATGTCATCCAGGTGGATACTCCCCGAGACCGCGAGTCTTATATCCATCGTCTTGGACGAACTGGTCGACAGAACAAGGAGGGTGAGGGTTGGTTGATCATCCCTCATTCTTCCGTCGGGGGTGCTCGCAAGCTTCTGTCCGGTCTCCCCATCAAGCAGAACAGCTCCCTCGAGAGTGCTGAAACTGATGTCGAGGGTGGTGAGACCACTCCTGCTCACAAGGATACCCGAGCAATCTTTGAGGTCATGCCTCGCCGACTCCTTTCAAGCACATACGCTTCCATGTTTGGTGTTTCCACTGACAAGGTTACCCTGGCTGAGGATGTCAACAGCTGGACCCAACATGGCTGGGGCTGGGAAGCCCCCCCCTATGTCTCGCCTGTTTGGGTCAACAAGATGGGCTTGTCCCGTGCTCGGGGCATGAACGTCAAGGCGAAGGATGACTTTGACGCCGGAGACGATCGACAGTTCCGCGGAGGTGACCGAGGCGGCCGTGATCCCTTCGACGCCATGTCAAGGGATGCCCGCCGGGACGACGCCCGATATCCTCGTTCTGGTGGTTCTGGTCGTTCTTATAATTCCCGTGGCCGCACTGGTGGGCGCGACAACCGTGGAAGCCGTGGATCTTCTTACGGATCTTCTTCCTTTTAAGGGGAAGGGGTAATGGGTGACTCTGTGACGTGAAAATGTAACAATACCAAAACGACGATGGACTGAACTGTTGGATGATTTGTACTTGTACTGGGCATTGTTCGGGATGGATTCGCATGTATGATATGGGAAAAAAGGGGGTTCGGCTTGTTTTTTTAGACATGATGAAGGCGTCATATATGTGGTTTTCGTCCACGACAACTCTACTTAAGAAATGATTCTAATCCCAACAAGACTGATATTTTGTGTGTATGTGATTGTTGTCTTGCTATTATATCTGCGGCTTGTCCTCACCACCATGTCTGACATCCAATAGATGCCTATATACCATGAACATTTATAGCCATGGACATTTCTCGACAAACGGCAGCGCCGCCAAAGACAGCCAGCCCAACGCCCGATCCAAACTCCCAGTCAACGAACGCCAAGTTTATACATGTTGGTCTGCTCCTTGATCACGGTATTCGCTGGCCCATGAGCATGTTGGCATCCCACAGTAGCACCCGCTCATCCCAGCCTACAGAGGCGACCCAACCACCCATTCCAAAGAGACACCAGTCAACTCCAGTGACAAACTCGGTGTGACGGTTCATGATGCCCACCTGGTTGCCTATTGAGGGACCCATGGCTGGGTTCTGCGGTTGGTTAGACCCGTCGTTCCAGAGGCGGACTGTCATGTCGTAGCTGGCACTGATGAGAGTGTCGCTCGCATGGGGACTCCACGCCAGCCTCCGGACAGCGTACTCATGGCCTTGCATGACAGAGATCGGACCGGCGGCGGGGTTTCGGATGTCAAACGTTCGCAGGACCCTATCCACGCCGCCCGTGGCGATGACAGTGTCCCTGTACTTGTTCCAGTCATGGGTGAGAATCTCGGAGGGCTGACTCGGGGCGCTTATGGGCGAAGGCTGCAGGGGAGGCGCATGGACAGGTATGGTTGTTGTAAGGTGGTACTTGGCAGAGGATGGCGTTCGGAGGTCGAAGATGCGGAGATGCGAGTCGGAGGATACGGCAGAGATCAGGGCGGGGTTGGAGGGGCAGAAAGATGCGCTGTAAGTACAGTTTCCGATGGGAAGGGTCTTTATAGATTGGTTTCGCGTTGGCGACCACTGTCGAGTATGATTAGAGGTATTGTACTCAGCAGGGAAACAAGTAGGAGCTTACAATCTTAATTGTCCCGTCCCAGGAGCTTGAAATGAATGTGTCCTTGGTCACAGGACTCCAGCAGACTGAGAAGGCTTCCCTCTTGTGTTCGTGAAAGTTCATGACGGGGAAGTCGTTGACGCCTAGGTCAAACAGCTTCAGCGATCCATCTCCGCAGGCAACAATCAGCTGGTTCTCGTTGATCTCGGACCAGGCCAGGTCGTAGAGCGCATCATTGGTATCGAAACTGCAGCGCGAAGGAGCGTCAGTGACCCATTGGCGACCCAATCAACGTTGAATGCTACATACGTCTTTTCAACCTGCACGCCCTGGGCTGTCAGGCCGAGCGTGAAGACGCGGCCATTGCCCACGATGCCAAAGTTGGCCGACGTCGCGACGGCAATGCGCGAGTCGTAGTACGGCGAGTACTTTACGGCGTAGGGGTTGTAGCCCTGCGTGCGGAACTCTAGCATGGCAGCCATGATGCCGTAAGGGTGTCTTCTGGGACAGGTCGCATCGATATAAGGAGGGTTTATTCACGGCAGGGCGACCACCGTTGAAACCTCCTCTCGAGAGACCTCAAGCAAGAGGGAGGTCGTATTGACATGTGCCTCGGTAATGCGCCGAGCCGCGGGGGTGCCGTGAGCCCATGCGTCTATCGATGCGATGCGTCATCAACGGGTCGGTGCATTAATCGAGGTGAGTATCACGTGCTCTCGCGTTGAACACATTTCGCGCCACCGCGCCCTTTCAGCCTGGACATTTGACAAGCAAATGCTCAATCCATTTTTGGACGTGGATTTTGCAGAATGCCACCGTGTGTGTTGTTATATACTGCTGAGATGAACAGCAGGTGGCTTTAAATACTCTATTGAGACTATGAAAGCCTTCCTGACACGCCCTAAACGGAAAGCTTCCCCGCCTCAACCGGACAAGACGGAGCCGGAGGAACCAACAGAGGTCAAGTTGGCACTCTTGTCATCTCTGCATCCAACTTTTGAGCAGGAAGACTTGCTGGATATCTTGCTGGCTCATGATGGTTCCGTCTCTGAGGCGTCCGCTTCGCTCAAGGTTCGGCCTCAGGTGAAGAAGGGCAGCCGGGTCATTGGATGCCAGCAGTCCCTGAAACAATATGCGTTGCCCAGCAGCTCAAGCTCACTGGCCACGTCACCGGTGAAGAAGAAGCTCAAGTCGAAAAAAGGCAGCACACTGCACCTCTACGACCCGGAGGACGTCGCGGAGCACACGCCATGCACCATCATCCACAACTTCCTCCCGTCTGAAGAGGCCAACGAGCTTCTGAAGGAGCTATTGGAGGAGGCAAAGACATTCGAACAACCACCCTTTCAGTTGTTTGAGAACATTGTCTCAAGTCCGCACACGTCTAGTTTCTACGTTGAGAGTTACGACGAGATCCGGCGGACAAAGACTGACTATCACTACAACGGGGCTAGACTGACGGTAACTCCCCTTTTCCTCAACCACATCATCCCCGTATCTAACTATCAGGTATCCAGGATGTACGGCGAATCACACCACAGCTCCTCAAGGTGAAACCCAAGGTCCAAGAAGCCGTCAACGCCGAGATTCAGAAGCGGATCAAGACACGTTACCCAGGGGGTAAGAAGCTCAAGTATCAGCCGCCAGAGGACTGGATTCCCAACTCGGCCATTGTCAACAATTACCACGGTCCGCAGGAGAATGTTGGCTGGCACAGCGATCATCTGACATATCTCGGTCCTAGAGCGGTCATTGGATCCGTCTCCCTCGGTGTCGCTCGCGAGTTTCGAGTCCGTCGGATAATACCCAAGGACAGCGATAAGAAGCCCGTCGAGGATGCAGATGCTGAGGGCCAGATATCCATTCACCTCCCCCATAACTCGCTTTTAGTGATGCATGCCGAAATGCAGGAGGAGTGGAAGCACTGCATCTCGCCGGCGCTATCGATAGATCCCCATCCCATTTCAGGGGCAAGTCGCATCAACATTACCTATAGGGATCATCGCGACAACATGCACCCTCGACTCACGCCTAGGTGCTCATGCGGTGTCCCCTGCGTGCTCAGAGTGGTGACCAAGAAGAAGGAGAACTTTGGGAAGTACTTTTGGATGTGCTATGCCGGTAACGTGCCGGGCAAGGATAGCTGCGGCTTCTTTCAGTGGGCCGAGTTTGATGATGACGGGAAGCCTTTGTTTAAGAAGACGGATGCAAAGATATCTTGAATATAGTACATGGGCAACTATGCTTTGACCTTAGGGTCATACATGCACACCTACGCTCCGCTCGTGTAATGAAGGTGGCTACGCCTATCATGGGCATGGGCCTGAGTGACTCTACTACAACAAGCCACCATTCTATGATTCAATACCTTCCAGGATCTATCCCTTTTCCATCTCCTTGTCTAGGCCGTCCTCTGTATGTGTTTGCTTTCATCTATCCCCATTCATCCATTAAGTTGCTCAACAGAGTTGCCCCTTTTGGTCTGCACTACTTCTTGGTAGAAACCCGCATATACTTCAACAATGCCAGGCACAATGCAGCAGAAACATACATTGCCCCGGCAAACATCTGCACCCGAAGATACGGGTACTTGTCTGCCTCATTGTCCCTTAGTTTTACAGCAATGGCCTCTGCCACAGCGGTAGGAGGCCCCAATGCCAACCATAGGACCCCCAGGGCACTCGACATGTTACCAAGGCCAACAGCCTCTGCCGCCAACGGAGCTGCCGTTGCCCACAGAGTCCCTGCTACCAAGCCAATGACCATGGCGAAGAAGCAAAGCGCCACCATGGACTTTGCAAAGACCCAGAAAACAAAGCAGAAGAAGCCTGATAAAAAGGTGGCGGCCATGGCAACGTTGAACCTCCCAAGTTTGTCGCTTAGAACCCCGACTCCAGGTCGGCCAAAGGCTTGGCCGAGGTTCAGGAGTGCGCTGATGATACTGCCTTGATGCTGCGTCAAGCCTACAGCCACAGCATAGCTCGAAAGACTGAATAGCAACACCACGTATGCCATGCTGCTTAGGAAGGCCCATGCCAGCAAGATGTTGTACTGCAGATTCCGGACCACAGAGAACCGCAGCGCAGCGCCCTTGGATCTATTTTTCTCCTTGGGTGGGAGACGAAGTAGGCTTCCGCATGTCAGGTTTACGGCGAAGCAGATGATGCCAAGGATTCGCATAGTCCACGGAAAGTCCAGCCGGGGAATCATGGCCCCTGTCGCCAACGAGTATGTAAGACCGCCAATCCCAGAACCAGCAGCCGAGATTCCATTCGCAAGGCTTCGGCGTTTTTCGAACCAGTGAGAGGTCACTCCCACAGAACCTATGAAGCAGAGACCCATGCCAATACCGAAGCAGATGCCCTGGGAGAGGAATAGTTGCCAGTTTCTCCCGACAAAGGACGTTGTTATCAGCGAGACCGCTTCAAAGACTGCCCCTATGACAATGGTCACATTTATGCCGCAGTGATGTACCAGAAAGGTCGCCAGGGGAGACACAAGCATGGCACATGCGATACTGAGGCCGCCCACAAAGGCGTAATCAAGTGCGGTGGTGCCGGGGAAGGTATGGTCGGAGAGATAAAAGGCAAGGATAACACCGTATGCCTATTCACTGAATGTTAGAGAACATATCTATACTGGATAGAGGATGTTCATACACTGTTGATGCCCCAAGTATGGGCATTAATCAGGAAAGTTGCGGCGACACACACCCAGCCGTACCCCCCTTCAGGGGGGCCTTCCGGGTCTTCCTGGTGTTGAGTATCTGGACAACAACGATCCATTACACACGACATTTCTTCCAGTTCGATCGAAGACAAGGTCGAGCGACTGTCGCCGGGAAGAGTTGGTTCGGACATTGTGTCAGGATTATTCAGATCGGTCGTAGGCGTTGGAGGTTCAGTTGCGTTTCAAAGAGCCGTTTGAAGACGAGGGATAGTAGTGTCAAGACCACGTAATGGTGTCTTGCCTGTATCAATCAGTCATTCTGGCTTGGGTAGATCTCTCTTAATGTATCTTCTCACACAAACACTTACACCGGGCATCTCGGCCCCGCGTGCCCGAGTTGATACGCCGGAAGGACCCACTTATCCCCGGCGGTGATTTCATTGGCCAATTCTCCGTGGCCAATGAACACCGCCGCCCCGGACCCTCGGGGCCGAGAGGGCCGAAGCCGGCATGCCTCTGAGATCAGATTACGGGGGTCACGGAAACTTTGAGATCTCCAAGTGATTGAAAAGAAACCTCGTCAGTATCGATCATGGCTCAGATAAATGACAGCGCAGTCGACCGAGGTTCTCCTCACGAGTCTCCCCAGTCCCAGGCTTCGGCGGAGCATCGCCGGCAGCACCGGTCTTGTGTCAATTGTTACCAGCGCAAAGTGCGGTGCAACAGGATACTGCCATGTACTCCCTGCTCTCGTGCCGGGCTTCAGTGCGTGTATCCGACAACAGCACGTGCTGCTTCGACCAAAGCGCCGTCATTGCAGGACATTTCAGATCGCCTGGAACGACTCGAGAGTCTACTGCTGGAAACACTGGGCAGGAATAGTGCTGAGCATGCCCTGGCTCCAAAACAGGAGGCTCAGGTACAAGAACCTCGTGTACAAGAGGCTCGTGCTGTACCTGGGCTTTCCACCAAACCGACCTATTTGAATGATGTCAGCTCTAGACCATGGGAAGCTCTGCTGCAAGCTGGTAATCGGGCTCACTATGTTGACAATACAAACCTGCTTGACCTCTTTCAAGATGCACGCCACCCAATATTAGGAGCTTGGATATGCCGATGTACTGATCCTTTCCCAGGAAGACCGAATCAACCCCCCCGAACTTGATGAAGTGCAAGAGAGCGTGCCTGGTTCATCCAGCGGGTTGAGTCTTGCCCTTGGTTTGTCCCCCATGGATCTCGATTCAGGCCCAGATCCAGATCGCCTGCACCCAGACGCACGGCTCGCTCTGCGATTATGGACAGTGTACGCAGAGAGAGTCGATCCAGTCCTCAAGATCCTCCATATTCCAACCGCGCAATCTGCCATGATCGCCATGATTTCAGGGCCAAAGCAGACTAACCATTCTCTCGAGGCACTGGCATTTGCAGTGTACTTTGCTGCTGCTACTAGCTTGTCCGAAAATGAGATGTCGACGATCTCATCAGTCGAGTCTCGGCAGGGGTTCCTTCAGAAGTGCAAGCTTGGGCTGAACCAGGCTATTACCAAGGCTGATTTTCTCAACGAGCCAAACATGACGACGCTGCAGGCATTGGCTATTTTTGCAGTAAGTGTGTCTTCGTGAACCTTCTATCCGAAACTGACATTAGAAGACGTGTCTCAGGGTTCATGACAACAGCCGCGCCGTCTGGGTGCTCATTGGAACTGCGATCCGGCTAGCGCAGTCCATTGGGATTCACCGGGACGGGGCCTCGCTCAAGCTGGACCCTTTCGAGAGCGAGCTCCGTCTCAGGCTGTGGTGGCACCTCTGTGTGCTTGACTCGCGGGCGCCCGAAGACCACGGCTTCACCAACACCATCGAAAACCTCGATCAAGGGCTCCGGCTACCCCTCAACGTTGACGACGCTCAGCTCTACCCAGCCATGAAATCTTTGCCGCCTGATTCTGAAAAATGGACAGAAATGACCTTTTCCCTCGTCCAGCTCGAGGCTGCTAGGCTGGTACACCGAATCTTGATCGCAAAACCGAGGAATGACCTTGAGACTCCGGAGAATATCGAGGCAAAACGTGCAGTCCTCGGACAGCACAACAAGTGGATCGAGTCGAGGTTTCTGGCTTTGCCCCCAGCGTCAAATCTTCACAATGCTGCGTGTGCCCACTACTACACAGCGTGCGCCAAGATCGAGTTTATGCTTCAGGTGCGCCAGGAGCTGCACCTCAGCCGGCACAGGGAGGCGCCGGGCGCCGTCTTCAGGGGCCTTGGAGAGCAACCATTCACTGCCGCGTGCCGCACGTTAGAGAGGAGCTGGTCCCTGGCGAGCGGGCAGATCTCAATGGAGCACACGTGGATCTTCAAGACCTACACCCAGTGGTACGCCCTAGCTTACGTCCTGAGGTACTTCTGTGCTTTCCCCAACGTCCCCGAGACAGAGGAGGCGTGGGTGCTGGTCAATCGGGCCTTCAGCTCCATACCGTACGCCCAGCGTGGCCAACTGGCTCGGGAGAGTAACACCGGGAGGAATAGTATTTGGAAGTGCCTGGAGTCGCTGCGCTGCCAGGCCTTGAACGCGAGGACAGCAGCTCGAGGCTCCCCTGTCCCTGAGCCCTCCACCCCTAATAATTGCCAGAGCAGCTCAATAGAGGATGGGGCACTGGCAACTGAAATCAGCGCCCCTTCGGTTGGCCTGCAGGATCCATTGTCCAGTGCAGAAGCTGCCTCGTTGTTTGCGGGCCAAGCGGAGCCTCCTCGTCTGTCTGATACGACGCAGTTGGCAGATCAATGGTATAGCGGGCTGCCGTCCTTTGGCGACTTTGCGATGCCAGAGATGCTTTATTTGCCCGAATGGAATGACATTGTCAACGGGAGCTAGCCTGAGTAATTGAGATTCAGACAATGTGATTCAATAACTAGAGGCGAAAGGAGTCAAATGTGTGATGGTCATCAGGACTTTGCGTAGGTTGTAACTTGTCGCCCTCGCGCAAAGAAAGTTGTTCCCGTTTGGTGCCGGAATGTGACTTTTGAGGCGCTTTGAAATTCAAAGTCGTTCCAAGGCGTTCCTGGCAGAAAAAAATCATGAATCTCGTCGGGGGTGAGCCAGCATCGAAGGCCCCCAAGATTGCGTCGACAGTGCAGCACTGATAAATCAGTAGTAGGACGGGGCTGTCCTGATCCGAGTGCCTTCTTTCTTTTCCAGAACCTTTAGTTTCTTGCTCACGGCACATCGCGTGGTAGGCCTATTTCTCAATATTGTATGGATGCCAGTGGTTGCGCCCTGAGACACTGATCCTCCGAAACCTGTCATACTCCAGGCCCTCATCCAGTGCACCATCATCATTATGGACGTGATGTCCGATGGGAATCGAGCAGTCTTTAAAAAATCCGGTTTTCGTTCTCCATGTCTTGCATTCCCCACAACGACCGCAGATGCCCCTTTTCATGTGACTTGGTTGATATCCAGACTGAGGCCCAGGTCTCGGATGACGGTCTCGACCCCAGTCTATGATGCTGATGGTGTGCTGTCTCACCTCAAGATTGCGCAACACCGACGCTGGCATTCCCCGCGATGGTAAAAAGTTCCTCGGTTGGTATTACACCGAGGCTCTGGGTCAACGTCTTAGACAAGGCCCACGTCCGAGCCCGCTCATGGAGTCTGGGGATTCAAGACAGCGCGCAATTGGTTGCACTATGATCGATATTGAGCGCGAGAGATTTGAGCTTGACACTGGAAGTAAGGCCGAGTGTATCTGTGTAGTATAACTGCTGGTTGAGCTCTGACACGAGTCTCTCGGAGCCTCAATTTGCACAGCGTAGTCTGACGGAAGCCTGCAACATGGAAAAACAGATATCATCTTGCTGCGTCCAAGAGCCCTCTTTTTTAGTGTCGTAAGAAGTGAGAATAAAGCCCAAGAGCCAAAAGGAGTCCCTAAGACCATGGTTGAAGTCTTTGATGCTAAGCCAGCCGCTTGGGGGGCTTGGCGGTGAATCTGGGTGAAATCATCACCAGAAGTCTCAATCGCATACCAACATTTGACTAAATTCAATTGAAAAATTCAGTTCAAACTGGCTTAGTATGTTGGAATGAAGCACACAGATCGAATGCCCGAGAATCGTTCAAACAGAGAACATGAAACATGACTGACCCGATCGGGAGGTCCGGCGATGGTTGCGTCGCCGATACGACGGGCGCAATGGACGCAGATCGTCTCGATCCAGGCTAGCGGCAAGATGACATCTCGCCGAAATTGCGACACCGCCTTTGATTTTGTCCAATGACTTGGTTCCGAGGCGCAACCGCCAATCGTCGATTGGGCCCTGCAATTGCAGCAAAGTCGACTGTGTCGCAGAAACCCTGGTTCTGTCTCTTCGGGGTTGAGCGGGAGGGAAGCAGGCGGGTCGAAAAAAACACCGCCGGTATCAGCACCAAAATTGTATGGGGAGAGCGGCGGTGATTTCTTCGACCCGCCTGGGAAGGTGAAGCTTGGGCCCAGGCACGCAATCCTAACAGCCCCAACAGCCCCAACAGCCCCAATCCCCGAAGCGAGGACAAAAGAGGCCAGCGAGGACCCTGATCGGCGAATCATCGGAAGGGTGTGTCTACCCTCCAGGAAATAGAGTTCGATAGTTGCTGCGAGGCATTGGAAGCGCCCGTCTCTGTTGACAGGATGCATGGATGGTCAGGAGAGTTGGTGTTGATCAACAGTGAAGGATTTCCAAAGCTTTCGGGGAGGGAGCTTATTGGGTGTGCCTGGCACCTTCCCAACTTGCCAACGCTCGAGAAGGAAGGAAGCTCTCTGCCAAGAAATTGGAAGGCAGTCCGTGGGTCGTACGCGCCCCCGGTACGCCTCCAGCCACTTGCATTCTGTGAAGGATCCCACTCCGCCATAGGCAAAAGAGAACGCTCTCTACCTTGGTCACAAATAGAGGTACCTATCAACCTTGACACATTCGTCCCAAGATCTTTCCTGGTGAGAAAGCCAATTTCAACTTCCCCTCTAACATCCAGACAGCACGAGGTGAAAATCCTTCAGGACCGTGAGTGCTCCACCATCTCAGCTCCCGTCATCACATACCGCCTCGATCCTTTCTGCAGCCTATCTGCCTTCCTTGGCCGCTCTCGCCAATTCCCAAGTCCCGCTTGGATCCTTCTCCTGCATCGCGGCACGCAGTCCTGTGCAGCCGGGTTGCCGCCGGCATCTCATCCAACGCCTCGCAGCTTGCAACGGCGATCCCTTGTCGATAATCCGGCGCTAGGAGCCGCATGACACTGACATAAGGTTTCGGAGTATTTTCTCCTGCTCCCACACTTCTCTCCAATTCCTTCTCTTCAACAACACAGACCGTCTTCTCGCACAACGTCGGAATCGCGCAACCATGTCGGAGCTGCTCACTTTCCCCGCATCGTCAGCGGCCATGCTGGAATCTCGCTTACCCCCGTCGACCCTCGCCCAAGGAACCCCCTCGCGACCCTTCGTTACCCTGACCTTTGCAACTTCGCTCGACTCGTCACTTTCTCTTGCACCTGGTGTACGGACCCGGCTCTCTGGGCCCGGCTCCAAAGCCATGACCCACTATCTCCGTTCGCGCCATGCGGCCATCCTCATCGGTGTCTCCACCCTCCTAGCCGACTCGCCTGCCCTGAACTGCCGCATCGCCGGTGCTGCAAGACAGCCCCGTCCCATCATTATCGACCCCCATCTCCGCTGGGTTCCTGACCCCACGGATAAGGTCCTCGAGGTCGCACGTCTCGGCACCGGCCTAGCGCCCTTTGTTCTAACCGGGGTGGGTTCCGAGAGCTTGCCTGCCGCGAGTGCTGCACTGCTTGAGCAGCATGGCGGCAAATATATTCATGTTCCAGCCACGTCTTCAGGTCCTGGCAGCCGCATGCGTTTTGATTGGCGCGCTGTCTTTGATGCGCTGCTCCGCGAGCATTTGACCAGTGTCATGGTTGAGGGGGGTGGCCAGATCATCAACTCGTTACTCAACCCGACGTTCCACGACATGATTGACTCAGTCATCGTCACTATTGCGCCCACCTGGCTCGGTCAAGGGGGCGTTGTCGTATCTCCGGATCGGCTCCAGGACTCCGCAGGTGTTCCGGTCCCAGCTGCAAGGTTATCCGAAGTGTCGTGGCATCCCTTTGGTGAAGACGTTGTCTTATGTGGGAAGCTGCATACCTAGTGCCCTAGAACTGGGCTATATAAATATCTCGTGTCCCTGCCGCTTGATTTGGATCTAACATTCCCTTTTCGCTACCTGTGGCTCTTTTTTATTCCTTTCTCTTTTGTGTTTAACCCATCCTCCTAACATGTGTAGCCTCTGAACTCGAGCTCAAAATGACCCACCGGCCATCCGCCTCGCCAAGAAAGAATCATCTCACCGTCGATATCGAGTCTCGAAGTTACTAGACATCTACCTCCCCACGACCAGATCTTCGCCCATCGAATTCCCGATACCTCGATCCAACCTCGGCCCTCGCGTGTCAGACGCGACCTGTCCACTTGATTTCCAAGCTCCGCAGCGGATAATATGCGAGCCCCGTGACGACGAACGCCGCCTCGAAACCGAGATCCCCGATTCGTTCTCCTATGGGTCCAGTGAACCAAGGCGTATCCATCGATGGTATGACTAGCCCAAGGCTTACCAACGAGGCAGCCATGGCTGCCAATCCCGTGGGAAGATATCGCCCCTTGTTCCATATTTCTGGGTCGTACGAGCTATAGTCTCTCTTCCGGAAAATCACAAGCTCCTCGATCATGACGGCGTCGAAGCATCCTGCCCAGTACCCGATGACGCTGAGGAAATTCTCAAGCGAGGTTGTCCATTCAGCAGCCGCATAGATTGCCATGGGAATCATGATTGCCAGGGTGACAATGATGAAGAAGAAGCGAGGCACCTTGGTGAAGACTGGGAGGAGCATCTGCAAGCACAATGCCACCGAATACATGGAGTTCAGCGTGTTCCCGACGACACTCAATGCAAGGACGACCAGAACGAACTTTCCAAACCCGCCAGCCGGCGCAAGCATCTCGGCCAGCACACCGCCGACCCCATAGACATCCCACGCCGTCTGCCACGACTCGTTGTTAGGGATAGCACCGCCAATGGCTGCCCCGAGTATGAGAAGAGGCGTTGCAGGAGTCGACAGTCCCAGGTACACATACGTGAATACCTTGCGCCTAAGCACCTCATCAGCTCATCGACACTCATCGTAAGTTGGAGCTAGGACAACTCACTTTGGCTCTTTGGGATCATGATAAATGGTAAAGTCGGACACAGTCCCGCCAAAGGTCATGAAGTATCCGGCCATCAAGCTTCCATACCCAATGACGCCCTTGACCGTTGCTGGTCCATGCTCTACCTGTTGCATGAGCTGCTTGCCTCCGCAACCAGCTGCGATGGCAATGGCAATCAAGTTTGGAAGCCACTGCCATCGCTGCCAGGCGTGGATGGCTCGATATCCAAGCAGTGCTGCCACGAAGCTTATTGCGCAGACAATGCCGATTCCCACATTGACACTGATTGTAGCCTTCTCGTTTAAGGCTGCAATAGCCTGTCCGCTAACGATGGTTCCCATGAGTGTGAATCCAGTTGCCGTTCCCGCGCTCAGGAGGATTGGAATGACAACAAAATAGAGCCTGTGATCAAGGCTCCAGCATCAGCAATTGGCTTCCAGGAGAGGATTCAAGATGGAGCCCTACCCGAAAGAGTATCGAGCCTGAATCATCTGCCGCATACCAGTCTGGTACCCTCCAATTCCCATGATCGCTGGCGGGATACATGTCACGAAGTTGAAGAAGAGGATGATCAGAGAAACATCTCGAAGCTTAAGACCATACACGGTCGTGCCAAGGGCTCCGGTAGGCAACCTATCCGTTGGTCAGCAACTCCTGGGATCATCAAGTCGGGGCAGCTTGGTCAACGGACGGTAGAACGCAAAGGAGACATGTGAAGAATACTGTGAACAGGTTGCTGTGTTGGGTCTGGGTCCGTTCTTCTGGTGGCACCGGCAGGATCCCATTCTCTTCGACACCAGCATCAAGCACTTTCCTGTACCACCTTGAAGGTATGCCTTTCCTGTGCTCGACAGAAGCCGCAACCTCGACATTGGGGCCGTCGTCACTGCCATCATTCTTCGTCTGACCTGGCCAATGAGGGGTACGGTTGGCCTCAAGGTCATCGCCAACTGGCACCATCCGGCTGCTGGCAGAGGACTTGGAGTTCATGGTTTCGAGCGATGGTTCGATGTCGTTGGCGTATTGTGAAGATCTAGAATTGGAGATATGGATCGGGGGCATGGCATGGTTTTCAGCTTTTCAACATCAAGGACGGTACAAGGGCGGGGAGAGAAGACGTCTTGCATGACGAGACTCAGCACCTTGTACCTCCCCTTCCCTGGCCACTATTATTCCTGCTATGGTTCACTAATCAGTCAACTGCAGATTCCAACTTGCACTTTGAACCTCACGTCCTTGTCACATAACAAGAGTCGTCCGTCGATGCTGCTTTGCCAAGGCTGCTTTTCACAGACGGCAATCGGATTCGAAGCCGTCTCATGTACTCAGTCATTGACTGATGTGTCACGCTGGTGAGAAATTTTGTTCAGCGTGCATTTTGGCGACTAAGAGATTTTGGAGATGAAGTCAGCCCTCTGGCAGCCACTCGAACCTCCGTGGTTCATTGACACATGGCTCCCGTCTGAATTACACTGGGCCACAGGTACTTGCGTTCGAGGGTCTCAGTCTGTTGAAAGTCGGTGACATTCGCGATGGTCCATCCCCTGAGCCTTTGGACGAAACTGAGACAGTTCAAGGAGGCTATCCTTCTCCCTGCACGCGGTTCGGAGTTAGCGAACAGGCCGACATCTCTCCATGATCGTCACGACTCGCTCGACTTTGGCTCAACTCGCAGGGGCGCTGCATCCCAGGTCCCCGTCGACGCAGGCTGTGTGGGCCTCTGAATGGAACTTGGTCAGGACGTCAAACACTGGCGCAGATCCCCTCGAACCGACCTCTCTCTCCCTCCCGCGTTGCTGTTCTTGGGATCTCTTGCAGATGGATTCAGTCTACCAAAGCAGAGCAATGACACGCGGACCGATGAAGTACCTGGGCATTCCCTCCCCTCACAAGCCGGGCACATGGACTCTCCTGTTTGATGAGCAAGGCCAAGACCGACGTGTTCTTACATTTGCTCATGCGTCCTGCCTTCTCTCTGCTCACGCTATCCACGGGCCGCTAGCAAACATGGGGTGGAGAAACGCAAACATCTCAGCCTGACCTGCCCGGCTGAGACAGACGAACTGCCGTTGTTGATCGAGTACGATATTGTCTCACAAATGGGATCTCCTCTTGGCCGATAGGACACCCCTGATGGGTTAGACTGACGCGAGACGAGCCGTGAGCCAAGCTCTCACACCCCTCCGGGAAGCAACAGCTACGTCAAGCCCCAGCCCTAGACCCGCCAGGGCGACGCCAGGTTAACGCCAGGGCCGTGTGGTGTTGCCCATGATTGGAGTGATTAGTGTGCCTGGGTGAGGCAACACGCACCCAACCAAGCTGAGCTCGCTTGGAGTACGTAGTACTTCAGCCGGGCTCTCTGCGCCTCGAGCGCCTCTTTTCTCCCAAGGCCCAACGAGGAAGTTTGAGGAGCAAACACGCTTCCCGCCCCCTGTCGGCTGTTGGCTGTTGGCTGTTTGTTTTCTATTGTTTGTCGCTCGTCTCGTGGCCGGTCGGTTGTCGATCTGGGACATGCGTGTCTGTCATGCGAATCTTCCCTACAGCAAGCATCTGTGCGCGATTTACCTCCGACAACCCATTTACATGTCCATGTGGAATTGGAAATAGCGTGAGTAGCGCCGATACCTGACGGATCACGGGGTGGGCTTGCCTGGCAGCTAGATGGTTGGCCACGCAGCGGCGGTACAGTACTGGCTGGGATGCAGCAATCCTTCTTGTGCCGATCCACATACTGTGATACGTGTCTAAGCCTCTTCGGATGAGAACGGCGCCAGATCTGCCAACAAGATCGAGAGGCGCCAAGGTTGGTTGTGGTGGCGTTGGCGAGTCGTGAATCGTGAATCGTGAATCGTGAATCGTGAACCCAAAGAACGGCGGAGAGTGACGGATACAAAGGCATGAACGGCCGGATCAGATGAATGCTTCCAGTCCGGCTCTAACGAGTCGAGCGACCAATGCCACGCTACAGCAACTCCCCCGATAGTCTGGACGGTAAAACACGCCTGATGACCAGCCAGACTCTGCCGACATACTGCACGATGCAACGGCGGAAACGCCCGTCCGAGGCCAATTGGAGAGTTCTTAGAACTGGGTCGCTTCGGGGTACTAGCTTGTCACTCTGTCGGCGCCGCGCTCAGTCTAAAGTGACCGGGGCCGAGTGTTGGGTACGTCCCACACCAGGACCAGTCTCGGGGTAGCCACATGGCAATTGGCGGTGATGCAACTAGCCGCGCCTCGTTTCTCCCAGGTCCCTGTAACTCGTGCCAAAAGACGAGACACCCCCATCTCAAGATGGATCCATCCGACGGAATGAGATGAGACGGTCTCGAGGGGAAGGGTAAAAAGGGGGAGGTGAACCCAAAAAGGTAGAGTACGACATCGTAAGTACGTAGGAGCCGGCATCAAGTCAAGGGAACACCATGATGGTGGCAACACTTTGTGGGCAGATAACAGACTAGATCTGCAGACGTGCTCGGGACGAATGTCGCAATGAAAGAAGAAATTTTTTTTATGATTTTGAAGCTCCTCAATCTGCAAGAAAATGACTGGGGGGGCCGCCTCACCAAGGCGCAGCAATCAGGTCCCCCATGTTGCGGGCTCCGGCATCCAGATTTGGTTGCTTGTGTGAGACGGACACTCGCTCAATGCCGTTGCCGGCGATTCGATTGGTAGGGATACAGCGGACAACTAGTCGTGGTTGGCCCCGATGAGCTCTGCTGCTTTGTGACTTCTGGGCCTGATGTCACACTCAAAGTGCTCCGGGTGGCTTATACGAGAGACAGACACTGTCAGCAACTTGCTCCGCACGCAGGAGGGGCAGAAGAGGGTGAGTGAGTGAGTGAGTGGATTCAGAGTTGTCGTCGTCGTCAACAAAACATCCAGGAACGAACCAAAGAAAAAAAATAAAAGAAGGGGTTTGTGGGGAGGGTGGGGGGAGTTGACAGACCAGGTTCCGCCATTGGTAAATTGGACTCGAGGCTCTATGGGACTCCCGTCTGGACCCATCTTCTTGCGGAATTCGAGCGTTGCTAGCATGGTCGCCACCATGATCCAGACGCTGTTGTCGGCCAGGAATCGGCCGACGCAAACTCTGTCCCCCGAGAAGGGTCTTGTGAGAATCCAGAACCTCGACTAGAACATCCAAAGTGGCATCAACGTACCGTCGTCCGAAGCCAAAGTTCCCAACAGGGAATGGCTCGCCCGCGCCGCCGTTGACCAGCGGCTCGTATCTATCGGGGTTGAAGTCGTGGGGCGCGCGGTAGATCCGCTCGTCATGCGCCATGGCATGGGCGTTGGCGTAAACCACGGTCCTGGAGCTTATCAGACTCTCCCACGTCCCCCGTAAACGATGCAGTGCCGGGACTCCTACCCTGCAGACAAGGTCAGCCGAGTTGCTTAAGCTCCCATTGCAAATGTTCCGTACCTTTGGGAATGAACATGCCCTGGTAGACGTCATCCTGAAGCGACTTGTGCGGGATCCCTGGTGATGCCACCGGCGTCAGTCCAGGCTACCGTTACAGGGTACTGGGTCCCCTTCCAGCCCCAAGCCTTACTTACCTAGAGGGGCCAAGGGTGACCATCTGTGAAGAGCGGGTTTCTGTCAGACTGATAGAAATTTACCCAAGCGAACTGGGGCCTTACCGATAGATCTCCTGCACAATGTGCTCAATGTATGGCAAGGAGGCCCGGTCTGAAAAGTTGGGCAACCTATCGGGTCCGATGACCGAATCGAGTTGGCTTCGGGCTTTCTCTTGTATTTCGGGATGAAGAACCATGTTGAGGATAAAAATTACACATGTTGCCCAAGTCTGAAAGTTTGCGGCTCAGCAATCAAAATCAATCGTCATTCTCAAGCTTGAACCTACAGTGTCTGCGCCCGCAATAAAGACTGCGCCAGCGGCGCCCTTGATATCGTCGAGCGACCACTCTTGTTCTTGACCGTTTTCCTCGTTGCGTCTATACTGGCGTAAAAGCTCGTGTGCCAAAGATTTGTTGTCGCTGCAGCCATCCTTATCAAAAGTCAGTTTCTCGCTTACAACTTTCAGAGGTTGTCCAAGGTATGCACAGCTAGTCAGTCAGTTGACTTACATGCTCAGACTGCGCTGCCGCGAATGGGACGTCGTGGAGTTTCTGGATAGCCCAACGCCACTGTCGTGCAAACCGAAGTGACCAGTCACGAACGATCCAGTCCGGCAAATGGCGAGCTGTGGATAGCGCATGAGTAACTCCAACCACGTAAAGAGGAGAATGTGGGTTCTTTCTCGCCTTACCCAGGGGTATTAAATCAACGATGCTGTTGGCGGGAGCTCCGCCGTTGCCAGTGGCGTACATTGCGTTGTTGGCAATCTGGATGTACGGGTCATCGTCCTTGGGTACCTCAGTACCGTAGCTTACCTGGAGCACAATAGCCACAGCAAGTCGACGGAGCGAAGTCTCCCACGAACTGGGCTTGCCCATCATGTTGCGAACCGTCCGCCGAGCCTCGGTTATTTGCAGCTTGTGCCATTGACGAACGTTTGTGTTGCTGAATGAAGTCTGAAGAAGTCTTCTATGCATCTGCCATCGTCGTCCGTACGGGAGAAAGGTCAACGTTTTGCCCCAGCCCATGCTAAGCGAGACCTTTGTGTGAGCGTCCGAGGTACAAGGCCTGTCACCCATGCGATGGAGGATTTCGATATGACTTACACCTCTAGTAAGGTGAACCTAGGTCGGTCGCAGAAGTTGGCGCCTTTCTTTTCAAGGACATCCCTGGCTGCCTCCACGCTGTTGAGGACAACGATGGAACGACCAAGAGACTTGACATGGATGATATCCGAGTCTTGTCCATATTAGAGCCAGGGGTTCTCGAACCACCATCTTCTTAGATAATAACCGGGTTGTCACTCACCGTATTCTCTTGACCACCTGGCATAGGTTGCCGCGGTGTTCTCCTTTGGTATCAGGCGAGTATGGCCTAGAAGGAACTCGGCCGGGGGACCAGGTGGTAGTGGCAGTGTGGGTTGAGTACGCCGGTGAACCAGAGCGAACCACATAACCGCAAGGACGATGGCTAGCTCAATAAGAGCCTTGGCTGTTGTGAACTCCATGTTGACGAGCAAAACTAGGTATGGACTCAGCAGGAATGAAAAAAAAAAGGGCAAGGTCAAAGTTGAACGAGCTAAGTAAACTCGGTAGAAGTGGTATTTGACAATTAGTCAGGGCACTCAATCACTGTTTCTGTCTTGGGAAGGAACTGATGGGAGCTCTGATGGGGATGGGGATGGCTTCACACCAATCTGGGGACGGCCCCTTCCTCCAACTAAGATAGCACCCGCGCGCCGGGCTCCTGCCTTCCCTGCCTACATGACTTGGCAGAGCACTAAATCACGCTGAGATGCAGCTTGCTTAGGTACTAGCAGTAGCAGTGATTCAAGCACCTTGAAACTCCAACCAAGGTTCACCTGATTTCTGAGCTCCAAGTTCAGGGCAGATTCCAATCGCGCCTACCTCGTCTGTCTGTCTGTTTGTCTGAATGAATCGCGGGGCCGACTCCGGACCGATGGGACCCTCTTGTCGCGCGGCCGCGCCGGCGGCTGGCCCATACAGAGACCCGGTACCAACTCCCATTATACGCGGCTTCAGCTGTCAAGAACATGGACTGTCTTTCCTCTTTTCTCGATCGACACTACACGCACCGTACTCTTCTCTCACCTGGGCGAACGGAGAGACGTTTTGCGACGGGAGCTTGTCAGGAGAGACAGATGATGGGCCCGGCTTGTCATCACCGACATTTGGACGAATACATGACCACGACTCAACCCTTGGCAGCTATTTTGATGCCATGGAGTTGCAGACGGGATATGACACATGATGGCGCGGCCACAATCGACGCCACGTTCATTCATGTTGCACTCGTCATTTTCTGCATCTAGCTCAGGGCAATGTTGCTGCGATGCTGGTTGACGGTTTCACCACGGGACTACGGGTCTGGGCCTCACGGCTTCCACACACACTCCGTGCGCCCCCCGCGATTGAGTTACGGAATGATTAGCGGATTGTCTTTGCTAAGACCTTCGGCTCCGTTCCTCTGGAGCAGGACCCTTGCTAGTTGCGCCGGAGGGTCCTGCGTGCTTGGACATCCATCAGGTAGCATGGAGCCCGATCCAAGACACCCGTCATGATCCAAGACACCTGAGTCGCGCCATGAGCTTCCAAGGCCCCGGAACAAGGAGCGAGGGCTCGAGAGAAAGGGGAACCACTCAGATAAAAGTCACAAAAGCTAACATCTAGTTTCCGCGTTGAAGCGCCTCTTCGGCGACCTTTCTTCCCGAGTCCGACCACCGAGTGGAGCACCTCACCGCAATGCCATGTGCTTTGACATCAAGCTTGACGTGGTGGAAGAGTGGAGGGTGGCTACATACCGACGCTAAGTAAGGGCCGGTACTTGAGCTGAAGGGGTTTCCCAATCGCGAATGCTCCGTAGGCGAGTTATCCGACCCAGAGCTTTGCTGGGCTGGGAGATTCGGGATTCGGAGGAAGTCCTCCTCGGCCACGGCATCAACAAATGCTGGCTAGTGCTGCCACGCCATAGTGTGTGCTGCATATGGACCCTGCCCGAGTGACCATGAGACGGCTCGCCTGAGAGAAATACTTGACCGACAGAGTGGTACGAGGATTATAACAAACGACATATCAGGGAGGCTTTGTTCGTCTTTGGATGTCTAGGATGCTTGGCCGATCCAAGTGGAGCAGTCGTCTTCATCAGCCCTGGTTGGTGACATCCTTGAGCCATCTCAGCAAATTTAGCTCTGATGGAACTGACTCTTGCTCGCACGATCGTGTTTGTTAGTCCACTTAGTCATCTGAGACTAAGAGGCTGAACAGAGACCTAGAACGGGCGGAATACGCGAGGTCGATAGTGGCTTATTAATCATAATATCTCAACTCGGAGTCGACGACGAGCGGAAAAAACGAAGACCAAAAAAGGGGCGAGGATGCGAGATGATGGGAAAAAGCAAAGAGTTAAACAAGAGGGACCGGAAATCTTGCAGCCAGGGCGCATGCGACAAGCAGGTGTCAAAGATGGATGCTAATGGAGACGTGCTGCATGGCACTTTCTTTCCCAGCCCTAAGACGGCAAATAAGAGCCAAAAAGTACCGCATCCCCTCATTGACAGCGGGGAGATACCTGCCCACTGACGCAGCAGAGGCTCCCAACTGTAAGCCACCACGGTGGTTGCAGGTGCCCGAGATTACACCCTGAAGTGGAAGTGGGATCCATGGGATGGGGATGTGGGGGCATGTTGATTGATTCTCGGGAAAGCGGGAGTTTGAGGCCCCCCTCGACCCTCGTGGTCCTGTACCTAATGTACCTGCCTTACCAACAGCTGCGCGCTTCAGTGGCGGTCCAGGCCAAGAATGCCCCACTACCGACAGATGCACGTTCCCTTCAGCGAGTGCCCTGACCTCACCGCACCGCACTACGTACAACATTCACTCAGGCCATTTTCACACAGATCAATTATCAACCAAATCAACCAAGACACGCCTCTAGGAACCCCAGCCAGCGCTGCATAGAACCCGCGTATCCGCGAACGAACTCGGCAAAAAGCAATTCATCCATCAGATCACTCTTCCAGGCCTGGCCGAGATCTCTACCTACGCTAGACCCCCCTTCCAGACACACCTACCCATACCCAGGTCCAGTACCACCGCACCACGCCCACGGCTCCCGATCCTGTTGACCTCATCCAACATTGCAAATCATCGCTTCTGCATACCGCCCATCATGGCCTCTCCCGCTAGCCTTCCGCGCATTACCATCCTGGGATCCCTCAACATGGACCTTGTCGCCTATGTGCCACATCATCCCTTGCCAGGTGAAACTCTCACCTCGAACCACTTCAACACGTCCCCCGGCGGCAAGGGCGCCAACCAGGCCGTCGCCTGCGGCAAGCTCTCACGCGCCGCTGACCTGACCAACGCCTCGGCCGTCGTCTCCATGGTGGGTGCCGTTGGCGCCGATCCATACGGTACCCTCCTGCTCGATAGCCTCCGCTCCTTCGGCGTCGCCGTCGATGCTGTTGCCGTCCGCCAAGACCAGAAGTCTGGCCTGGCCATCATCGTCGTTGACGAGCCCTCTGGCCAGAACCGCATCATCCTCTCGCCTGAGGCCAACCATTCTCTCCGCCCCTCGGATTTCGAGTCCCTCCCTGGGCCCCGTCCCGATCTTCTGATTATGCAGCTTGAGATTCCTTTTGATACAGTCATCCAGGCTCTGAAGGCTGCCAAGGCTGACGGCGTCCCTGTCCTCCTCAACCCGGCTCCTGCTCAGCCCTTGCCTGAGGATGCCTACGAGGGCCTGGCTCATCTCGTAGTAAACGAGACCGAGGCGGCCATTCTTGCAGATTGTGCCGAGTCCGAGCTGGACGACCTCGATGGCTTGAACCGTGTTGGCCGTGTCTTTATCGACAGAGGAGTCCAGAACGTCATCATCACTCTCGGTGGCCGAGGCGTCTACTACGTCAACAAGGGAGGGAAGAGCGCACTGCTTCCTGCCACTAAGACGACAGTGGTGGACACCACTGCTGCCGGTGACACCTTTGTCGGTTCCTACGCCCTCGCTGTTGTAGCTGCACACGACGGTGACTTTGACATTGAGGCGGCCGTCACCACGGCAAACCGAGCGGCTGCCAAGACGGTCTCACGCAAGGGTGCTCAGATCTCTATTCCCTGGAAGGACGAGCTAGAGTAAGGGTAGACAGACGCAGCTTTTGTTCCGTAGACAACCAACAACAGAGAACCATGCCAGTTTCCAGCCCCGCCTGCTCCCGGGGCCGTTTTAGAACCAGGCCCCCCATCCCCATCGGCTTGCGTCCTTCTTGCCTTTGGCTCGTGTCGTCGGCATTGCTGGCCCTGGTGGAACTCCTCCCTCCCGCGCCGGTCTGCTGCTAGCTTCGTGGTCCCGAGTCGTCGTCGAAAAGTCGGCCATCAGGGGGAACAAGCCCCTGAGGGTCTCAGCGCCGAGGGAACGCCTCTTCCACAACGTGCTGCTCAGAGAGGCCCCTGATGGGACTCTTTGGTCCGAGTCCACCGGAGATTGGGGTCCCACGCAAGGGGTATTCCCTTTCCGTGGTCGTCCTGGCTGTGGTCTGTCCGTCCCCGCGTCACTTGCGGCCCGCGATGGCGGCAGCCCTCCGCTCTGGGTCGATATGCAGGCCGATGCGGCGCTGCCACAGCTTGACGCTGTTCGCCTCACTTCTGTCTGCAAGGACGAGTATCTGACTCGATCATGTTCTCGCTGAAGACTGGCATGTCTCAGAGGGATGAGGGGGGCTGCCGCATGGCCCGAAGCTGCCGGCATGCGTCTGCTGCGTTCGACATCCTCCTCCAACCGTGACCACGCCGCTCGGGTAGACTTTGCTGGCCTCCGTGGGGCATAACGCAAGGCCGCAATCTGTCTCATCACGTCCCTGGCGCTCTCAACACCCTAGTGTCTCTCGATTAGCGGCAACAGTGGATTCGGCGTCGGCTCTGGAGGAGGAGGAGACCACGGTGACATCGTGTTGTGGAGTTTTACAGAAGCCATGGCCACTGTCTCAACCTTGCTTTGTATACTGAGCATGCCGTCGGCTTGGATGTCGATGTCCCTAGATGTGGGAAAGGCCGAGTGACGATACGATAGCCGCACCTCGATATACCCCACATGCGAGTTGCCCAGCTCCGCCTCGAGATCTTCTATGAGATCGTCCGATGGCTGTCGGGGGCTCCCTTGCTTCCCGTTTCGAATCCCTAACTTTACATCGACCTGCGTCTGAGTCAGGAGAAGGACACTAGAGCCGGCGTCAAGGGTTCTGCTGATAATCAGTCACCAGTCCACGTCGTCACCTCGGCAGCATCTCGCATCCCGCACTCACATGGGGAAGGATTGGTTCTGCAGAACTCGAACAACAGATGATTTTTCTGTTGGCAGGACTTGGACTTTCAAGTCGTAAAGGCGGCCAAATTCAAATGGATCCCCTGGAGTGTCAGTGGCCCATTGTCCATGGCAGATAGCGTCCTTTTTTCACACCTACCTTGCTGATCACATCCTGTGAGGCTCTTGGAATAGCCTGACCGCTCTTGACAAGGCCTCGGTTCTATCGCACTCTCGGAGGCAGGCCAGAGTCGGCCAGAAACTTCGACGGCCGCCCACAAGCTGTGACGCCCAGGCTCGAGAGCAGTGACCTCGGGCGTGATAACGATATGCGGTGCCAGCACATACGACTGTCTATGCTGCCGGATGGAAGCGAGGCTCTCCGCAGGAAAAGGTAGTTCGGACAAAGGCAATACATGCCCTTCTCGGTAAGGTGCATGAAGCGTGGAGGGCAAAGCTTCCGCCAAAGCCGCCTCGTCACATATGTTGGATAAGGGGGGACGACTCTTGACAGAGCGCACCCCGTACCCAGCAGGAAAGGTGCAGGATGAGTCAGTTCTCTTGTCTGGATGAACCCTTGCATTTGCACTACGGTGTGCTTGTCTCGTCTTTCTCACGGTCAGCTGGGGTGACGGCGTGAGTCCAAACCTCCGAGGCGGACTTTGGTCTCTTGCCCAACTTTTTGGCCTCAACAAGGAGTGACGATCATTCAAGTTCATATGACCTGTGTCTTTCCTTGCTCCCTGGTTTTCTTTTCCCGAAACGGCTCGATCTTGGTCGAATCTTGGCGGTTTGAGTAGCACGGATCCCTCGTCTCTAGTGACATCGTGCTTCTAGCGACCTGTCATATCGCGCGGGTCCTTGCTAATGTTTCTATCACATTTCACAATCCTAAGAGGGCTCGGCTTCCCTAGCGGAAAGTTGCGTCCGCAAGTGTGAAAGTTCCTGTGCGGTGAAGTGTCGCCTATGGGAGTTGGCATGGTGAGCCCGTGTCCAGGACCTGTAGCCGATTTTTGAATCTTGCGCCGAAGAACCTGCGCCATTTTAGTATCTCGACCAAGAACAAAGATCGCCGGCTACTAACCCTTTCTTGTAGTGTTTTCGCCGAGGCTAGATGTTGGGGAGTTGTTCTTCCTTCTCGTAATAGTGTCACTTGTCCGTTTGGTTACGCACATAGATATTCTGACTTGAGCGACTTGTGCAAACACTCGAGAATACACGCGGGAGGAAAGAATAAAGACGATTAAAAGCTCTGGTATGCAAAACTTGATGAATGTTTACAATAATGACAAGTGATGTGTTTGGTGGGCGAGTGGCTAGTCATATTTAACTGGGTTACCAACTACAAGAATAACAAGATTTTAGTTTAGGGGTATCAGAGTGCTCTTGCTATACACGTAGCAAAGTAACAGAGACAAGGCAAGCACTAGACTTGCATCCAATGCGAAGAAGCAGCGAGAGAAACTCCATCCTTCCTGGCCAAACTCTACCTTGCCCTAGGGTAGCTGTTGCAGCTTCAACAAACGACAACTCTGAGGAAGGCGAAATCTGAGGCATGCTATGGAACAAAGCGGAGGAACTTGAATAAGAGCACCTCGAATCCATTTATGGAGTGAAATCACGCAGATTGCCCGAGCGTCCGGCGGAGATTCTCCTTGACCGAGTCTACGTCGTTGTCCTCCATAGGGAGGAATTTGATCTGCCGGCGGTTAGACGAGAACCACCAACAACAACGTACCGAGAATAAATCATCTCTTACTTACCAGATCATCAGCTGTATTCGTCCCGCCATAGAGGACAGGCTCCGACAAACTCGAGGCAATCCCCTTCTTGACTCTGTCCTCCCAGACCCCATCCCAATTCCACTCCCCGGGATGTCGAGTCGTGACGGCAGGTGACGCAGGTGTCGCCTTGTCCTGCGCTTGATCCGAGGCCTGCTCGCCTTCTTCTTTGGGCTTCTCCTCCCCCCCTTGCGATGGAGCGGCGGCGGTGGTGTCTTCTGTCAGCTTGCCTGCTGCCCGCCTGTGCGTCCTCCAAGCATGCCAGGCACCCGGGTTTCCAGCTGCGGCCAGCGGCACCGAGTCTAGAACTTCCTCGTCGTCGAATGTGCTGCGGATGTAGTGTAGTACCTCGTAAGCCGATACACTCTTCTTCCCGGTTCGCATATAGGATGGTTTCCCCGCTGACGATGCAGGTGTCGTGGTGGCGCTCGATATGCTGCCGGTCGGACCTGGACTTGACGTTTGCTGTCCCGAAGTCCGTCGCGCTTCTATCATGCTCCTTCTTCCCCGGCCGAACCAATCTGGGAATCCATGCCGTAGGCTGAACCCGCCGGGGGGCAGCCGTTCCTGGTCCGAGGCGCTCACTGTGCCGCTGTCTTCGATCTCGGTGCTGTAAACGTAGGTGGTCAAAGGCGTGATAAGGGGGTGGAACATGTCGGTCGAGAAGGTGACTAGGGGCGGTAGCTGAGGATAGGCGTCGGGAAATGATATCTGGAACCTGAGGATGGCAGGACAATACGGGCCTGGAGAGGTCAGCGGACACGCGGTCAAGTTGGGAAGCCGTTGGAGTCCTTACCTTTGCGGACAAAGAGGACGCCCGACCAGAGCGTGGCATCTCCCGGAGTAAGACTGACGAATATTCCTTCAGGGCAGGCCTGCTTGAGTCCAGTGCTGGTACTCCCCGTTAGCCCAGCCGCCAATGCTGCTATTCAGAAGGGGGCCTTTGTACGGACAACTCTGAGAGGAGCTGCTGTTTGCGCAGCGACGGCAAACCGCCCATCTTGACAGATGCCATTCTGCCTCTGAAACCAGCCGTTGAACCGGGAATAGTAGAATAAGGTCACGATAAAGCTGCTGAAGCGAGATGCTCGTGATTGAACTCCCCCCTGGAGCTTCAGGTTGCTTGCTGTCGGGCGGTGTAGGATTCTGCCGACGCCGATGGCGGGGTGCGTCCATGTCATATTTGGTGGGGTCATGAGACCGAGGCTTCTCTTGATTGAGGATGACGAACGAGAGAGCTCTCGATTAATCCATGATACTTGATAGTAGATTTGCTCGTAGGGCGTTTATTCTTGCTTCTCATAAGTGCTGGAAACTGACCAGCAGTTGTCTAATTCCCTAAGTAAACGCTCCATCATGAATAACTTGAAACTTTTTCACCCGTTGCCTCCTCTTGACGTCGACATATCCAGTCATATAGAATACCTCCAAAAAACTCTTAGTGACCGAGTCGTTGCTCAATCTTGGCCCTCTCCTGGTCACGGAGCTGAGAAACCTCGTCCCTCGTGGCGTTGTAAGAGGCCGTGACCTGGTTGAAGGGGTTGTCCGGGTGCTTCTCAAACTCCTTCCTGATCCTGTTCTTCCTCTGCTCCATGCGCAGGCCGACGCCGCTGCCGTCCGACTTCATCTCCTGGAGACGTCTCTCCTCGTACTTGGCATACGCGGCGGGGAATCGTCGCTCGGGGTGTCTGTCGATCTTGTCGTTGTCGCCGCCCGTCGTCAGGGACAGGGCGTCGAGGGCGTTGTCGATACCGGAGGCGCTGATTGCCGAGGGCTTGTCGTCGTCGAGCTGCGAGAGGTCGAGGCCGCGAGCCTTCTTGACGGGGGCCTTTGACTTCTTGGGAGCCTTTCCGGGCGTGTTGGCTTCGTCCTCGGCGAGGAGGGCGTCCTTCTCGGCCTTCTTCTTGGCGGCTTCAGCCTTCTTTGCAGCTTCGGCCTCCCTGCGCGCAAAACATCGTCAGCTATCGGAACAAGATCTCAGCAAGAGAAGAACAGCTGCCTACTTCTTTGCGGTGTTTTTTGCGCCCTTGGACCACTTCTCATCCTCAACCGCCGCCTTCTTGGCGTCCTCGGCAGCAGCCTTCTGAGCGGCGGCTTCGGCCTTGCGAGCGTTGCCCGCGACCTTCTTGCTGTTCTCCTTCTTGCCTGCCATTGTCAAAACGGGTCGGGAAGTGGGCGGGCGCGTATGTGTGTGTGTGTGGCTGAAATGGAGGGGGAAATGAGAGGCGTCAGCTTTGCGCAAAGGTTGTAAAACACGGGCCTTTGTTTGCTCGAATATGACGAGGTTCCGTCTCCGTCTCCGTCGGGTCTAGTCCAAGGAGGGATTTTCTTTTGATGTCGTAGTCAGTCTGGTATAGATGAATCTTGTTGGTGTGGGATCCTGGTGGTGCCCAAAGCTGATGCCTGGGTCCGGACCGGACAGTGCGAAGACGTGCAGAAGCCACACTTATGAGCACTGTATGCAGTGTGAGGCATCCATGACAAACGAGTTCGTTCCCAGTTGATGCGACAATCTTGGGTCCATGAGATAGACGAGCAAACAATGGGTCGCTATTAGGTAATTCTTCAGCTTGGGCTTTTGCGCACAGTTCTCTATAATTTCTTTACCCAAAGACCCATTTCAGAGTGTCCAGTCAAAGCGCCCAGACTAGACTTCCAACCATATTCGAAACATGCTCTCTCACAAGCTCCTGAGGTGACAACAGACAATACGAACAACGCTTAATTACCTCACATCTGAGCGAGACGACCAACAGTCACAGGATCAATTTCATGTCATGATCATGTCCAAGTAATATCCTACACCATATCCGCATCACATCAGCGTGCTTGAACCGTCACACTCGCTTAGAGGCGCCCAAGGGTCTCACAATAGTATTTCTGCAGGTGTGTGCTGACCGCCATGGTGAACCAACTTGTGCCATCTCGTCTACTTACCCATCTACCTGGAATTGTCCTCCGAGGTACCCTTCATCATTGTACCTCGACGTTGACAGCCAGATGCATCAATAGTTGGTTGGGCCCTTGTTCACATGCTGGTCTTCAGCCTCACTCGAACCCTTCCAAGGGCCAAACATAGACCAATACTCCACATGGATCATGCAAGTTGGTGTTACACAGCATATGATGCTCCATATCTCCGGTCCTGGAAGGAGCTGTAAAGGTAGGAGGGCGCCGACGAATTGACTTTGGGAGCCGGATGTACCCAAACGTCACCGCCGCGTCACCGCCACATCTGGGGGCTTCTGTCAGTTAGCCCGTCCATGTTTCGCCTGTCGCCATCATCGTTGAGCCTGTATTACAGCGATGCGTATCATGGCCAATCCTGATACATGACCTCAGTGATGGAAAAATGAAGCAACGCTAGGTTGCTAAGCCTATGCATGTTGTGGTTGGTCGTAATCGGCCCGCGAGACCACCGCTCTCAAACCGCCTATTCCCCTTGAGGACTCTTCTGCTTCTGTCGTGCAGTTCCCGAACCAGGGGACCGGGACACCCAACGGCGAGATGTCCTAAAGCAGCCCTACAGCGTGGTGATAGACGAGGGAGAGAGTGTGTGCCTCCCGGAACGGGGAACCGGCTCAATAGGATCCTAGATCGCTAGGCACATGGCTAACCAGGTTGGTTTGCTTCACGACGTCGCGACAGGAGCTGCTCTCAGAACTTGACCAATTATTGCGCAAGCCTTGCAACCCCCGCATCCCGTGAAGGGTCGATAGGAGGTAAATCCGCGTCAAGTCAGTCTACCGGCCGATAACTTGAGTGGTAGCGTTGGTAGTTGAAGATAGTTTCGGCTCACGATAACCATCTCCAGTTCAGACGCGGGGAGGACCGTCTCCGATTTCATCCATCCGACAGGCTATGATGGCGTGAGTCCTGACAACCGGTCCGCAGGTGCGGCTGTGGTAAGCATCCATTGCAGCTCAGCCCTTCGGGTCCCCAGCACTGCTGAAGGCAACCAAGTCGCTGTGCCACGGTGAAGCCGGAGCGGTTATGGATACATGCAGACCCAGTGACCACCCGCATCCCTTAAAACCAGCTCGACAAGGAAGATATCCTGGAAGAAATGCGACATGTGAGGCTTCTTGACAGGGAGCCGGCTGAGATAAGAGCCCCCGCCCAATTGCACGTCGGGACTACCTATGATTAGAAATGCCTGGGTCAGCAGTGAATAGTTTCTCCGTTTCAACCCTGCGCGGTTGCCTGCGACGGTTTGACGAAGCTGGCCTCAAACGACATTCGTTGTCGAGCAAGACAGTACAGTCTGGGGTAAAATGCCGTTGATCTTCTCAATTTGGCTTCCTACATGTCCAGAGAAATTATGAGCCGATTGCAGAAGCTCCTAGTCCTGAAAGGTGGCAAGGCATCCTGGTTATTGAAGCGAGTGGCTGATGAAGATCAACTCAGCTTCCAGCGCCTCCTTTTTTGGACAGTATTCCTCTGCGTCTCGGTTGCGGTGTTCTCAAGGGTCAATACCAATAATTGATAGCTCATCGAACCATGGTGATCCAAGGGTTTGGTGTATGGTCGAGTAATACGGTGTGTTGAAGTGAAGTTCCTGCGATGAACGACTTTGGCAGGCTATGGCAATTGCGGCTTAGACCGCTTCGCTTCCGTCACGATCGATCGGACTCCTATGTGGGTTGTCAGTGACATAAGTAGACGTAAGGGAGATTTCTGACAGTCAGACCGTCCATGAGGGAGAGTCTGGGAAGAAGCCTGGGGCGGTATAGCAAGAGTGTAATATCCCCCATTGTGCAGACCGCCTGTGTCTCTAAGGACGAGGCTGAGCAGACATTCCACTGTGAGATGACTTGGCTCAATGCCGCCGGATGAGATCTGAACGTTTCGTGTCATCTCGGTCTCGGTTGAAAAGAAACCTTGGTTCGGAATACAACCAAGGGCCGCGGACCTTGTTGTTGCCAGAAATACACACACGACGTGGCGCAACCGAATTCGATGATGCTCATGAGCTTCCGAGACCGCCTTGAATCACAAAGTCGTAAACGTACTCGGTACACGTATTGAAACACTTGCGGTAGCCATTCAGTAGGCGCGGATGTTCGGCTTCATTGCTTGTCCAGAGTGTATTGTGCTGAGCCCCATGCTCCGGCCGGGATGGCCCCTTGGAAATTGCAAAACAGAAATTGTAATTGTGTCGCGGCCACATAGGCAACCAAGGCAACCAAGGCGCTCTGCCATCCATAGACATGGCCAAGCGTTGAAGCGAGATGTGACAACTCAGCGAGACCGAAGTGGCAAATAAGTGACTCTAACTCTGCGACGACGGGCGAACCTCTGGCGACATCCTGGTATTTGTCCGAAGGCCATCCATAATAACCCCAGCCGTGCAACATCGGATGTGCCGCGGTGCAGTCCTGTGCTGTGGGGGACAGAGTGCAAGATCCAAGCGCAATTATGCTGCGTTGTCGGTGCAGCGGTAGTCGTCGGTCAACGGCAAGGGAGAGAGTGTGTATAGTAGCATCGGCTGCTCGGGCTCCTGGGCGTGATGGATCGACAGCATGGGCTCAGGGGCGCGACCATGCTATGCAGGCTTCGCTTGAGGGCTGCAATTGCATGGACAAAGTCCCTGTAGGGAGTAATCTGCCGCCGCCGATAGAGGAGACGGTGAGGTTTGCTCACCGAGTCGGGCCCCAGCTGCGGCGCAGGCGGGAAGCAAGGCTGCAGACGGGAGATTGGGCTCGATCAGGTTCCTGGTGGCGCGCGACCTTGTTTGAGAGAAAGGAGACCCGGTGATCTGGAACAGCCCTGGTCCGTTTTGAGAACGCCAGATCAGCGAGATTTGATGTGGGCACGAAGCAGAGGCGCCCAAAGGAAGCTTCCCCGAGCGAGGTCCCAGCCCGAGCACGCAAGCCGCCAAGGCGAGACAAGGCCCAAGTGCCACCCTCTTGTAGACCAAGATCTACTGTGCTGAAAACGTCGGCCGTGGTTATTTCGGAGACAAGGACCGTCATTGCTTGAGTGTGGTGGTGGACGTCATAGTTGCACCTCGCTTAAGACAGAGTCGACGCAAAGTAAAGTAAAACCGCCAATTGGCCGTCGTGGCAAGGCAGC